ACCAGTTTGACAAGTCTTATGTGACGGCTAAGTCAAAAATATTAACTATAATGCTTTATACTTTTGAAGTAATGCTTTATACTTTTTAAACTCTGCTGTAAACATTTGGTCCCTGTGATCAAGAAGAGGATTTCAGTCATGAGACATTTTTTTAATAAAGATAAAAGAAAATTTTAATGCCTTGTCAAGAGTTTACAGTGTAAAGTCAGTGACAGCTTTGTTTTTTGTGTTCTTGATTCAGGGTACATCAGCTGAGCAGGAGGACAATGCCTGAACTAGACCTTCACTTCAAGTAATTTTATACTCACTGCATTTTTTTCTATTTATTTCAGCTTATTTATCACATAAGTCAGTCCGTTTGCAGAGATACCAAATTCCCCAAAAGCTGATTTAAATTTATCAACTCTCTGGACCATCAAGTCTTCAATCAAGCGATTTTGCAAACATGTCTGTCACACAGACCTCATGCACAGTCTGATTCTCCTGACAAAGAAAGAAAGGGTTGCATTACCCAGGCTACACCAGCAGATGGCACTATATACATATATATAAAGGATATAATCATATAAGCATATTTCATATCTGTCAACATTCATGTCGAGGGGATTTACAGTCAAGTGTATTTCAGGGAGCATTAAATTGAGTGTAAACATATGTTTTTGAAGATTTTTTTCCTAATAAATCAGCTCATATTTGGTGTCACCTTAATTTACCTTGCAGCTGCCCATGACAGTAAGATATACAGTATATTCATCACAGTTTAAAATCCGTGTCTGGAGACACTATATGGTCCCTATTACTATTTTTATGAGCAGCAGTTGATATAGAGGGTTATAAACTGGCGACAAAGTAGATTACATTAATTGTTCATTTGTAGACATTGCCCTTGTAATAAGTTCATGGTTATATTAAAGCACTAAACAATGACAATATAACAAACATCTATAATACTAACACTGTAGTTTCTCATAGACGTATTAATGATCTCCTCTTGTTTTACATCCCTAAATTTGATGTTGTACTTTTGCAACCGTAATTCAATTTGAGGTCAAACGCAAAATGTATAACCAACAATCATTTCATTGACAAATAACTGCACACAAAAAGGATTTTTTTTTTAATTTTCAAGTAGTCAAACAACATAAAATCAATGCATGTGTGTCTGATTATACATTTAAGAGGTGTGTATGATTTTTAAATAAATCTCCCACAAAGCACAACTGTATCAACGCATTATCGTCCAACAAAGAAAGGGGAATTTCTTCTGTTGTAGAGACAACCAGTTAATGGAGATCTGTGGGAAATCTTCATCACATTGTTCAGGGACATGGTCGTGGGCGTTAAAACAAATCAAAGCAAGCCTATACTGGCCAAACCGTGTTTTTCTTGGTGCTCGTGCTAATCTTTAGAGGACAGGCTGTGAGCAAGACTACCGCTGGGAGAATCAACAACAACTTCATCAGTCTGACGTTATGAATAGATTTAGTTCTTTGATCGAGTACGCTTCAGGTTTGAGGGGGAGTTTAAAAATTTTTCTCAATATGTATCTCACGTATTAATAGCAGAGGCTAATTTGAACTAATCAATTTGCGTAGTTTCCCTCATTAGGTCTTAAAAAGGACACATCAGTTCAGGAAATTAATAAAAATGATTTCACGAAAGTGTAGGAGTCTTGTAAAGATACACAAGCACTGCTATGATGAACATTTTCAGATGCAAGAGCTTCTGTCCTGAGGGACTTTACTGTAAAAATAATCAAAAGATATTGCTTCGTTCAGTTTGTGGCAACACAAATCTCAAGGGCACCATATTTTAGTTTAGCACAAAGAATTTGTACATGGGGAGGACTGTTTTTGCATGAGAGAACTATGACATGTGGGCGTATATAAGTCTGTAAATACCCCGTGTGCCAGCTGTATTTGTTCAAAATATTGACTTATTATAGATCAAAGTAAGCTGAATTCAAGCTAACTGCCACACGGTTAAAGCAGGAGAGTGAAACAGATTTAGATTTGGTAGCAGTCTTGTGTATGACTCCCAATTTCTTAACAAAGGAGATAAAAACTTAGCAGATATTTTTTAAATTGGGAAAAAGCATCGCTGTTCAACACTAGTCTTTTGCCTGAAGAAGGACTGACGTTCAAAAAGGGAAGTCCTGAGTTTCGGGCAGAGTAAATATATCAGTGAGTTAATCAAAAAGAAAAAATCATTTCATAAAGCAGAATAAGAAATATAGCTTCCCCAGCTTTAACTTAAATGATATTTTCAGATAAAAGTAACACTTCTTCATTAAATTGTCAAAATAAAGTATCTAAGAAATCTGTATTTTTACCAAAGTAACCACCATTTGATTAGATTGCCTGTCTTCGGGGTGGTACCATGGAGTGTGTGGAAAAACCCACACGTTTTACGTATTAGCTAATATGACTCGGGGCTATTACATTAGATTGACATGACATGACTTAAATCACTGTAATCCCGCGTCACTGAAAAGTATTCTTGTCTTAGTCATATCAATTAATTTTTATTGAGTTTCGTTCTTGAAGGCAAAAAAAAAAAAAACATCATATATCAAACTCCATATTTCATTTTTATGATCAAGAGACCTCTAGCATAGCAAGTAAAAACTCTTCTTTCATTCTTCTAGACAAATAAAGAGTCTTTTGTGTAGGATTGTTTAACTCAAGATCAGACAGGAGGTCAGTGTCTGGTCAAGTGACACTGACCAAAACAGGAACATTCATTACTTCATAGACTGAACTTCTTTCTTGTGAAAAATGTTTCTTAACTGGACTGTTTTTTCTCTTGTTTTGAGTCTATCTGAGGTTTACACCAATTCCCTTCAGACCCTGCAATTTCTGTTGAGGGGACCTCATGTGATGTCTCGTTTTAGCTTGAACATCTGTCCTTTTCCCTGCTCGAATGACCTTTGGGAAGGTGACACAACTAGGACAAAAGTGAGACTGTCTGTCTGTGATTTTGCACAAACATTTTCTAATTTTGTGTTAATATAGTTAGGTGGCTTTAAGGTCAGGAGAGGTTTGTTACTGCTTTCTGAGATGCCAACAGTAGTGTGGATTTCAGTGTCCTGTTAAGGGTTAAAAATAGAGTGAGGTTTAGTCTGAGGTTGATCTAAGGTCCTCATATCTACAGCTGACAATGGCTATGACATTAGAATTACAAGACATCCCAAGGTAAACAAAATATTGCTCAATCTATATTATTTGGTTTTCCTTTAACTCAGATGGTTTAACGCAATAACTGTAATACTGTCTACCCGCTTTAATGATTTCTAGAGGGAATTTTGGACCAAATTATGTTGTTTGGCAATAAACTACAACAATCTCACTAGCCTGCCAAATTCACGTAATGCTACACAGCATCTCCCTGTTTTTATGGAGTGAAGATAGCACCAAACTTAGGTTTAAGATAGCCCAGCTAGCCAAAATAAAGCTAGCTGAGAACAATGAAGCTAACTAGCTTGATTTTGTTTAGCTTTAGATAGCCCAGCTAGCCAAAATAAAGCTAGCTGAGAATAATGAAGCTAACTAGCTTGATTTTGTTTAGCTTTAGATAGCCCAGCTAGCCAAAATAAAGCTAGCTGAGAAAAATGAAGCTAACTAGCTTGATTTGGTCTAGTTTTAGATCACCCAGCTAGCTAAAATAAAGCTAGCTGAGAACAATGAAGCTAACTAGCTTGATTTTGTCTAGCATAAAGCTATTTGTGGTGTTAAACTCTAGAACAGCCTGGATGTCACTTTGAAAAGGTCCAATAACATAAAAATATTGAAATCAAACTATAGAGAAGTATTTCAAAATTAATATAAGTAAACTAACAAAAAATATGGTTTTATACTAGATGTACTTGATTGCATAAAAGTCATATTAATTCTAAAAAGTATAACACTGATTATCTTTATAATATGCACATAATCATAATAAGTAACCAATGTAGTGTTGAGTAGATATCTTTGAGTATAATATGTAGGTATTTATACAGATCTTTGTAATTTATACAGATACATTAAAAAAAATCTCTAATTTGTGAGGAAGGAGCAGGACTAGATAAGCTCTTTGCTTAATTCTGTTCCTTCTCAAACTTAATTTGTATACATATGTTGCAGAGCCGGCCCAAGGTATAAGCAAACTATAAGTGCCTGCTTAGAGCAGCCCCAAGAGCAATCAAAAAAAGTAATAATAATTAAACTATTTTTTGCATGTATGAGTGATGCTTTCTGTATAATTAAATATATATTATTATAAAAATTAAATAAAGTAAAAACATTTTAGTGCTGCTGCTGATGTGGGCCGATGATTCTTAGTGCCGATATGACAAAGCTCTGCTACCGTTTTGTGCTTTCTGCTGTAAGCGCAGGTAGTTATGAGGCAAAACAATGTCGCAAAAAATGACATATTCTTCAGGAGGGGAGTAAATAAAGAGGAAAAGAAGAAAAAATGCCAAGATAAAGGTATGTTTGCATATTGTGTAATGTATAAGAGATTTGTAAAGGTGTCTGAATGATCAACAATCAATATTAGTGGCAGAAATAAAGGGCCCCAAAATCACATCTTGCTTAGGGCCCCATTGAGGCTTCGGCCGGCTCTGATATGTTGTGTAAATTTATCTTTAACATGTACAGTTGTTTGGTGTACATATGTATTGTTTTGTTTGGCGTTTTAGTTTCTAGTTGTTGTTTTTTAGTTGTTCTTAAAGTTTGAGATAAATAAAGAAGAAAAAGAGAAAGAAGAACGTTTGAAGCAGGGTTATGTTATAAAAAAATATCCAAAGCTTTTAGCACACTAAGTTTGACATTTTTCACTAGTATTTCTCCCCCCTGTGTTTCGTATTTCAACGACTAAGAATAAATCGCCTCCAAAGATTAGTGTAGCCCTACAGTATTCAACTTTGGCTATAGCTTCAGGGTAATTTGATGCCTCTGCCTGTGTCCTCAGGTTCCCGGGCGACTGTGTCGACAGGAGGGAGGGGAGAGAGAAAGAGAGAGGCAGGCAGGCAGACACCGACCACAGCAGCAGCTCAGCAGCGCCAGCAGCAGCAGCAGGAGCAGCATGACCAGAAACCTCCAACGCAAACGGACCTGACCGCGTTTACACAGACAGCGCTGCCATTGACAGGTTTCCAAGGCTGACACGTCAACTTTCCACAGTCGAGGAAGGCGAATAATCGACTCTGAAGGGTTAGTGGTCTCTGACTACACCGTGAGCGCCACAACACTGAGCAGGTCAGTCACCTCACTCCTCGCTGTCAGAGTTGTCGCTGCTAGATGGATGACAAACATCGTTTAACGTGATTTTAACCCACAAAATGTTAAAATGATCGGTATTATCATCGGTATGATCGGGATTAGCATTATCGGTAATATTAGAAGTTAAAGTTGCCGGGAGACGTCTTGAATCATCAGTCTGTTTAATTCCCCTCCTCTTGCATGGAGCTGCAGGGCTATAAGACACTAAATCTGATTGAGGTGAAGAGTTTTTAAAGTTTGACAGGCTCACCAGTGGCGTGCAAATGGGGGGAGGCGATGGTGAAGGTGGGTGGGTGGGGGGTGCGGTCACAGGACTGACAACTGGCACACAGTCAGGTGTTGGTCCACACTATGTCTGCAGAGCAACAGAGTGAGTTTGACATGCAAACATCAGGCAGAGATTTTCACCTTCAAAGTGCTCACAACTCCTCAGGTGAGTAATAGAAAAGACCTCAGGGTTCATTATGCTGACTAATGTTGAATGGTTTTGAATTGTATGATTTATTTCATGTTTAAAAAAACAATTTTCCATGTCATGTGTGTTTTACAAATTCTCAAGTGGAGAATACAAGTGGAATCTGCAGATATTGCACAACATGCAGACGCTTCTATGTTGTTGCATTGACTGGAAATTCTTGGTTGTGACTCAGCAATTATGTGGACACACGCTTGCAATGTATGCAGTTGTGTAGAGGCTAATAGGAGCTGGCTCAGGATTGTATTATGACGATTGCCTTTTAATAGTTGTACCTGAAGAGACAGTATATCAAATTTCTAGTACTTTTGAGTTCCTTTCTTGTTGTTTTTTTATATCAAACATGTGATAACAAGAGGTAAAATCACAGGAGGTTTGTGATGAATCATTTACCTGTTTCAAGCCAGGTTGTTTGAAGTTCTATCAAGGCATTATTTGTTTCTGATTGTTTCTTTATAGATTTTGTGGAAAAATCTAGTCAAGTTTAATCATACATTTTTCCTCACATACAGTTTTACTCAAATGTTTTCTTCTTTAAGGGTAGCCATTACTTTCTATTAAATTTCCACTGTTGTGTAAAGGTACTGAGACAATATGTATGCTTGAAATACATGACAATTCCATCTACTTGCACTATAGTCAAACTTCCATTAAAGTGATTGGGTTAAAATAGGATTTAGTAAATTACATAATAAGATAAATACTCTTGTGAATTCATAATATGATTAAAGATCTGTTTTAAGCACATTTTAAGTCACATCGGTTAAAATCTGAGTCTTGAACATACCAAACAATCGTAATTGTTTTGAGGGAAATGCAAACTTAAATTGACTGTTAAGAAATTAAAAATAATAACATGATTCTTAAACACGAGGTAAAGGATGACATTACATATAAGCTGATGCTACAAGTATCTCCGCATGATAACATGGGTTCGTAGTTTATTAGAGGTTAAAATGTCACCACTGATGTGACAAAACTATTTTTATTTGGGAGAACACATGATACAGTGCGGTTGAGAAATAAACCCCATTTGAAGAAGTAAAGTAATAAAAGGTCATTTTTCTAATGAACATGCTCATCTGGATACACTTCATAATATATAATTTCTAGTATTTGTTCATTTTTAGTTCAAATATAGAAAATATTTGGCACTAAACACGATGTTTTTGGCCGTTCATTTGTTTCAAGCATTTCAGGTATTCAAGTATTTTTGCTGTATAGATTGTAGAAAGTATTGTCATTAAGCCTTTAGTTAAATAAAGTTTTCTAATTCTTTGCATTTTTTAAAGTTTTGTTAAGCAGTTGTACAACATCTTTAATTGATAATCTCTCTTAAATTAAAAAAGAAGTAATATTGATGTTATGTTACTATAAAGAGTAATCCAGACTGCTAATCTCCCCTCATCAATCCCTATCGCCTCTCAGCAGTAAGTAATTGTGTTTTATTTATACAGCTTGTATTATTAGCTATTTAAACTGTTTAACCTTAACAGCCTGTCATACGTATTTTATTTTTTTTTGTCCGTTTTCTGCCTGCAGAAAAGTGAAGCCGGCTTGTACAAAGTGGTTTACTTGCTGGTGTATGTTTATAGAGAGCACTGATTTAAGAAACACTCAGTTTATGACTCACTCCCATATGATTCAATTGAAATTTGGGTGGATGTTTTGGGGGACACATTTAGCCCTTGTTAGAGAGAACAGCTGTGGAGAGACAAAAGCTGACAGCAAGGATGTCACGCAGAAATGGGCCAAGGTCTGAGGTAGACACTTTAATCGTTAGAGTTGTGGGAAGATAAAGCTTCTCTTGTTGTTTTCTGTAAGTTTTTGATCCTCCGTTGTCTTTGGGTCAAGTAAACAAAAGCCCCTGTTATTTTTTTCAGTGACCCTGCAGGGCCATGGTACATCACCCTAAGAATGTATTACCATATAGCAAAGCTTCTGTTGTCACTCAGCTGGCATCAATAACTGATCTTCAACACTTCTGAGTCAGACGACTGAAAACTTTGAAAAGCTGTTGAATTCAATGGTGAATGCTTCAGCCCTGCAACTAAGAAATATAGTTCAGCCAGAAACATCTCTACCTTTAACTTCAGTGCTGCATAAGACTTGATATCTATATCAGGAAAGTTAAATCTGTGCATGATTGGCCTGACTGAATGTGTTGATATACTGCCAGCCAGTGATATTATTGCTTATCTAGTCGTATAATTCCCTTTAAAGCCTTTTGTATATGAACAGTTTGTGTGTGAATATGAATGACTTGGACAGATTTGAACTTTGCTCTAAGGTCATAAATGAAAGGAGTGTCTCAAGATACCATACTATGTTTATGTTGTCCTCACACAGCCTGTGAGTGATGTTTAACTTGCTGCGGACGCTAAACATACACACTGAACTTGTTTGATTTGGCGTACAGTACTCTTGAAAAACAGAATTTCCAAATCTAAGTGACACCACCATGACAGGAGGTCTCTGATATGTGTCGTCTTTTAAAATACCTAAAGCAACAGTTTCCTGTCTTCTGCGCAGTTGCTTGATGCAGCTTTAAAAAGTTGCGTTTTAAACCCCTGAAAGAACTAAACATAATCACTGCAGGGAAGGAAGGAAGATGCTCTGGTGCTCATTTGTGTTTTTTCAGATAAGCAGATTAAACAGAGGGACACACTTGTAGAACTCATACTGTTAACCACTTAACTTACCACTAAAAATCCTCGTTTTTAGCTTTTTTAACAATTAAAAACACTTTTAGGGGAACATCATCAAACACAACACATGAGATTGAAAGGATTAAGGTTCTCAACTTTAAATTAAGTGCGAGATAAACTTTAGTTTCACTATCTGCTCATTCTTGGCTGCAAAATTTGATATCAAAAGAAGTTGTTTATTGTTTTGTAATCAATAGTGAGCTGAAAATAGAGAAGAAGAGCATTAGTAGCTGGACAATTTCAGTTGAATAGACGGAAAAATCTTTGGATGAAGTTGAAAAAAACAACCTCTTTTTGCCTTTACATGTGACCAAATCTCTGAACAAAATCACCAAAAAAGTTTTTTTTTGCTGTTATATCCACAAGCAGACTCTAGAGCGCATAAAATTTTTTTCACAAGTGAAACACCTGTAACTGTAACATCTGCTTTTATTTTCTCTAAACAATAAGATAAGATGCTGCGGAGAAAAATCGCAACACCTGCCAAGTGAGAAATGAGTCACGCTTAGAGTCGGCCTCAAAGTGAGCTCTCAGTTCTCGCTTCTTAATGATTTATATCACGGCATGAAAAACGACGTGTTGATGCAAGCTGCCAACATGATGGCTCTCCATATATCTATCACATCATCGTTGTCTTCAATGTGTTATGGTGTCTAAATGAATCCATTAGAAGCAGAACTACAAAGATCTGTCATCGTAGACTCAAAAAATAATTTGTTTTTTTCAACTGTGCCACATTGGGAGACTAAAAAAGGTTAATTTAGCAAAATTTCTGCATCGTATGTCATTGTAAGGGTCCTCCTGTCAACACACAATCTTGGTTTTATGAGGTGTTTTGGTGATCCAACCACATGTGGACACTGTTTTAAATAAATCAAGTTCAGTGTGATTATTAGCAACTTGTTTGAGGGGTTTGTTTCAAAATAGCTCTGTGATAAATAGTTAAATTAATCATTTTTTGATTGTAAAACAGACTAAAATTCCTATTGATCCTTTTTTATGATTCAGAAAAGCAAAAGAGATCATGAAGGACAAGCCCGACAGTTTCTGTAGTGCCATTTAATGCCTGAAACTGATGTGAAGGGGTAGGTGTCAGCCGAACAGTTTACAGAAATAGCCCTGTTTCTACAATGTCTACTTTACACATAAAGTATTCACAATAAATGATACATAGAACTACATTTTTTTTCAAAAGACACAATTTAAACATGTAGAGGATAAGGCAAACTGAGACTGAATTGTCCACAGGGGGGTGCCAAAATCACGAACCAAAAGTTCGTCACAGGAGCTTTAAGCGCTGTCCACTTGTGATTCATTTCAGCCAACACAAACTTGATAAAGTGCCAGTGTACTTTAACATAGATATTATTCAATCGACAGTGGGGATATGAAGCAACCTTTGTCATAATTTCTTTTTTAGAAAGATGTGGGAGCAAACAGCAGTTCCTCAGGTTCAAATCTTTGTCCCAAGTGGGGATTCGAGAGTGACTCTGACTTTTTGTGCAAGAGGTTCTCTGTGAGTTCAGTTGATGTGGTTTCGCCGGACGCATGAGTCAAGTCCTCCCCCTCGATTTTAAAATTGGCTAATAATTTCAAAATGCCAGAAGGTCATGAAATAAAACGTGAAGAGAAGTCAGTAGCTTTTTACTTTCTTCTTAAGACTTTTCCACCTCTGCTTGTGGCATCAAATACATTTATTCTTCTTACTGAGGAAATTGTAGTTGCTCTGGTTCACACTTCAGCAGGAAATATTTCTAAAGCAGTGGGAACAATACTCTCATTTGACTTCATAAACACCATTTATTGCCATCTTACATGACAGCAGTCTGTTAGAATGCTAATTAAGCGAGTGCTGTTCCATGAGATAGTTGCGCTCTGGCTGATTTCAGTTTAATCATATTGTTATGGGATTATTAAAAAAATATTGGAAACCAACATGTAGAACTTTGAACTGGCACAGTCTTGCCCATGTCAGTTAATTTCTGTTTATTTATTTTTAATTCAGACAACACCACATTGTTTTTTTCTCTCTCAAAATAGCCAACATCTGCTTAAAAATTTTGACTGTGCTACGTAGTCTGTTGAGCGAGTGTGACTTATGCCTGATGTCACTCATCACTATGGCACTAAGTAGGTGAAAGATGGAGAGATATAATGACGGGAGCAAAGTAGTACTGAAGAAAGACGAGTAAACAAACAATTTATGCAAAGAATTGGTACAATTTTTTAAAGAAAAAAGTGATGCAATAAGACACACTATACTACTGCCAAACAACTGTGAAATGTACAGCCATGGAGCACAATGTCCGAGTGCATTGAGAATGTCTTAAAATAGGCCTGTGAGTGTGGTACTGACCAACAGATTGGAGATGTGCCCATGACAAGAGTCTTCATCCATTCAGTAGACTACAGGTTATTTTCATCATGGTTAATCATACTTAGGCGTGACCATTTAATTTAAAGATAGTCTGGAAACATTATTTTTTAGTTGACTTAGCTTGTTTTATTGTTTTCTTTCTTTCTTCATTATTTCCAATTCAATTTATTTATCTTATTGAAACAAGATTTTGGTCTTTAGGAAGTCAGGCCACGTGCGCCATGTGCATTTGTGTACTTTCCTCTTGAATACACATTTCTGTGAGTGTAGTCACAGGATATAACGAGTACCCAGCTACAAATGCCTTCACAAAGCAGATGTTGATAACACACAATTACAAATGCTACACAATAAGAGAAGAAATAACTGCCTATACTACGTCCTGAAGAAGTTTGCTCTCAACACCTTGTCTTAGGGTAACAAACACAAACATTTACTATTGGTAATAGGGGTTAAATACCTAATTGTGTTTCAGGCAACATAGTTTTTACACTAGATGGAGACTTACTTTTGTGTCTAACAGTCAACAAGTAATTTCTTGGAACTGGTTTGCATGGGTTGCTGAAGAGTAAAAACAAGGCAAACTTCCAAACATACAGTCACATTACACAGTAGATAGGCCAGTCATGAAACAGATAATAAATAATAAAAAATGTGCTAACTCCTGGCTCTTGATCAATGATAGACATGCTGATGAGAAAATATGTTTTTAGGTACTGTGGGCTGATATTTGGCCCTTGTGTCCTCATGAATATGTTTGGTAAGGTGACAAAAGAAAACCCTAAAATGCTAAAACCCTTTCACCACATGACTTTATGTCGGGTTTTAGATATAGAGAAAGCTGAATCTTGATGGACCTTCATATCACATAAACCAAGTTTTATTCCAAATCCAAAACTAAAAGCACAACCTCCCAACAAACACTTGCCATGTTTTTTCTTCCTTACTTTCTCAACAGACGCACTTCATTAGCAACCACATCTGCCAAATGAACAGTGCGCATGTTTGTGTTCAGTGTTGTGAAAGCTTATCTGGCATATCAAAGATGGACGACATGAAATGTAAGGCAAAAGACCTGAAGCTCCCCCTGCTGGCTGCATAGTAGATCATGAAACATACTTCCTCCATGTTAGTAGATGGGACATGAGTCAATCACACGATAAAATTAAGATACTCTTTGTATATTTTTTTTCTCAAAGTTGTTTCTTTTCATCAATGAGCTAGATGGGTTTTAGTTAGCAAAATTAGAGGGGGATTGGAACATTGAAGATAGTATCCAGTATCTAGTATCTTCTTGCCAGCTTAGCAACTGACATGTATTATTTTGCCAATCCAGTCCATGACACAGAACCATGAAACAATCCGAACCCTAAGTTTTGTGATCAGTTGCATCCCCGCTTATTTTAGCACATCGAACAATGCTGGGAAGACATAAGAAAAAGGCTGTTTTCTAAAGCAGTGTCCTCTGTGTACACCTTTCCCGGCTCACGTATTGACAGTGGATTCTGTGAATGAAACTCACGTCATGTTATTCTGTTATTGTCCAGCCAAACAGCAGCGGAGAGCGGCACACTCCCGTCTTTTCCTCTTCCACTTAGAGAAACAGGGCATGACCCTTCCCGCATTGTACCTCTCCCTCTTCCCACCACGGTGCCCTCCTCTCACTCCCCATCTCCGTCAAAACATATTTATCTGTAAATCATCTCGGCTGTGATTTCCCACACAACTCCCACCTTACATAAAGTGATCATTAACCTGTGTGGCATCGTAATACAGCAGTCATATTGACTATTTGTCTCCAGATCTGTCTTTATGTGTCATTCTTTTCTCTTTCTTGTGTCCTGTCTTTAGCACATCTGACTTCTCAAAGGTGTATGAGTGTGCGCGCGCAAGACCACAAGACAAAAATAGAGTTTGACTTTGCTCTCAAATCATAAATGGTAGGAGAGCCCTCGTCTCTGCTTTGTTTACGCTGCCTTCACGTGTTATGATACACATTGTATGCCCTTCATATAATGCGCTATGGTGTTAGTGTGTGTATGTGAGAGTGTGTGTGTGTGTGTGTGTGTGTGTGTGTGTGTGTGTGTGTGTGTGTGTGTGTGTGTGTGTGTGTGTGTGTTTGAGGCCTTGACAGCGCACACCACTCCTTCCCCTTATCCAGCGAGGAAGCTCTTAAGGCTCAAGAGACTCATCAACCATTAACTCCTACTATTTAAAGGAATTGGGGGAAAGTTCATGTCCTTAGATTATTGTTGAAAACTGCAGATTCCCAGAGAGTATGGAGCACACAGAAGCATACAGTATTCAGACCTGCAGTGTGTGGAAACTTGTCTCCTTCTCTCTCTCTGTCCGTGAGCATGTTGTCTTTCTGTAAATAGAGACCTGCAGTGCTCTTATATGCTTTTGCATGTGCAAATAAATGCAGCACGGTGTATACGTGTGTGTATGTGTGTATACATATGCATACACTGTATGTGCGTGTTTGTTTTTGTTGGCATAAAGTCTTCAATATGTTTCTATCTAATCCCCAGAGTGCTTTTCAGTAGAGTTCACTCAGCATGCCGTCTTGTAATACAAGGCCCACCTCACGTCCCAGTCACATTATGATTCTGACAGTGATGTAGATCATATCCTGAGAGGCAGTGTGTGTGTGTGTGTGTGTGTGTGTGCTGGTGTGTGTGCATGTGTGTAAGTCTGGCAAGCCAAGCCTTCCCATCACAATGGATTATTATATGATGTGACGGTGATCAAAAGCTTGGTTCCAAGATTGAAGAGCTAGATTGGACCCTTTTGTTTTAAAACGGCTGCACTTATGCAAACCATTGAACGCTTTAACATTGTGTCTTTATCGTTGTTGTTGTCCTCATTTTTGTCTTGGACCGAATAATTTAATGTCTCCTGCTAATCAGCACCAGAATTACCAGCTGGTTAAACACTGTAAATAGTCCATAATTTTGTTAGTGTTGTGTGTAAGCAGGGCTGTGATTGGCTGTTCTACTATCCTGATGTAAACAAGCGCAGATAATAACAGATGGCATCTGGTAACATGGTAAAATTAGAGAGTATTGTAATCCAGGAATTGGAGATGAAGTTGTTTGAAGGGTGTGTCTTGTTAAACTGGTGTAAAACCACTTGGCTGGAGCTTTAACTAATCAACACAGACATGTGTACATTAACCTGGTAGAAGGATTGAAGGCTGGTGGTGCGAGCTCTGCTAGATTTAGCCACACTTTAGTCCTCAGTATTGACTGTTATCTAAGTGTTTTCTTACTGTTAGGTAGGACTGGGCGATAAAACAATTACAATATATATAAAAAATTAATTTCCCTCAATATCAATGTAAAACAATACGCTTTTCGATAGTCGGCATTCTGCCATGTTTCGATAGACAATACGAATAGCCAATGAAAAGGGGAGTTGCTCCGGGTCCGCTTCGCACTGAACCAATCATGTGCTGAATTGGAACCAAGTAGCGAACAACTGCATAGTAGCAGGCTGCAGCTACACACAATGATAGCACTTTAACACGTGAAGCGGACAGCACTGTCAGTGAGAAAAAAAGGAAAATGAATGTTCCCCCCAGCAGAAATCCAGATGAAGGCCCAACAGATGACGACATCATCGACGACACTGGTACGAAAACATCGGTGAAAACGACAAAAGACATGCTACCAATAAGCACTCTTGAATTTCATATTTTTATATCATGATATACATCGATATTGACTGATATGAAAAAGTATATCGTGATAAACTTTTTCCCATATCACCCAGCCCTACTTTTAGGCTTGTCCTTTTTGCAGGATTTAAATTTCCGTTCACAAGACAAGAAAATTGGATCATCCCTGGAATAATAACCCCCCTACACATTTTTTTTAGAGGATCTTGCAAAAGAAACCTCCTGACTCCACTCAGAAAGCGCTGAGCTGACCAATGTGGTTGAAACATGATAATCAAGAGGTAAATTACTATCTCGTGTGCAAGCGGGAGAACTGATCGAGAGGAAACTGTCTGAAAACGATAACTACGTGAAGTGTGGCACGCTGAGTCGGAGAGCTACTCGTTGTGCCCTCATCACTCGGGTTGTCAAAAGTAAAGTTACTCTAATACTTCATTAATATATTATATGTTTAAAAAAAAACATGCTTCATTGAGTTTACATTATTAATCTTAAAAAGTACCAACATGTTTTTAAAAACACTTCAGGAGGCCAATTTCGCTGAGAGGTTAAATTGTGTCTCATGTACTTAAGATAGTTATCAAAGCAGATGGCCCAGGGTTAGATTCCAACCTGCGGTCATTCACCATAAGTCAAACCACTCTCCTTCTTCTCATTTTTCTTCTCTATCTGTCGACCGATTTCTAAATAAACAAACTTAAAAAAAGCTCCTTGTTCAGAGAAAAATAACACCTAACCAGCAAGTGAGAGACAGAAGAATAAAACTGCGAATAAGGCATATAAATGTTATTTCCTGATTGACTTGTGCGTGTGTTTTGTTGCACAGTATAAATAAACACCCTCGATAGTGCTGGAGTATGTGTGATACAGACAAAACACCCACTTCACCCTTTAATACAGCCTGTCTAGTCTAAACTTGGGTGTGGAAAGATCTAGACAGGGGTGTAAGCAGATGAATGTGTTGTCAGTTTTCTTGTCTTGCGAACACAAAATAAACAAAATTCATGAATGCATGCAGTTACCCACAGCTGGTCTTCTATTATGTTGAACATTTTTCATGTCATCTTTGCATAGTTTGCATCAGCCGCTGTCTCTGTGCACACTCCAGGTACGAAAGCGGGGTCGAAAAAGCTACTGTCAAGCTAATGTGAGACAACTTGACCCTACCTGTCCGACTGTGACGGCTGTGAGTGAATGATTGATAGATACAGACATGCTGAGACTCCCTGTCTCAGTCAGTCCGTCTCCTCTGTCTCATTTATTTTTCATAATTGCTTTACTCTCCAAGTCAAGTCTTTTTTTGAGGATCTCTTTTGTTATGCAAGACACACTTTTAATTGCGCATCCCCTGCTTAGTCACGTAAGTTTCGTAAAAATGTCAATGACAGCATAAATTTTCCATGGTCAGAATTAATCAGGAGAAACAAGGTCTGTGTGGTTTGGGTAGAACACGTGTGTGAGGGTTGCGATATTGGTGATATAGTTTTATTTTGAAAGGATATTGGGCTTGATTGAGTAATGCAGTACAGTTCTACGTTTGCCAGAGAAGCTAACTTAACAATTAATTTATCAGCAACTTTGTCTAACATACACAAACATCCGGCTGTAATATACGAGAGGTGACTGTGGCATATTCTGGTCCTAAAGTAAGGGTAAAGCGTATTTTAAAGAGTGAATCAGAGAGCCGAACAATCTGGTGTTGTGTTAGTATTGCATGAGGAGGCTGGAGTGAGTGCGTCACCGCTGTCACACCGACCATGAGTGACTGAGCGGACGGAGAGAAGTGCAACCAGAGAGGCATGATGATGTCGCCTGTCACTGTGAAGAAACAGGAAATCATCTGCATCTGATGTCTACCACTTAACACACAAGAAGCACACAGGCACACACTGACACACACACACACTCACACACACACACAGGCACACACTCACACACACACAAACAAAAGCAGGTAAGCACACACTGTTCCAAGAAACACTATCAAATTACGCTGGATTTTAAACACCAGTGTGTACAGTAAAAATAGACAGAGAGATACAGATATTAAAAATTTGAGATTTACAGATTCACACTTGCAACCACACACACATACACACACACACATATACACACAAAAACGCACACACACACAGACCACATGATGGTTACTTGTCTGAACTTTTGCTGAGCCCAGACTCTGTCAGAGAGAGAAAATGTCTGTGTAGTTCCCTTTCTATCGGTCATCACTTCCTGAGGAAAAGCATGACCGCGCACACATGCACGCACGCACGCACGCACGCACGCACGCACACACTAGGGCTCCTCTCCTGTCACTGTCACTTGGTTGCACTGACCACTCTGAGTTGAAGCGGGATGAGTAGGGTGAGTGTCCCGTGTTTTGTGTGTATGTGAGTTAGTGTGTTTTTATTCAACTCTTTTCTTGTATAATGAAGATATGCAATGTTATATTTTTATATATACAGAACTATATACATATCTGTATTTATATATGCTGTTACATCTCATAAAAGGCAAAAAATAAATGACTTTATATTCATATTGATGATGATGTAGACTGTAGAATTGGTATATTGTACTTATAATCCATGCTTGTTGCTCTAGTTCAGACAGTTTCGCCCTATAAGCAGTAAAAGTTGACTTGGAATGTGAACTGCGAAGTGGACTCGCTTTCGTGTTGGATCTTTTGCACAAGTAGCCATAGAAACCTGCAAGGTCATGTATGATGAGTTTCCTCGTGATTTCGCCAGAGCAACACAGCAGCCATTTTTTGTGGGTTCATGCTATTGCTGTTTTAATATAGCACTGCTGTTCATGTTTAACTTAATAGTCTACAAACATACTTTTCTTAAAATCTCTTGTATTCAGTTGACTTGAGTCTGATGAACTAGAAAGACAGGGTAAGGGAAGTCATAAGCGACATATATTCCGTTAAAAACAGCATATTAATTCCCACACTAACTACCAGCTAACGGTAGCGGTCAACATTCCTATTACCAACCTTGTTGTTCGATAGCGTCACATTATGGTGCAAAAGGCTAACATACCTATTTAGCGGATGTTAAGCTAATGCTAATGTTACTAGGATTCGTTTGAATGCTAGCGTAGCAGTTCTGGCAAAGCTATTACTACCCAAAAGGTTATCAAACATTTCGTTGAGTTGTCTGTATGGCAGATTAATTAAGAAATGGTGAAAATATACAAACTGGTCCTTTTTTTCTGATGTTTATTTGATATGCTGACCTGAAAGATGGCTACTTTGTGAGCAGTGATTTTTATGTATTTTAACAAATTTATGCCAATTTTTGTGCTGGCAGTGTCTTTATTCGATGAAAGAATTAAGGCAAACAAATAAAAATACCACTCCACCACTTTGTCACTGCTCCATCACCAATATAAATCAAGAATGGGTGAAGTTACTGATTACAATTTTGCCATTATCAAACTGGAAACCAACCACACTCGTTATTTTCACAGAATTTTAAAGTCTCAAGCTGATATTATGCTGCAACTTGCTTTCTACATTTCTTAAGTAAAGTTCCTTTACATTCAAGCAAATTTGATTTTTTAAACAGTCGTAACAACAACTGAGGAAATCAATCTACTGTGTGCTTCCAAACTATTTTTTATAACCTCACATGGTAAACGCTGGTGCAGTGTGCTCTAAAATTGAGGTTGTGGTTGCTGTCAGCTCCTAAAATTAAAGGACACACTCCTAATAGCAATAAAGTAATTGAGAAATTTGGTGGTTTAGTCTTTTAAAATACGATAAGGGAGAGCAAATAGTCACCTTTATGCAAAAAAAGAACAGTTTCTTCAATTCATCTCTGTCTTTCAGGAATCTTTCCTCCCCCTTAAACTGACCTGAAGTTGACCTGATCCTTTGTTAAAAACTCACGCTATCTGCTCTTGATGTTGAAACACAAAAATTAGTAAGAAAAAAATCACATAGAAATCAGAGAGTGGTTTCCTGGGCGCTCTTTTACTCAGAGCTGTGCCAAGCAGACTTAAGACTGTGGTTTGAAAACCTCCAACTCTGACAAGTTTGAAAGTTTCATGAGTGAATTCAGTACCAGCAGAACAAGTGGGTTTCCAGACGCAAGGAGACTCTCGGTTCTGCAAATAAGTGGAGTCCAGACCTCTGGCTGACACTTTGTGTAGGTTTTCCACCACTCTCCTGTTTGATCATAAAGGTGCAGAAAGGGGAAGGCCCTCTCAGGTAGTTCAAACTGTGGTGGCTTCAAAACCACCAAAGTGAAGAAAAAAAAGCTTATTTCCTGAAGAGAGGCAGAGAGGCAGGATGGCTGCTTTTGTTGATTTTGCAGCTTTTTACACTCTGCTTTTCTTTCTTTTTTCTATGGTTTACCGACTGAATTAGTGAAATAGATGCTCAAAATTAGAGCACAGATTTACCACAAAACATCATATTTCTACTCATTCTGCCTTATAGTGAGGCAGAAATCAAGCGCACTTTATCTTCTCAAAGTATTTCTGAGGCCTGCAGTCAGACGTGCAGGCGGGCATATCTTTTTTTTAGTCACTGAACCACAAGTCTTTTTTTTTTTTTTTCTTTACATGAAGAGGTCAGGAAGTCACAGAGCTCTCTGTTTGCACTGACTCTCAGTCTCTGACACATACGGGCTTTAATTTACACAGGACAACTGTCATACTGTAAACGGCTTACTTTGCAAAAAGAGGGGAAATGTTGTGTTAGATCATCAGGATGTTATTAAGACGACAGCAGGGGGACTTGTCAAGTGTGGGGCTGAGATGAATGAAGCATAGAGCACAACTCTGCAAATGGGAATAAGGCATTGTGTTGCATTAGTTTGATTTTTCTAACCAGGTAATCAATCCAAACATGTCTCCTGTGTCTTTTTTTAACAGCGGTGGTGCGATTCTCACCCTCGGAAAGACAGCATAGTAGTTATTCAAACAGAAAAGATAAGAGTGTGAATGCCTCTGAATGCAGTAGGGCAGGTTCTGCCTTTTTGTCTCTAACGCTACTAAATATACCCGACCGGCTTCTGTTTTCACTTCTGTCATTTTCTTCAGCTACTCCTCAGCTTGTGCACTTTCTTTTGGCTGGCTGTTAAATGACACGCAGTGTAGGAGTGTGGGAGGCTTCTACGCCCTGTTAAAAAATGATGAAGATGATGAAACTGGATGTTTTCCATCTTATTCATTAGGAACATTTAGTACCTTATTAGTCTTCTTTTGTATCTCAATTTAGATTTTGTTGGTGATTTTGCACAAAAGCAGTCATAAAGAACTTATTCTTTAATATCTATAAACCAGATTCAGGGGCATATGAGGTCTTCAGCCATTTTTAGGCAATAATCTGATCCCTGGCTCTTTTTATCATTGCATCCAGCCAAATCATTTTAGCTGTGAAGAAATACGAAAGATGACTATTTCATGAGTTTTGTAACTTTGTCCCTGAAGAAAAGATTTCACATCTCCTTGTTTGACCTTTTAGCCTGACCTCTTGTAGTCTGCGTTTGGAGACGAGAGCATCATCCATCTTTCAACATTGAGCATTTTAGTATTACAGGGGCGTCTTTGTACCTTTGACTTCTGTTCATCTCTGTTTTCTCTTAAGTAATGTATTTGTCTGTTCAAAAATCCCTGCAAGATACTACTTGAAAAGGTTTTACTGTATGTCTTGGCTCAAACACTCACACACAAACACATACACAGTGTCAATCCGCCTTGCCGGTATTGAAGCTTGCCAGACCTGCCTGCCAGTTTGCCGTTGGCCTTTTGTTATTATGTCATGATTGAGGCAATAGCTGATAAAAAAACATACTCCTACATGCTGCACTCTCACACGGGAGACATGTTCTGACATGTGGGAACCTGAGAAGCGGCTGAGGACACCAGCAGATCTGTCATGCATGTGCACAGACACACACATACACCTCTGCAAACACAACACACACACACAGCGAAAGCCTTTTTTCATCATCTATCACCTTTTATATGGCCTGACAGGGTGTGTGCACACACAGCGCTCACAAGTTAAATTCTGCAGAATTAGTTCTACAGTATTTCCATGAAAATTCACAGGAGAGAGTCTGCAGAGGAAATTAGGTTTTACTTTCAATCATCACTATGGTGTAACCGCCTGGCTTCCTTTTGTCTCTCTTAGTTGCATTAAAGAGGATTAAAGATTGTTTTTTAAAGCCACAAATGTGCAGTTTGATCTCTTACAACTATCTCGGGACTTGCTCTCTCTCGCCTTTTCCACATTATCTCTTACTCTTTGCGCTCCCACAACGTTTCTGCCTCCTTATGACGACTCGACGCCAAGCTGGACACAAGTCTTTTCAACGCTGCTTCTATTTTAAGTTTGGGTCAGATGGCATCCAGCCAACAAAAAGGAAAAATAAACAGGTTTCTTTGGTTATTAATAGTCAGCATTTTCCCCTCGCAGCAGCTTCCAAGGCAGTGGAGGCGATGTAGACACACACACATGCTTCTCTTTCCCCCTCCTGTTCTGAAACAATGTCACCTCCTTGGTGAATTTTAAGTAGTTCCTCTGCTAATTTTCGCTGCCGCAGTCCAAGCATGTAAAAAGGAAACAATTACTATTTGAGGGAGGAGGATGTTTGCTCCAGGGGGATGTTTTGCAAGGTAATGTGAAGCCATTTTTATACCTGGTGCTGCTGTACCATCGGAATATTGCTATTTTAGTTTTGTCCTGTTGCATAATTCCTCGCATTCTTTGTTACTTTCTCTTCCGTATCAGGCACTCGTTGATTAGGAGAGGTTTATTTTTGGTACTGAATACAAAAGGTTGTTTGGCACACCAGGTGTTTCAGAGGACTGTATCGATTATTTATAAACTGGTGCTACTCTGCCTCTTCCTCTCCGGAGTTTCTATGATTTTAATCTGGGCCTGGATTCAAGTTTATTGTCGCCAGCTTCAGAGAAGAGGAACAAAGCATGAGGAAACTCTATTGATTTGGTGTTAGTGATAAATAAGCCTTTTACCTTATAATCGATTTTCTGTACTCTAATTTTGCACAAAACGAGTTATTTTTAAAGCACCTGTAAGGAGTTTTTTATTCTTTTTTTTTACATTTACAAAAGAGACTGAACTTGATATTGCAGCTTTTTTATGATATTTAAATACAAACAAGATCATCAGAAATATAACTGATGATTTTTAGATTATATAGGATTTTTAATGACGGAAACCCGTGCAGGCGGGCAGGTTTCAGCCAAGCAGCTTTTCTACATTTTTCACATAAAATATTTACAAGAAATTATATATTTAACTTTAAAAAGCCAGAATTATAAGGTGTTATTTTTGACAGGAGATGTTGCTTCGGCATAGAGGACAAGATAAGCAAAGACTGTTTTGCCCACAAGGGGCACCAAAGTTGGCTCAAACTGAAAATCTTCACTGGAGCTTTAAGGACACTTATGTTATTGAAGTCCGTAGGGCTGTAAAGTTCTAGTTGACTTATTGTTCGATACTTGCTGAGCCGACCAAAATTCTGATTGGTGGACTCGATTATTTTCTGTGTCAATTTACAGCCTATGGTTAGTTTTATCAGGAGGAACATACCAAGTGCTAATGGGGGTGTTTTCAGAGCACCCCTGTTTCACAGGTAACAGTCTGTCTCAGAACAACCCCCTTTGTTTTCACCATTTTTGATTTGCCTAACCCACTGGAGACCAGCTGGAGACAGTAAGATTGAAGAGCGTCCATGTTAACAAACACCCCGTGGTTTGCTAAATATAATATTTGTGTTTGATTGCCTTCTTGTGCTGATATCAGTATATTTTTACTCAGCCGAGACGCGTCATCCCCTGCCGCAGAGGGGTTTGCCATCAGAGTTGGAAATTCCCCCCCCAATTGGTCAATTTTTGGTTGAAAATTTCAGAGTTTTAGTCAACCAAGAATTTGTTGGGTTGATTACAGCCCTAGTAGTCTGCTTTCTTGTGTTTCTTTTGAGTAATGAGTGTGCGAGTTGATTTGTAGGAATAAGCTTAGGTCATTTGGTCAAATAGTTGATAAACGTTGATGGAACAAAGTTTACTACATAATTGTACAACCTTATGAAGCACCAGAGATGATTTTAGTTACAAGTTGAAAGTTCGAAGCAGTTTGTTTTGAAGCGATGGAAAGCCTTAATTATCTGTCATTAAATAGAAGTTTTACAAGTGCACGCACAAAGCAAGAAAAACCAACACAACAAGCAATAAAACTAATCATTTATTCCAACTCACGCCATCTTCATTCCTCACCGCTTCTGTCATCTGAACTGAAGATGAACTATTATTTGACTCCAGCCTTGTTTGTAGCTGCCGACTATCTCGCCAACTTTGTGAAGATTTTTTTTCAGGCGGTGTAAAAACAGGATTATACATCCTTTTTTTTTCATTTAACCCGACCAACTGATTGCCTCACTGCATCTTTGGCTTTTCATGACTTTTCTGCTGACAGTTGTGACCAAATAACCAATAATAATCATATGCCTCGTATCTGTGGCACAAACTCATACATTAGCGTCACACACAGGACAGATTCATTTCCTCTTACAGAATCGCTGGAGTAAGTCTCACGTGTAAAGTACCTCCCTGAGATGAAAAGTCTTGGTCTGTGTCACAATAAAGTCCAGAAAACTTCTGGATTAGACGGATATACTTTCTATTGTACAAACCAACAAGACATAAATTATTATAAAGTTTGGAACAGATGCAGGCAAATGACAGTTTATTTTAACATCAGGATCTTTTCTGTCTGGCTCTTTCAAACTAGTCAGAAAAGCTGTTGGACATCTGTACAGCTTTTTCTTTTCTTTTTTTTAACATATTTTGTATTTGTCTTCCTTGCTAAGTGTTTTATTTCAGGTTTATATATATTTATGTCACCAAATAAGACAGAGGTTTAAGGATATATTTTGTGAGAGAGAGTAGGGAGTGACCACAGGTTTGAACCCAACACAGGCTGCTCACTTGAGGGTCACTACCTGTATTTGTTTGCGAGTTTAAACCACGAGGCTTTTAACAGCATCTGTTTACAGTTTTTGTACTATACTATTACACTTTACAGTCTCTGCGTAAACTTACTTGGAACTGATTCCAGTTTTTATTCTCGTGCTGATTCGAAAATCCTCTTTACAAATGATTTCCAAAAAGTCTTGTGTTATTTAACCTTGATTATTTAACTCATTCAGTATGCGGTTTGCTCGTGTGTGAACAAGAGTAACCTTTTAGACTTTGACCATATCGGCTCACTTCTCTTTTCAAATGTCTGGCAAACCTGAGTTAGATATCAGAATCACTGAAGAGCCTTTTTTTGAATTGTTGGACTGGAAACTTGGCGAGAACTTGTGGGGTAGAAATCTGTTTCCAGGACTGTTTGAATTTGCTCTTCACCTTTTTCAAACTAAAAAATGGTTAAAGATGCCATTCTACTTTGATACATCTTTGATGACTGTAAAAAATCAATATTAATTGGATATATGTATGAGTTAGCTACCTTGCCTTGAAGCAGCTGCTGTGATTTGGCTTGGCTCTGATTGGTTGCGCATTTAAGAGTTGGTTTGCAACCAGGAAGTGACCCTTGATAGTCTAAACTCAGTAGCAATAGTCACCACACATTCACTACGTCCCTTGTGACTCGGTTACGTGGAAATTTTGATTCCGACTTGACTCTGGGGAAAACATTTCAAATTGGACACCAAACGTACACGTGTTTGAACTACAGCTGAGACATGTGGCTCTTTGTGACATTGTACACTGTACAAAAGTCAACACCAAGCGACAACCTCCGGTCTTGAGAAATGATGCCAACGCAGAAGTGCTAAAAACTGCAGTTCCTTGAGTGTTTGTTTGAGGCTGACTGAAAAAGAACTGCCAACCTCTTACACAGTCCTTCAGAAGAGATTGGAGGATATAAGGGTTGCAAGTTTTGCAGCATTGACTAACAGGCAGAGTGCAGTTCATCGTTGAGCACTTCCATGCCACTTCTTAGTGGTTCAACTTAAAGTTAGGTTGACTCAGGAATGTGGCAAAAGCTGTGGATAGACTTCAAAATGAGCATTGTATCATACTGTCTATGATAATCACACACCAGGGGAGCAATGTTACTCGCAGACTTGCCCTTCGTTGGACTCACTTTTAGCACTTTTGTTATGAATGTCCTCTCCCCCAACAAGACGTAAAAGCAAATAAATTAAAATGCTTCAAATCAACTCTCAAAAATCATAGAAAAACTTGACTAGCAGACTGAGGTGAACATGTTTCAGTTGTTAAATAATGGCAAACCCTCGTCAGTTAGCGTTAAACAGGGGGAGGAGGTGTGAATGTGGTGTGAGTGGGTGAATTTGGCACGAAATGTGAAAGAGCTTTGAGTGGTCGGAAAACTAAAAAAATAAGTGCCATGTAGACACAGCCCGTTTTTTTTATACTGTGGCACCTACTTGGCTGATGAAACTTTTTTGTGGAGTGAAGTCAGAAAGTCAGCAGTGCTTTGGTAAAAGTTGCTCAAATCACCTTGACATGGATGTCGTAGGTGTGCAGACAGAGCGTCTCAGAGGCTGGTGTCATGGTTGAACAAGTGACCGAGTCAACTGGTGACTTTCAGCTGATGCAACTGTGGTTTTGGTTGAAAGGAGAACTGAGAAAACTTAAGAGTCTGTTGGATTCCTCTTCCTGTAGGTTTCCATGAAACATTATATCTATGAAGTATTTTTGTAGCCCTTTAATGCCTGAAACCACAAATTATGGCCAGAAAATTCAAAATTTTTTGGAGCTGAAATGTTTATTTCACTTACTACTGAAAACCCCAAAAAATTAAAATGTCCTTAAAATTTAACAAACATATTTATTTATCTCGTTTGATACATTAGATGTTTTTGGAAACTGATCAACTACAAGAGGACATTTTTATCATTTACCGGACTGTATTTAGGTGTTTTTTTGATAATTTGTTGATCATATTGATTTGATATAAGTATATAAAAATATGTATCGAATATGATACAAAATATGCAAAAAAGGGTTAATGTAATTTAAATCTTTCTGTTTCTAGCAGCTGTTGTAACGAGCGCCACCAACTCATTTAGATAAAAGCTGCAAGTTACAAGGGTAGCATATTGAACCGAAACACCCACATGTAGCCTATTTTCTGCTACAGTCTTCCTATTACTGGGACTTGAAGATTTTACATTCCCAATAAAGGAATTCTGCTGATTTGTAGAAGAAGAATCTGAATCCATCCCGTCATATAATCTGATTTAATGTTTGTATTTTGAAAAGTACATCCTACTACATTTACTACATTCATTTTGGCAAAGTCGAGTTAATCAAGTGAAAGCAGCAGTTACTCCAAAACTGGAAGTTGAATCTGTTACTCATGCCTTTAAACTAGAATAGAAAAATAACCTTTAAAAAAGTGGAAAAGGCTCAAAGCCACAGACAGGAAGTCTAAAAGCGTAAGGTTAAAAGGCAAAAAAAGCGATGTATTCATCCCCCCACACGAGTTTTCTTGGAATAAGGAAACTGTCGAGCACCACCAGCTGATCAGTCACTTCACAGCCTTCCAAGTGGAACAATAAAACCCCTTAAAAGTTGACAGGAGACCATTATATGAAAAAAAAATCTTTGGTGCTAACCCAGTTCATCATTAACAATAAGTGACTCTTCAGAAAGCTAAATTTCACATCCTTGGCCCCAGACGGGCTGAAGCTCAAACAGTCTCTGGAGTCTGTGTGTAATCACACAGTGAGCCACCCAAACAGAAACAGAGGAAGACGGTGTTTTGGACAGAAGAGACTTTCTTCAGTGCCAGAGTTCGTCTTGTACTCTCTGTGACACAATCTGCCTCCCTGTTTACAAGATAACAGACTGCAGGAATGAGCAGAAGGACGGGGGGTACTCTCCGTGGTTGTGAACATGTGTGTGGTGTTTCATGTGTTCAACTTGTCTGGCAGGACATTTGATCATTTACACAGTGCTGTGTGCTGAATGAGGGCTCGTCTGTCTGTGTTTTGATTGTCGTCTTTCTCATCTCACCCTCCTCTCTCTATCTTTAAAACTCTTCCTACTTCCTCTCCTCCTCTCTTCTATCTGCTTCTTGTAGTGGTGTTTTCTTTTAACAAGGCCACTTGCAGTCAACTAAGGATGTTGCATCAGCTGTCACGTCACTGCCTCGTCTCTCTCTCTCCACAGTAGACATGGTGGACACCCAGCAGCTCCTAGCCTGGCCTGTTGGATTCAGTCTAAACGCCGTGGATCTGTCAGAGCTGGACGACAGCTCCCACTCCCTCGACATGAAGCATTTGTCTACGTTAGACTACTCCTCCATCTCCTCCTCCTCTTCAATCCCTTCCTCTATGTCCCCCTCGCTCGTTTCCTGCATCTCCTCCGCTGGCGTGGCCTATGACCCCAGTCCACCGCAGAGTGAAGAACAGCTGACCAACATGGACTACACCAACGTTCACAGTTACAGAGCAGAGCAGAGCATGCACAGTAAGTACAGACCTGAATCACTAATTTCTTTTTGCTGTACTCAAAACTTAACAAAAAAAAAAAGTGACGTGCAGGAGGTAATACTGATCAGAAGCAACTTATAAGTCTGCTAGAAAGCTTTGTTATGAAAAGTGAGAGTAACATTCTGCAAGAGAGAAGTAGGTGTACGTGTGATTTCTTCGTGTCCCACCTGTCTGATACTGATTCCCGCCCTCAGACTCAATCAAGCTGGAGCCGGAGTCGCCCCCTCAGTACTCCGACAGCCCTGTGTTCTCAAAGCTCCAGGATGACACATCGGCATCAGCGCTTAACATCGAGTGTCGCGTGTGTGGAGACAAAGCCTCGGGTTTTCACTACGGCGTCCATGCCTGTGAGGGATGTAAGGTAAGACTGAGATATACAAGTGTGTAAAATAACTGAGAAGACTACATCTGTGTTGGAGAGGTAGAGACCCAAAAGGAGGGGAGAGAAGTAGGGATGTCCCAATCCGATATTGATATCGGATATCGGTTCGATATGAGCAAAAAAAAAAGATTATTGGATTATGTCGGCCTGCATCTAAAATCTCCGATATCAGCACTCCGATACAAGCAGTCCACTCCAGGCTCTGCTCCAGCATCTCAAGCTAGCAGCGCCCGGATCCAGCATGCAGCGTGCTTGCCTCGTCCGAATATAACAAGGAAAAGGCAAGCGCTAAAATAACTTTCGTTAATGTAGCAATCTAATTCGATTTCGATTTTGCTTTTTTCCGACTCGGTAACTGAAACGCTGGTAACTCGGGTGTGACGTCATTCCCAGCTCCGACAGCTGACTTCCGAGGTAACTCGAACGCAGCACAAAGTAGCAAGGAGTAGGAGTAATGTCGGCCATGTGGCAGTTAAAAAAAATGTCGCAAATGAGTGCAAAACTTGTCATGCACAAGTTTGTGCCGATATCGGATCAATATCAGTATCGGCCAATACCGAAGTGTACAATTTCGGTATCATATCGGAAGTAAAAAAATTGTATTGGGACATCCCTAGAGAGAACAGATGGAGCGACCTCATAGTTCATGCCAGGGTTACGATCCATCAATAATACTGTTATTTTTTCACTCTGCGTATGATTTTCATATCACGAGGATGTACACGTCGAACACTGCAGGTGTCGAAACTGAAAGTAAACACTCTCTGATCTCATCGATAGCAGTTTGTATTTGCCAAGCACCGGAAGAGCCAGAAAACAGTTTCAAATCAGTCCAGGTTTCATCAAGCATCTGCCTGGGCATCTGTGATGGCACCGGCATGTATGTTTACATTCTACAGAAATATTACACACAGATACCCAAACATGTGCAATTTGATCACCAATGAGACATTAAAAAGGCAGAAAATTTTCACAGTAAAAGGTTACAGTAAAAGGTTACAATCAGGAGTTAAACTTTCCAAATCTGTGAAAGGGGTCGCGACTTTAGGACAAGGGGCTCACACTCTAACACCAAGGCCGACTGCCGCCTCATAACAGGATCATTTCAGTGAATTAATCAGTCTTCGAGTCTTAAACTCATCTGCAGGGAGACTGACAGACATCTTTTCTGTCTGATGAAATCACAAATAGATCTGTGTTATGACTAAAATTTCACTACACAGCTGTGGAAAATGTTTTGATCGCTGCTCTGAAGATCGAGCGCACCATCTCAGTCATGTCAGGAAATGGAGACGGGTGTATTAGTTTCTTCTTTGAATTGTCGGGTTTTGTTTCTCTGCCAGTCTGGTTCTTTTTTCGGTCACTTGTTTCGCTCTTCGGTGAAACTTGTAAGTGGAATGTATGATAATGTGAAACATAAGAAAAGTGTGTATTTTTACATGTGTTTGATGTCTGTCACTTTAACCACAAGCCCCATGACTTTCCATTCTGCAAAGGTACAAGGAAGGTGTGAGCCTCAGCAGACACACTGCCAGCCCCTTCATAGCCTCTGTTGGTTTTTAGTGTCGAGTTTTAATAGAAGAGTGTGGAGGAAGTTTCACACATGTTTTCATTTTCTTTGAAATATCAAGACACTACAAGAAAAAGAGGGGGGCGAGATTTCTTTTGTCACTGCGCAGAATTTTATCCAGCCCAGTTTTGATGAAAAGTTTCAGTTTCTCCATAGTATTACATTTCTTCTTGATGAACTTAATGGAGGTCATCGCTGTCATTTTAAAAGTAGCTGAAAATAGTTAATATATGTCATTTGAGACCATAATCAGACACTTTTTTAAAATAGTTTTGACTTTCATTGAAGCATTCAGGGGTTTAAAACCAACTCCTACAAGTTCACAATCACGTCTACTTCTTTTCCTGTCATTAAACACACAACAGTGGGTTTTATGGTTTTAGTGGATGACATGTTTCTCTGTCACCACACTGTGGTTTATGTTGATTCCCCCCCACTTAAAACAGTCCGCTGATACTGTGAAAACAAGCTAGCAAAACAAATTCAAAGCTAAAACTGTGAACTAATATTGAAGTTTCCAGATGATGAAATACATTTTTTTAAGCCTTGTTCATTTTGTTAAATGAAAATGTGTTGAGATTTTAGCTTTTATATTTCAAATGGTTTTTTATTGAGTTTCCAAAGAAGTGTAGTGAGAGAAAACAAAACATAACAAAAAAGTTGGAACTGACAGAGAGCTAATTGACAAAACTGCATGAATGTCATACATGGTTCCCATCTCTAGTGTTTCAGCTTTCAGTAGATGTCATCTTTTAGTGTGTATGAAACATCACTGGGTTGAGAGCCACAGAAAAAGCAGGGAAGATTTACAGAATTCAGAAAACTAAACTGACCACTGACAAGGATTTCGCATTATAAATCAAGTTTCTGTTACTGAAACATTGTGAGATAACATAATTGTCTGATTTACCTCCTTGTTACCTCCGCCAAGGAGGTTATGTTTTCGGTAGCGTTGGTTTGTTTGTTTGTTTGTCTGTTAGCAACTTTAAAGAGAAAGTAACAGACGGATTGACCTGAAATTTTCACCAGAGGTGCGTCTCAGCCCCTGGAGGATCCCATTACATTTGGTGGTGATCCGGACAAAATTCTGGATACTGTGATCCAGAACACACAAAAATAAGGGTGTCGTTGGGATTTTCAATGCTGAAAGATAAGCAATGGGCGGCAGAGTGGTGAAGATAGGCAGCACAGTGGTGTAGTGGTTAGCACTGTCGCCTCACAAACATAAGGTCCTGGGTTTGAATCCCGGTCAGGGTATTTCTTGTTTAAGGGGGGGCATAAGCTTCTTGGCGGAGGTCTGCGCTCTCCGAGTGCTTTTCTAGTATTATAATGAACTGCATTATACTGAAAGGTGTTGTAATACTGATTTACATGTCAGAGCAACAACAAAATTGATTTGTAGTTTGATTTTATCAACCCTGTGCACCAGGGTTTCTGTTTTTCTGTCCCCTTATTCTAAGTCCTACTGTACTCTCACAGGATGAATGAAGCTAAGGCACTGTAGTCATTGTTCTACCAAAGTCTCAGGGGAGACTCTCCTGAAGAGAGAGGAGAGGGGTCAGCCAAACAGGCAAAACACTTAATTGTTTCAAAACAGAATACATTCTTTATTAAGGTGGAGTCCTGACCCCTTTTAACTTCCTCTTTCTTTAAATATCCCATGATTTAAAAAAGAAACATCTATGGAACTTAGGAAGGCAGATGCCAATCACATTCGACTTCCCATAAATCCAGATGTGGATCTGATAATAAAAAAAACAGAAACTTCAATACCCTGTTCCTGCGGAGCTTCCTTTGTTATGCTTTTACTCTATTCAATTCATGTCTTCATGAGCTTTTAGAGTCATTGTAGTCAAACAAACCTGTGACTGTGTGTGTGTTTAAGATTATGTGTTGGGAGTTTGACCATGGCTGTGTAGTTAAAAGATAAGCACAGGAGTCTTATGGCTCCTTTGGTCCTAAGGTTGAAAACATCAAAGCACGAAACAAACCTGAAGCACAATCCACTTTTAGATGTTCTCATGGGTAGGATGATTTACTTCCTCACTGATTAGAAAAGAAACAAGAATCTAATCTGCATCGGCCTGACAATAAATGCTCTCTAAGCGTCTCTGACGGTGAGAAACTTGTAGAAGATGATGGAAAGCAAAGTGGAAAATTGAAAAATAATTATTTTTCATTGCGGGAAAAGTTGATCTGTTCTTTACATAAACAATCCCAATATCACACCTATCCTTACTTGCCTGTTCAGAGTCACATGAGTTCATTTCAGATAATCTGTTACTTAAATGATTTTTTATACTTTAATCGTCTGCTTTTTCAGGGCAAGTAACCTTTCAACTTTATTCACGAGTCAGACATTCTTCTTGTCCAAGAGTGTCACAAATCTTTCACCATTTCTCAGAAATAGGATTGAATCGTCGGCGTAGAGCAAGAGAAAAAAAAAAGTGTGATATCTAAAGTGTCATTGTCTGAAGCATCTCTGTCTTTCTTGTAGGGTTTCTTCCGACGCACTATCAGGTTAAAGTTGGTGTACGATCACTGCGACCTCCACTGCCGCATACACAAGAAGTCTCGCAACAAATGCCAATACTGCCGCTTCCAGAAGTGCCTCAATGTTGGCATGTCACACAACGGTAAGACTGTGATACTACATTCAAAAATATGACTGAAAGCCATACTTGAGTGAAAGCACAGATAATCATTGGTGAAAGTTGGCTGCTCTAAAATTGCTTGAGGAAAAATTTAAGTATCTGATCAATTTTTCCTCAAGTATCAAAGGTATGTTATGCTAAACAAAAAGAAATTGTTCAGAATATTGATATTATCTTAATTTTTGAAGGAAACCATGAGTCTGTCAAGAGAGTCACAGAACCACAGAGCAGATCTGAGTGTGAATTAGTGATTTATTATAGAGATAAATGCACACAGGACAACCAATACCTGCGTATCATCCCATCTATTCTTCTGTACCACACTGTAATCCACCAATCCATTGATTTGATATTTCTATATAGATATAAGAAGCATAGGCTCTCCTTAAGGCAAATTTTGGACCCTTAGTTGACTTCAAATTATACAGTATATCTTATTTATTAAAAGCAATTTGAGGTGTGTAACTTACATTTGGTTCACACTTACTATCATTAAGCTAATGATTAATTATCAGAGTTGGAGACTATGTTTAATACCGTTAAGTTGCCATAAAGTTATCGTTGTATCACAGAGTTACAGACATTTAGAAAGAATTAAGGTAGTGAAGTGTCTGCACTTTTTATACCTCTCATCATCTGCTGATCTCCCTTTTCTCTCTTGCGACCTGTCCGTCTGACTGAATTGCATAAAAGCGTGCTGGAAGGGTCAACGCTTTTGGGGAAGTTATTTCAGGGTCTGACTTTTTACCCTTACTACTATTTTTGAACCATCAGAAGACCCTGAGTCGTGTTTTTTTTTTTCCATAACACTATCGTTGGTGTATCTCCTTTTGTTGGAACTTCTGCTGGGGGCTCACAGTGAGTGGGTGAATGGTTGAGCAAGTGAAAAAGAGAGAGGCAATGTGACGCTGCACCGAGCAAAGCAGACCTAGAAAAGCAAAAGGTCCACAATCTTCTTCTTCCTCGTGGAGTTGACACCCATATTGTTGCATTACTATACTATTTACTCATTTTAAGTCCCCTTTTTATAACTACAAATAAACATCAACCTTAAAACCAAATCAAAAATAATTCATGTAAAAAACCAAGAGATTATAGGGAAGAATCAAAATAAAAAGACACATTATATTTAGGAGATGTATTGAAGTTGAAGTAGAAGTTGTCAGAAACATTAAAGCTCAGGTAAAGTACAGATACTGTCAACATATACTTAAGTGCTGTAATGAAGTGATACTAGTTTTATCACAATACAGTATAATACAGTCATAGTTTGTACAACATGCTTGATGATTTAATTTAGGACAAACCTGAGACTCATTATTTAATATACAGGCAGAGTATCAACAGCTAAACAATAAAAGAGGTCAAGTTTGTGCTCATGTTGGTTCTTTCATTTTCACGTCCTCTCTTCAGACAGGAACAAAACCCTCTTTCACACTTGCTATAAATACGCGCCCTAAAGTAAAAGACTGATTCTTCTTCTTCAGAAGTCTGGTCCAGGAAACGCCTCCTTGTTCAAACCAGCTCTTCTGTCTTTGATGCCCCCCTCAGAGACATCTTCACCACACTGCTGCCAATTTGGTCAGAGGTGTTGTGATAAGATGAGCACAAGTGTACACCACTGCCCTATATGTTTCCAGTTTCTTCCTCTGTGGTCTTCAGCCGTATTCACACCCTTCTGTCATGGTCCAGTTCCCATCGTTGGTGCACTTGTGTACCTACCACAAAGTCAAGACTGTGGTGTGTAGACTAACTTTAATTCCAGCTCCACCTCCTGAAAACATTCACGCTTTTGTTTGGTGAAACTCTAATATTATATGGCGGCAAGTAACTGCCAACACCTCCCACACTTAGACGTCTGTTAGTATTAATTATACTGTCATCCAAAAGCAGTTCACTGCTTCTTCTTCAACAGCTTAACTTTCAACAACAAGCTGCTTCCGCTTTGAGACTATTGTGAACAAAGCAATTCGCAATTACTGGTGACACAAATATGTCGTGGTGATGATTTTTTCCACGATGATGGAACAAGCCACTCCTCATCTGCTGTGTTGCAACTACTGAAATCATCTATTGAACAATGAGATTCCATTTTGAAACACCATATTGAATCAGCGATAAAATGATTTTTAGTTTTTTGTTTGCCTTCGTTGGAGTGCATCACGCCCTTTTTGATAAAGCTGACTGCCTCTTAAGTTTCGGCATTGACAATGTCACCAGGTGGGCGTGGAAAGATTGCAACAGACTCTTTTGATTAATTTTGGTGCATCTGGAGGTGTTGGAAATCTTGCAGCTAAACATAATATTTCCTCTCATTCGAACAGTGCTTCTCATTCCCCCAGTTAAAGCCCCAGTGAGGAGTTTTTAGGTGTTAATGAAATAGGATCAAATTGATTGATCATCTCTATGTAGTCGCTTTATTTGGCTATCAGTGCTGTGTTAGCTGAAGTGAGCATGCTCCATAAACAGACTTTTTCATTACATTGTTTAATCTCATTATGGGGCTTTTATTACTTTGTTCAGAGGAAAAGACATTAGATAGAATGGGGAACCAGGGAGGGAGGGCGGGAACAGAGGGTCACAAGAGGAAACAAACTAAAGGCACCTGCTTCAAGGGCTGTAGCTTCTTAAAGGGATATTCTGGCGTAAAATTAGGTTAGAGTCAAAGACACCGTAGACACCCCCTCGAGAGATGAATGTTGCCGACCGCTTGCTTCTCTAGTTATACCAACTTCAGCAACGACTGCACGATAGCAATACACATTGTTCTACGTCTCCACGCACAAACCTCAACACAAACGCCACTCTATAGCCACAAATAATGCTCAGAACAGCACCTAACTTCATCAACAGGACATATAGGGTCCAAGCCATAGTACTAGCCATCAAACATCTTTTTAGCTCTGCCTGATTTCTTTAGCAAAGACACCTAACACAACTCACCTACTCTCTTCCAGCAGCCGCTTGTTTGTGGGGGAGCCCTGACGAGTTGATCACCAAGTGCAGCGGATCATTTCCTTGAAGTAATAATCATCGAAATAATCATTTGTAGACAAGGTAGTTCTTCTGCCTGATTGCATTTCCATAAATTAGTGATCATAAATGTTCTTCCTTGAGCTGCGAAACTCCGCTGCACTCGGTGATTGACTCGTCAGGGCTCCCCCACAAACAAGCGGCTGCTGGAAGAGAGTGGGTGAGTTGTGTTTAGTCTCTTTGCTAAAGAAATCAGGCAAAGCTAAAAAGATGTTTGGTGGCTAGTGCTATGGCTGGGACCCTATATGTACTGTTGATGAAGTTAGGTGCTGTTCTGAGCATTATTTGTGGCTATAGAGTGGCTTTTTGGTTGAGGTTTGGGCGTGGAGACGTAGACCGCTGTGTATTGCTATTGTGTGGTTGTTACTGAAATTGGTATAACTAGAGAAGCAAGCAACTGGTGACATTCATCTCTCGAGGGGGTGTCTAACTCAGTGTTATGGTGGGTTTGACCCTAACTTAATTTTACGACGGAATATCCTTTTAACATAGGACCTTTTTTAACCCCTAAACTAGTGCCCCAGTTTTTGTCTTTTGATGTATATAATATTTTGAATGTTATGTGACTTTTCTCAATGGGATGAAACATTATCGCATAGTTATACAGGAGATGAACAGCAAAGAACAGAGAGTTACTTTCTCACCACAGAGGGCGCCAAAATCAAAGCAAACGCTCAGGAGCTTCAAAAAAAGAAAATAATCGACTAGTGGGAGCTAATAACAAACCATGAACCAAAGCTGTAACTCAAAAGGATTACTTCTGTGTTTTCTAACACTGAGTAAAACAAATAATTAATTATTAAACTTATTTATAAAGATTAACGCTCACGTGGGTGATATTTACAAGACTACACCTGGTGGAATGTGATCGGTTCTCACTGTGAGAAGCTGTGAACACTCGCACACACCCCTCACAAAAATGACCAGACAATGAAGAGCCGAAGATTCTCCTGTCTAAAATCAATCATACTGTGAAGGAAGGGCAACTTGTTTAGAGACAGATAATTAGACACATTATTTGGACAACTGTGTGAGTGATTGTAGCCTCCAGTGTGTTTTTCATCAGCATGCATTGAAAATCACGTCGCATTGAAGGTGTTTGCGGAAAATCTCCCACATGCTAGCTGCTCTTATTCCTCTCAGCTTGTCTGGTCCATTCTTTGCCCTTATTAAGGTGAAGGTTTGCAGCACAGGCTTTATCTTAACAGTGTTTAATTGGTATATATAATTGTTTGTTTCCACTCTACAGCCGCTTTGTTATCTTTCATGTCGCCTTGCTCGCTCGCTGCCACATGTTGTTTCTCTGCTCTCACCATGAGGAAGAGTCTTTGCTCTGTGTGGGTTTATATTTATCAATGATTGACGTCTCAGAGTGCATAGACCTCAACTGATTTCTCCAACCTGCTGTGTCATTGCAGCAGGCACTCTGCCAAATAATGGTAGGGCAACGCTGGTTTGTATTCATTTGCTTAAGGTGTGCATTTATCACCCAGTCAGCATTACACAATCGCATACACGCTGCTGTAAATGCAGCACAGGTTCTGAATGAAAGGATGATTAATGACTTCCACTGAGAGAAAGACAAAAGTTTAGCCGTTTCACAACATGGGATCACCTTACAGTGAGACTGCCAAGTGTACAAGCGTATTTTACTCCTTATCTCATAATAGAAGACATTATTTACCTGCAGTAAAAGGGCACAAAAACTGAGTAAAGAAATGAACACAGTTACATTTCTATCAGCAAATGTTGGAATAAGATCTGGCTTGTTTGCTGGGTAATATTTAAAGTTCATTGAAGTATAACCTGAAGGGAGACGTGGTGTTAACCAGGTTTGCACTGAGCTGTGATAGCATATCTAATAGAAAGGCATGAACATGTTTTTGAAGGGAAGGTATTATACTAAATAAAGCACCTATTAAAAACCACAAAGAGGTTAATTATCACTTATTTTCCCCTGCGTTGAATCATCATAATATCTGTGGTTCATGTGTGAAAAGTCCAAAACCTAAAAATAGTTGATCTGCTATCACTGAAAGAATCTGGGACTCTCTCAAATACTAGTCAGAGAAGTCATTAACAGAATTTCCCCTGACTGATCAATCAAGTTTTGCTGATACTCTGGTGACCTTAATCATTTCTTTTGTGTAAAACTTTAAACTTGCATTTGCCCTAAAAAAATAGCACTCGTTCTCAAGGTTTTGTTTTGTTGGTTTGTTTCAAAGTTTGAAAATGTCTAGAAATTTCCAAAAACATGCGGTACGTGTGTGTGCATCATGTATATGCCTGCAGAGTCCAGTAGATATGCCTGTTATGTGTGCGTACCTGCAGGATTATTCTTGTCCACATTATGTTTTCACATACATATACCCGTGTCCACAGTGTATATTCACTCTGTTAATCTGTGTTTCTCTTTGTCCATTTCCTTTCTCAGCTATTCGTTTTGGCAGGATGCCACAAGCAGAGAAGGAGAAACTTCTGGCTGAGTTCTCGTCTGACATGGAGCACATGCACCCGGAGGCTGCAGATCTGAGGTCTCTGGCCCGGCATCTGTACGAGGCGTATCTAAAATACTTCCCCATCACCAAGGCCAAGGCCAGGGCCATCCTCTCTGGGAAGACTGGAGATAATGCAGTAAGAACTACCTTCACTGTGCTTTACTTTTACACATTTGCACTGTACATATAGTATACCTGCATACAAGATACTTGATAGACTAAGTGTATGAGTATCAGCTTTCTTAAATGTAACTATCTCAACTTTAAACCTCTACACGGGTTTCTTCCTTATGCACGTGTCAATTTCTCTCTGCACTTTGTTTTTAGTTTCTGCTCTGAGTTTCTTTTAGATGATGTCTTTTTAAGCTTCTTTTGCTGCTCTGACAGGAAAGTGGTTTGACTGGTTTCTACAGGTTTGGGCTTTTTGAGACAGTGTCAGATTACAGCGGTCAAGCTGGGTAACACAGCTTCTCTAGTGTTACTCAGAGAGTTACAATAATGATTTAAGACATTCAGTAATTTATGCAAGTTGACTGCATGAATGTTTTTATAGCCCACATCATGGATGTTAGATGTCATCTTCGCTTTTGAAATGGAGATTTTGAGATATTGAATCTGAGTTTTCAAAACCAGGAAATCCACCTCAGCTTAGTTACAAGAGGCAGCTAAAAAAAGTGCAAATATCTAAACTTCACAGTGCACATGGGGGCAAATACTACAGTTTAGTAAAGGATTGACAGGATATTATAATAAAAAGTTGATGATACAGTAGATATAAGTTGCATTATCCTACATAAGACAAATGAGCTTGATCCTTTTCGGAAATGTTCAATATTTTTGAATATATACCCTATTAACAATAAATCAAGATAACCTTTTTGAATACTTAAAGCTACTGTGAGGGGTTTTTAAAGGTTTATGAAACAGGCTGAAATGAGCCTTGATGCATTTTCATGATGTAAAGAAACATTTTCAGTGAGACTGACATTTTCTATATTGTAATTTTTAACACCTTTGACTGCTGTGAGGGTGTAGGTACGCCAAAGAAACGTACTTTGTTATGATTCCCACTGCAATAATTCGAAAGCGATTTACAAATTTCAAAGTGAAAAGACAACAGGGAGGAGTATTTATCAATTGGTGAGCCGAAATCAGCAACAATAAAAGAGTTACTGTTTTGTCCACAGGGGGCGCCAAAATTGACACAGACATAAAGTTCCTTACAGGAGCTTTAAAAAAAAACTTTTTGAAATACTAAGTGAACGTCTTTGGTAAATCACATTTGAGCACAGATGGTGTTACTGGAAATGTTGAACTATGTGTCTTTTCCTGATTGTCACATTTACTTAGAATAAAAAGTAGTCCTGGTAGTGGTGTAAGTAGTAATAGAAGAAGAGAGATTTCACATTCGTTTTCTTCTTTCCTTTTTGCAATAGTCTCGGTCAGATCTGATACATTCAAGGCCAATCTGGGTCTTTCTGGTCAGGTTGTTATGACTGTTCATCACAGTGATAGGAGCAGCCGCAGGAAGTTTTGGGTTACTGACAAAACCACAGCAAATATCCCGGGACAAACAGGGAGTCAGAGAAACAAAGAGCAAGTTACACTGTGGAATATTTACATGTTTTTAAGTAAGAGGTTTTGATTTCTATCAAAGTACATTTAGCTGTTGTTTGACGCTTCTGTTAAGTAAATAATTTAACAGATTTTAACCTGTCGTTTAAAATCTCTTCAGACTGCAGACTGATCAGGCGGACAAACGGACTCTAAAGAGAACGTTTCATAACCTCTGGATATTATCTCTCGCTGTCGTTTCCTTTGTCAGGTCTCACTTCTCATTTTATCAGCGTGTAAAAAAGACGGGTTAAGTATATGAATGGTCCCATTCATCACACAGGCCGCTGCATGTCGTTGCCAGTATTTTACCAGACAGAAAGCGTGTTTTTAACTCAGTTAAGCTTCATTTACCTGCAAATGTTGTTTTTGTCTGCCTCAGCCTGCAGCTAACATTTATTTACTTTGCCCATCAGACATATGAGATGTGCCGTGTTTGCTTTAGCAGGTCTGATGAATGAGCCATGACCAAAGTGCATACACAGTATATGGGATTTGCGGCTCACATGTCCTCAGAGGACCCAAAAGGAGCTGACACAGATTTTTTTTTTACCCTTTTCTTTTCTGCGATCATTTTCTTTTGTTTTTTTCTTCCCTCCTCAAATCTCTTTTATGTCTTTTCTCTTCTCTCCTTCCAGCCTTTTGTCATCCATGATATGAAGTCTCTGATGGAAGGGGAGCAGTTCATTAATTGTAGGCAGATACCGAATCAAGAGCAGCAGCAGCAGCAACAGCAGCCCACATTTGCCCTCACAGCTGCATATGGAGGTTAGAAGCACAACACACTTTTCTCATCGTTATTTGGAGATGAAATCAAGTCTGTTTTCTTTCATTTCTTTAAGATCAGTTGCTTGTTGACTTAGGTAACTTAATTTTTATATTATCAGTCAACAAAACTGCTTTAAGGAAACACATTTTGTTCCCAACTAATGCTGAATTTTGTCCTTTTATCCAGTTTCGAATCTCCCAGCAGCTCACCAAGGTTTAGAGCGTGAGATTTCAGAGGCCGTGGAGCTGCGTTTCTTTCAAAGCTGTCAATCACGCTCGGCTGAAGGAGTGAGAGAGGTGACGGAGTTTGCTAAGAGTATCCCAGGATTCATCGATCTGGATCTCAATGATCAGGTTGGAGGATTTAAAACTGCTGCTCCTTCATTTTCTCTCAAATCTGTGTGGATGGTTGTGTCATTGACTGTAATCTCTTCCCAGGTTACCTTATTAAAATACGGCGTTATAGAGGTTTTAATCATCATGATGGCGCCTCTGATGAACAAAGACGGGACTCTGATCTCATACGGACAGATCTTCATGACGCGGGAGTTCCTCAAGAGTCTCAGGAAACCTTTCTGTCAGATGATGGAACCAAAGTTTGAATTCTCAGTCAAGTTCAACACGCTGGAGCTGGACGACAGTGACATGGCGCTGTTTCTGGCTGTTATCATCCTCAGTGGGGGTGGGTGATTTTTTTTTTCCCTTCAGCTTTCTGTCGCCTATAAGAGCTTTAAAATTGGAATTCTTTGATAGCAGTCTAATAAATGTGTCTGTAAATGTGGACGAGGAGCCAGGAGAGAGCCACCATAGACCAGCATAATAACCAGACACAAGAGCCTGAATCCAAATAAAACTATAACTTGTCATTTTACTCTTGATTCTCTGTACAAATTGAAGCAAGAAATCCTAGTTTGAATTTCCTAGTACTATATTGGTGGGTATCAGCGCCCCAAAGGCAAAGATTTGCATCTGCTTCTGAAAAACATAACACAAGAATTATTCACCTCTTCCACATCCTGTATCAGGCTCTGATTATAATGAATTTGCAGTCTTTTGTTTTTCCGGAGGTTTTGCAATTGAGGAACCAATCTCAGCTCTTATGGTAACATTGTTGCATAGATATTGCATTGTGTAATCAACAGTTACTTCATCCCAGGAGGTTAAAAAAGGGTGTACTTTAACTTTAAACAAGCTAGATATTTGTTCAGTGAATTTTTTAGTTGTGCTTTCACACCTGAAATGTTCAGAGTTGTTTTGACTTAGGTATCTGGACATATGAGAGCACTATAATCACAGTCTAGTGTGGATCTCAGCTTGATTTCAGTTTGTAGTAAAAGGACAAATAGCTGCTTGACACATGAAACTACTAATTGTAGGCTAGCGGTAACAGATTTGTTAACATGGCTGCGAGGGAATTTCAACGACAGCTGATTTTTTTGGTTAAAAATTGCAATAGGCTGACGTTACTCACTTTCTCCATACAGTCCAGCATCAGCAGAAAAACTGGTGCAAGGTGTGGCAAAATACACCGGTTCAAGAACTGGTTTAGTCTGATCTGTTGAACGAGGGGAATTCGCTCTTTTCATCACTGGAACCTCCACATTTGCCAAGCTGGGGTTTTAGCTTTACACGCTACAGTTCAGGTTTCCTTGCCTTTGTTTTGAAGCTGCTGGACACAGCATCAACAACCCCTCACTGAAAAGTTAATAAACTTTGTAAACTTCTTTATTTTACCAGTAACTGGACTTATTATTAGGGTGGCCATATTCTGAATCCCTAAAAAGAGGACACTACTACGCGGGAAGGAGTCACAGAGTTGCGCATAGTTAATTTTGAGAGTTTTTCGGGTCGGGTCGAGTGTTTTTTATGCGCTTCTAACTCAGTTAGTCCACACTACACAAACTCATAACTTGCATACAAAACCCCGAACATTTAAAGGATTTTATAAACCGCCTCAGACAAGGCCGGACATCCCCCAAAAGAGAGGACATGTCTGGGTAACAGAGGACGTATGGTCGCTCTACTTATTATGCTTAAATGTGCCTAAATGTGGATAAGACACTGACCTCCTCTCTGTCTCAAGTTAACAAACATCTTATTTTGTTAAGCAAACATTCTTTAGGGTCTTGGAATTAGCTTCCCACAATGTGAAGTACATGCCATGTATACAGACCAGCGTGCATGACATTTGCTCACTTACACAATGGGTAAAAGGATGTGACCTTTTCTGGCTTTGTCCGGGGGAGTTGATAAAATCCTTCAAATGTCCAGAGTTTTGTTTGGAAGTTTTAAGTTTGTGTAGTGTGGACTAACTGAGTTAGAAGAGCATAAAAAACACTCGACCCGACCCGAAAAACTCTCAAAATTGATGACTTGCGACTCTGTGATTCCGCCCCGTGTAGTAGTGTCCTGTTTTGGGGGATTCAGAATATGGTCACCCTACGATTGGTGACCATTTTTTCAATTCTACTTTAAATTTTTCTTACTGAACATCCTGTGTCATCTGCTTACATGGAGTATCATTTATTCAGATCTAGCGTTTTCATACCTGAGGTGCCTTTAGTGGTGTGACATCATAGAAGCATGACACAGTAAAGGCATTTTAGGTCAAGCAACTGTTTTGTTTTTATCTAAAAAGTGTCCAAAAGGACCAGTTTTGCGCCGTCATGTTGCTCCAAAATGTTCTCACTCGATGTCAGATTACGAGAGAAGTGAAAGGAGCATGTGCAAGACATCTATACAGACAGAATGAGTGTTAACATGGCTGTTCAAGCAAGAGTAAACCCCCTTTGTTGATATTTCACCACCTAATATTTCATAATTTCTCTAACAATTAAACCTCTTTTAGGGCAGAGGATTTATATACACTCTTCATAGTAACCACAAGTGATCAAGCCTCTCTAATTTCTCCCACAGACTTCTCAGGTTGTCTTGTAACAAAAACGGATTTTTTTCTCCCAGCAGACATGTGGCATCAGATCAGTTAAGCTCACCATGAACCTCAAGAGTCATAAGGTGGCTGCTGTTGACAGAGTTAAGAGTTATAAACCTTGTTGAGTTTTACATGCCTTTAAGGCCTGCCTTGACCCATTTATCTTCTTCTGCGAGGTGAGGGATATTATTAGAGAGAAAAGGGGAGTAGAAGTGAAGGTGGATGAATCATTTTTTTTCACGTGGAAGTTATAAACGGCAGCTACATCACCTAACCCTGCAGTGAGGTTTTATGGTCGCTGTGTTGTTGAGAAAAGCTTGACACATTTGGACAAGGATGACAAAGTAGGTCAGGTTTCGCAGACGACCACAAGAGGGACTGAAAACGACTCAACTCTTTATGGGTGTAAGAAAAGTTCAGAAAGAGGAAGGCGCAGAGGTGTATCCTCGAGGGGTTAATGGTTTAATTCAAAACCAAAAGATACGTTTGTCTGTCCTTTACTGTAAAACCCAAACTCTGTGATCTAATGTATCAGGTTTGCGTGTGGCTACTTGATAAAAGTCTGGCCTTGAACTTGATGAGAATTACAATCAGACATTTAAGTCAATTATTAACTTAAATGACTGAGATTATGGCGTAAAAAGACGATAAGATGGCTTTTGTAAATAGCAATAATACACCTACGCTCAGTAATAAGGGAGAGCTAAATAAAGTGGGTTGATTCAAGGGATTAAGAGGTTTTTTTGTTCTTTAGTCTTCAGTCTTATAAATTTGGATTATCCTCCATATTTCTCCTTCTGTTTTCCTTTTTTTTTAACCAAGTTATTTCACTCTCCGTGGGCATCTTCATCACATTTTATCCTCTCTATCTCTATCCCTTCCCAGACCGTCCAGGCCTGCTCAACGTTAAGCCCATCGAGCAGCTCCAGGAGACGGTGCTCCACTCACTGGAGCTGCAGCTGAAAGTAAACCACCCGGACTCTCTGCAGCTGTTCGCCAAACTGCTCCAGAAAATGACGGACCTGCGTCAGATCGTCACCGACCACGTGCACCTCATCCAGCTGCTGAAGAAGACAGAGGTGGACATGTGTTTACACCCTCTGCTCCAGGAGATCATGAAAGACTTGTATTAGAATTTTCACTGAGAGGAAAAAAAAATAATCGATGTTATCTTTGAAATCAGGGTGAAATAAATGAGAAAGCACAGACAAAGAAGGGTTACCGGACATGCTTGCTAAAAATGAGAAAAAGAAGAGAGAGGAAAAAGAAATCAAGGAAAGGAGAAAGAATCTGAGTGTCGAATCTTGTCGAGACAGCAACATGTGAAAACTTTGTGGTGTACAGTCATTTAGCCACTGCTGAGCCTGGACATTTTGTGAATGAGTCGGCTGCCAAGTAAAACACGAGACAACTACCCTCTGCACCAATCAGACCGAGTGTCTCTGACATCCTGGAAGAGCAGGGGGGACTTTCTTTCTTATTTGCTAACTTCGAAAAATGAACACAACACGACACACACTTCAAGAGGCAGAATGAATCACTGTGAATATTTTACACCACGTGTCATATAATGCTCATGTGCAGCTTATCTGCGCGCACACGTTCAGTTACAACTGTCATAGGCGGCGCTGTGTTCGTGCCTCCGAACCTCTGTGAACACGCACAAATGCATTTTGGCATCAGGGAGGAAGGTGCTATCTCCTTTTGAAATCAGCTCAATCCAAAGACAGAAACGAGATTATTGCCTGTAACATATTTCAGACTCAGCCACCTGCAGAAACTGTGAGACGGTGTGAAGCACCAAAGAGGAACACGAGTGCTCAGATGTCAGCTCTTTGTGAAAACATGAAACAGTTAGTGTCTGATTGTGCCTTCAAGATTTGCTGTTTGACGTCTAATGGGGAATAAATGCCGTTTTAAATACATACATTACAAATTTATAATGTATATGTCTTTATATATTTTATAAGGTTCAAACTGCCAAAACATTTTGCTTTTTTTGCTTTAATTGTTATAGAAATTTGTAACGAGATGTTTGAGTTTTACTATGAAATTATTTTGTACATATGCAAAGTGTCGACTGTGTCTGATCAATCAGATTTTGTTTTTCAAGGGGCGTCTTCTTGAAAAAAAGGGATTGAATTTATTACAAAGGGCCAGGGAGGGGAAGTGTAATTTGTTGTAAATAAAATATTTTCTAACTTTTTATTTAAAGTGTGCCTCTTGCTTCAAGTCATAAGAGTCTAATACGGTGCTATACAAAGCTCTGTTTCCAAATAATGCATTTTTCTCAAAAGCTTCCCAGACACCCGAACTCTGGGAAATCTTTTTCTCAGTCGTTACATCAGCTGTCCTCAGTGTCTCTTAGCAAATTCAACACACCCTCCTCAAACGATTGCAACACATGAACTCTGCTGAACCGTGCCAGAAGACCAAAGTCTGCAGATACAGATTTGATCACCATCAGGCGAAGGAACCTGTTTATTTTTAAAGTATAATATATTGTGTTTTATATGCTGCCACATTCCTGAAGGAGACACCAGCTCCTGTTAACAAGTCAGTTTACTAAAATGTGAAAAATACCACCTACAGGAGAAAGTGTGCAACAACAGGGTCAGAAATAAAACTTGGGACTTGTTTGTCATGTTGACTCAAGTCACCTCATCGCTCAGTTACACAAAGAAATCCTGCCGTCTGGCATTTCGCCAGTTACATACCATGCAGTACAAGTTTACACATCCCCTGTGAGAATAATGATTTCCTTTACATGAAGATTTAAACAGTGACGGCAGCAAGGTCTGTGAATTTAGAAAAATCAGACGACAGACTTTAAAATAACTTTTTAGAAGTCTGACTGATGTGTTCATAAACTGGCCATGAATAAAAACTCCTTAATGTTTTGATAGTCAGGAGTAGAAGACACGTCTGTCTTCATGTCAAAAAACCTCCTCACTGAGCATTTTTTGAGGTCTAACATACGTAGATAAATGTAGCCTAGATGACCGGCCTAAAATCAGGCTACCACAGATGTTGAATGAAAGCTTTTTAGACGTATAAATTTAGACCAAGTTTGAACTAAATCTAAATCTGGGCTACATCTATACTACACTGTTTTATGCTCAACGGCTTTCATAATTATTTTGGTGAAGTACTTGGAGATCAGTTATGCAACTCACAGTTGCTTTTTTAAATAAATAGTTATCGAATAATGGGTTTAAGTCCAACGTCTAAATTCTGTCTAACAATATACAGAATCTAGACAGTTGAAATTAGGTCTAAAAAAAACTAAAAGCTGTCTATTGCTCAGTGGGTTTACAGATAAAGACACTATGTGTGGTGTATGATACTGTATTGGAATCAAATAATGCATTTTTTTGCTCTGCTTTCTTGCTTTACATGAATAAAGCTCTACCCATCAAAAGAGTCTCCATGGGACCATTAAGCTGAGAGATCAAAGCTGCATTCAGAAAATAAGACATTAGCTTAAAAGCTCTTTACAGTACCATAAGGGAGAGGACTGAAGAGTGGTGGCAAAGTAAGTAACTATGAGTTATTCGCTCTTACCAACCTCTTAAGCATCATAGTGTCTTGAAATCCGACCTCTTTGGAATTCCTCTGATTATTTTTTCTGTGTCTTTCATCGCAGCTCTGAGGGCCTTAACCATAGACTGCATATATTATTGACAACTTGGTTCCACCTTCCACCAGTATACAGATTTGAAGCCGAAAAGCTCTCAGTAATTCCACGTGTTTTCTCCACTTCCTGAAACCAGAATTGCGCAGTAGCATTGTACGCATTCGACGGGAGAGTCGCCAATAGTCGCTGTGATGGCACTCGGCTGTAGCCTAGCTGGGCCATCCTGTTGCGTAAATCACTTGCCGTTCCTTCCCACAACAAGGGGTGGGAAGGAACGGCAAGTGATTCACGCAACAGGATGGCCCAGCTAGGCTAGCTCGGCTGTGTTTGAGTTACCTCGGAAGTCAGATGTCAGAGCTGAAAATGATGTCACACCCAAGTTTCCAGCATTTCAGTTACCAAGTCAGAAAGAAAGCAAAATCGGAGGCGGAAACAAGATGGCTACATCTACAAAAGCCTTATATTCGGACAAGGCAAGCGCTAAAATAACTTTCATAGATGTAGCCAAAACTCATGAAAGTTTGCATGCGCATCAGGTCTGGTGAAAAAGACCAGATTTGCTGTATATTTTATGGGTTTTCAACATGGCCGAGAAGAACTGGCTCACTAGTGCCCCATGACAGTTCCTGATCTTACAGCCCCTAACAGCAGTTTTCCTCATAAAGCTGATTTTTCTTACACATATCCGGCTTCCCCGGACCAAAATAAAAGTCCCCCATCATCATGGTGAAATGTCAACGGGAAGCCAGGTAATTTGGGAAGAAAGGGGGAAAAATCAATGATCTTTAGGTGATTTCCAGGGGTCCTTTGAAAAGTTTCTTCTCATACCAGGTTCATCCGATCTGCTTTGAACAGGTTTATGGGTAGAAGAGACTTGAACAATGAAAAACTAATGAGCTTGCCATGAAACAGGAAGAAGCTTTTTTCTCATTCATGTATCACTATGCATAATAGGGGTCAAGACCCTATTATTACACACAGATTCATGTGGTAATATTTTATCCCAGTTATAGGACTTCCTTGTGGGAGTAGGAAATGTCACTTTGGAGCTGAATCTCCATATCTGCATTTTTTTGGCTCAAGTTATCCTCAAGATGTTGATTTTAACGTGTGCCAGAAACTGTGAGGTGTGAGGACCCGCTCAGTGTTGCTTACAGCTGTAGTTGGATTTATTTTTCCAATGTATGACAGACAATCAAACTCACCCAGCATTTCAGGGCAAATGGCGCCCATCAAAGAGTCTGGTTCAGCTCCAGATTCAGTGGAAGTTTGACTGTACCAATGTTTCCAAGTCATTTGTTGCTACAAATGTAAAAAGTTGTTGGGCGAGTCACCATGAATATTTTCTGGGGAAAAGACAAGTTATCACTGAAGGATGTATAAGTGGACTTGAAAAAAAGGCAGTGTTACTCAGAGGGATGAAGGCCGTGAGAACATAAGAGTACCGGACAAGTTTGGCTTTAAAATAAGGCTTTGAATTGGCAGATGATGTTGTTTTTGGTAGTAGGGGGTTTCTGGCTCTTACCCCAATAGTCCTCTTGGATGGTTGATGATGATAGTAATTAAATGTGCTCTTTATGTCGAGTCAGCATATCCTCACTTTGTTACAGCTGGTCTCTGCTGACCAAACCCTGCCAAGAATTCTGAGCTAATCTGCCAAATAATTTTCAGAAAGTATATTTCTGCTGTTGGCTGTCCTCGCTGAGCCAAGCCTTAGTGAGAGATTGTGATTTACTCGGGGAAGTTCTGTTTTTGTTCGAGATCCTTTACAAACAGCAGCTCCATGTTTTATTCTCTTTTGTTTTAGTATCAGAGAGGAATTTCACTCCCACCACACTGTGATACCTGATATGTGTTTATGTGGGTCCTTGGACGAGCCTTGTTTCTGAAGTGCTACACCTGCCACTGTAAGATGAATACAGCTTTGGGGGATTTTTCTTTCTTTCATATGGCCACAAAGACAACATATTGAAAATTTATATGCTTGACTGTAAGTTCTTTTGAGCTCAGATGGAAAACATTTTAGACTTTCTAAAAGAGAGGAAAACAATCTTGACATTTAGTTTTAGATTCAGTCAGTCTAGATATGAGGTTTAAGATACACAATTATGCTTATACTTTAAATAGAAAATGTCAGATGTAGTCCTGCAGGCCATGTACTGTAAATAACTAAAAGTTCAAATAACGACAACACAAAGCAAAAATAATAAAGTTAGAGTCCCTGTATTCCTATTATCACTACTTTACTCTGATATGTTGAATGTTGCTTGTTCAGTAACACAGACAGATGAAGATTTGCTCATGAAATCTGAATTTTCCTAAAATTTTCCTTTGATTTCTCTGATAAACATTTTAGCAGAGCTCCATGACTTAAATTTACCATATGCTTCCAAACAATACTATACTCATTTCACAATGTGAACTTACAGCAGTGGTTCCGGCTAAGATATTGCCCAACACCGAAACAACCAGCAGGCTATTTTTGTCCAAAGGATGCATTCAACAACTATTGGAAATGTTGGCGTGTCTTTCCACCCACAGACTTCAGACACTGATTGGCTGCTGCTTTAGCTGGCAGCTACATGATAGGCTACCTGCGTCAGGTGGAATTTCCAGAGTGATCAAGTAATTCTTCAATACAATTACATGACACTGTAGCGGAAAAATGGAACAGGGAAATATGTGGTGACCCAGTTTAGCTGTTCTGTTGTAGGCTGTGCCTAAAATAGGGAAACTTCTGGTATGAATATTACATTCAAATTCTCAGTCAAACCAGAAACAGGAAAAAAAAACTGGCACAGGTCAGTAGGGAATTGACATAAAATCCCCTTTTCTTGACATATTTTTAATATATAATTAAGATGAGTCAGCAGTTAGCTAGCTTTAGGGGTTCTTGTCATCTTTTAGGCTTCTAAATAGAGACAAGCTAGCACAAAATTAACAAGTTTTTGCTCTTTTGGCTCATACATGATAGTTAGTACTTGACTAGTTAGTTAGCAGTCTACCTGACCAGATAGCTAGTTTCTAGTTGACTTAAACAAAATTGAGTTAGCAGTGGAAGTCTCTAGTTTCCTGTCTTTGTTGTCTTAGCTTGCACTCTACTTGACTTATTAGCTTGTAAGCTTTTTTTCAGTATTATTCTCAGCTAAACTAGCAGTTTATTTATCCAGTTAGCTAGTCCCCAGTGCTTTACAAAGTTTTCAATCCATAAAATCGGTAAAGCTGGGACTCGGTATGATTACTTAGCTAGCTTCCACTATTTATCCTAAGCTAAGTTAGCAACTTGCAAGCTAATTTCCAGTCTTTAAGCTAAGCTAAGCCACTTAAGCTGTACCCACATTAGTGTAAAGACAATAGTGGTGAGTAAAAAGCCTGTTTAAATATAAAACTGAAGCTGTGTAAACAACATTTGTTCAAGACTTCCTAAAAACACTGTCATTGTCTTTTTTGGGGAATCTCTGGGCCTACATCTCCCTTCTAAAGGAACCCAATCAGTTCAGCTGCTCAGGAGTCTTTAGGGTTTTTCTTTATGAAAGAGGCATAGCAGATTTAATAAATCTGAGCGCATCTGTGGTGACCATCAAAATATGATGAAATGAGTCTAAAATAGCGTAAACCCCTGGAGGGACAGCTTGGCAGAGACATAAAAGACGGGTCATAGTTTTCTGTGGGATTGATCTCCTCAAAAATGCATAAAAATATAGGAATGCAGTAGGGCACATATGAAGGAAATTTTTTTTCCCCTCTTTTTATTCTTATGATTTATCATCCATCCCAATGCCGCTTCATTTGGATATAGTTAAAACAGGACTTAAGTGGTTAAGAGGGGCCCTTAGGTCCAAGTTTATTTCAGGCTACGCATCTATAAGGACAATCTTTCTCACAAAGACTCCTGAGGCCTGTGGTGAGTTCAAGACCACTTCATAGACTATTGTGAAGAAATATGTTTCAGAAGATACCAGTAAAAATCCATCAATATTCACATAAGCTGTCTCCATTTCTGCAAACTGATTTATTTTTCAGTGCTGTTAGCAGTGAAATTACTCTTGTTGTAGAAAGACTGAGAATATAACACTTAAAATACATCCTGGACGAGTGTTATCATAAATGGTTTGATTGATGGGTTTAATGTCCTGTGAAGTAGTGTAATGTCTCCCTCCACAGGCTGGAACGACTCCTGACATTTTTCTCTATCACAGACAAATCAAGCTGTGCTGTGCTGTTCTGACCTGGCCACACAGCCTCTTTACAGTAACCAGTTGAAAGGACAGAAAAAAAAACCTAATATAAATACTGAATGTTAGATCTGTTGTAGTTTAATGGTTCAAAGCCACTTAATCACTGCAGTCCAAACGTTCAGGTCATGAATGGATCACAATCAGCCCTGAGGAGGGTAAATCTCCTCATCTATCTAATCAATTAAGACTGTTCCCAAACATGCATTAACATGGAGGAGTACTATAGCAGCTGTTGTATTGGTTCAGCTGGTTTAGATATAAAGGGAGAGAAACAATGCTGGCCAATAACAATAATGGAGCTGTCAGGACTGCGAGGGAGGTAAGTTCAGTGAGGGAATACAGTAAACAGAGTGAAGCTGGACCTTTTCACAAAGTCAAAATTAATTAATGAGGCACCCATTGGATCTGTGAATATCTTGGATAAGATTAAACACATGATTAAATGCCTTTTTTGCAGCTCAAAGTGCACTATAATTCATGTGAAGGTTGATGAGATAAGTTCTGTGTCGATAACAATAATATTTTAATCACTAATAGCATCATTCAATACAAGCCAGCGAGCTTCTGTGCAAACGTAACTTGCTGAACCTGCAGAGAGCTGTCTGAGCTGCCTAAATGAGCCAAAAACATTTCCTGATTCTATTGAAAGTTTTAATGGTGACATAAACTGACAGACAAGACACATGCTCATCACTCACACATGACGCCAAGTCCAGGGTTTTACTTGAAGTGCATCTCAGAGTGGTTAGACGAGATTCATGGTGAGCTTACACATTAGCATCAAAAGTACACTGATGTATTTTCACATGGCTTTATGAAATCAAGGTAATCTAACAGGGTCAGTTGAGCTACTTGAGTTGATTTACAGGAAGTTGTGAAATGCCAGTATTCTTCATTTGAAAGGACACGTAATAATAACATTTGAAATGTCGGTTTGTCTTTCCGCCCACCCGCATTTTCATACATTGTGTGACTTTAGCCTCAGGCTGGCAGAGATTCAAACACATCACATCACCTGTCTGCTGGAATTTTCCAAGGTAATTCACTCAACTTGTTTTTACATACCACAGCGCTTTATAATGGATCGGCTGATCATTGTGATGAAATGTGACCTGAATCCGGCTGCTCTGTCACATGAGGGCAAAAAGGCCATACCTGGAAAGCATTCTGTGCATTTTTTCTGGTTTGACAAGTGAAGGGATTGGCGGGGTGGGGTGGAGCAAAGGGTTTGTTCTGTGAAAGTAGATGTGAGCAACAAAGGTATGGCGTTTCCTAGATAAGAAGTCAAAAGGTAGAATAAATTACACAATAGGCAAGCAAATACATAAATATCTAAAGATTCAAAATACACACTTTGAATGACCAACAGACATCATCTTCATTTAAAATTCTGGACTTTAATTTAGACTCAGTCAAGGATTTTGTTACATCCTAAACTCTGGGTTGAAATCACTGTGTTCAGCAGCTTTTAAACATTTTGTTTTTATTTTACACCCTCTAGTAACCAGCAATCATCCAGCATAAATTTGTCTGGTGGAGTACCTCAAGGGTCAGCTCAAGGACCACTGCAGTTTTCTATTTATATGCTACTCTTCGAAACTGTTTACTGTGGACACCCCTCCTCTTTTCTCCCCTCTGTCCAAAATGACCTGGGGTTTTTTTTCCTCTCACATTGTAGGCTACACAAGCGTGCCTGACAGATTCTCTTCCTTTATTAAATTCATTTTCTGTTCAACATTTAATGACATCAGTTTTAATTTCCTGTCATTTATATGAGATGTTAAAAGCATAGTTATCCCTCATGCCTTTTACTCACTCTTGTCTCAGGGGGACAGCCAACTGAGCAGAATAATATCTCCTGCTGGATAGAGAGTGCTTTATGCTACATATAATCCCAGAAATCTAATTTTTCCTCTTCTGTAGTAAGATTACAGCTCAGTTGTGTTGTTTGTGAAGATTTCTGTTTACTGCTCTGTTAAGATTAGATCAATGACACTCTGGGTGTGTGTGGTCCTGACCCTGTTCTTCTTTTCACTGCCTTGAAGAAGTCATCAAGTTTAATCTTTTGTCCAAATAACACTGAGTGACCTTGTAGTGAAATAATTTCAGAGGGATTTCTAGGGTGGTCTTCCCATATCACCACTGAGGAGAAGGTATGATGAAACATGTCTCATAAGCACTCTAAATAATAATACAAATATGCAACGATAGATGTTTGAATTGGAATAATGAAGTAAATATTTTATATAAAAATTTCTTATGAATTATTATAGAGGTGTTGCAAGAATAGCTTTTATGAAGCCTTTTTTAAGCTGTTTTGTAAAATGTATCAGTGATTACTTTGATTTACATACCATTATTACTAACAGTAAAAGTGATAAATGTGTAAACTATTGCAAGAATACAAGAATAGATATTCATCTGACATACTGGCAGAAACAAGTGGGCGTAGGGGAAAAGCTGGGCAGGAACTGAAAAGGAGAAGGAGTTGTCACTCCACTTATGCAAGACATACAGGCTGAATGAATCAAGGAATTCAGAAATATTCAACCAGCAGTTGCATACTCTTTGAATATCCAGAGTGTATCCACCAGTTTGTTGCTGGAATGTGAAGGAGGGCTGACAGCAGTGAGAAAGGCAGCTTAGATGATGTTCATTTACTTAGTGGTGTTTCTCAGGGAAAGAATTATGCAAAAAAAGGAAAAATACACACACACACACACACACACACACACACACACACACACACACACACACACACACATATATATATATATATATATATAAATAAATAAACAAAAAAACAAATAGATAAATGAAAAAATAAACAAACAAACAAATCAATAAATAAATTCTTTTTTGGGGGGGCGGTAAATGAAAGAATGCAACCTAAAGATCCTACCGGCTATAGTAGGATAGTAATAATAATGTATTTATTTTTATTATTATTGGTAGTACTTTCATATTAATTGTCTTTATTTTAATTATCCTGCCAAGCTATTGCATCTTACTCCTCTCCGGTAGGTGGCGGTAATGTGCTTGACGAAGACGAAGAAGAAAAAGACGAAGGAGATTAACCCGGATGTAGAATTTGTTTTGTTTTGGCGCACGGAGGGAAAACTCCGTAGGAGAGTTAACATTTTTTAAGGTACGATTTAAATGCATTACTCATTTCAAAGCACTCATATATGCCATGATAACTTCTTCTTGTTGTTTAGAAAGAAATAACAATCAGATGGGCTCGTTAAAGCTCGTAATGTGAATTTTACTTTGCTTATATACTCGAAAACAGACTTTAACCATGTTTACAGTCAATATTTTTATCGTTGATTTCACTTTGATTGTAATAATTAGGTGGATTTTTGGCTTGTTTTTAATATGAGAGTAGGTGTGAATGACTGATGTTGCCATAGAAACTGGCTCAGACTGTATTTACTCAGTTTTAATTGATAAATCAGTTGTTTGAATCATTAGAATTTATTTCACATTATCGATGCAGGATCGTAGATGTATAAAAATGTAACAAGTCTTATTCCCCTCTTGAAATACCTCTGTAGATCATGCCGTCCAGACAGCAGGATATGGCCAAGATCAACATCTCCCAGGTTCTGTTCCTGTCTGTGGACGGTGAGCCCATGTCCTTTTACCTGAGGCCGGGTCCTGTTAAACGTCAGCTCCAGCCCCTTATCACAGCTGGAGGAGGACTGATGTGCAACACCCAGCAGCCAGGAGCCATCCTTCTGCTTGATCCAGCAGACAAAAGCTCCATTAGTAAAGCGAATGCACACAGGTGAGTCAGGCACTGAAGAATATGCAACATTTGATGATTGATTTTATGCCTTTCTGAAGATTTTAACATGCTACTTTGCTGTTATAGATTCTTTTTGTAAATGTTACCCTGTAAGCATTAACTATGAAAGCATAGACACGAAGCTATCCTTTCTCTCCTTCACAGGTATATCTCCACTCAGTACATTCATGACTGTGTTGAGAAGGAAGAACAGCTGAATGTGGAAGACTACCGGCTATATCCAGCTGCTGTCTCAAATCAGTCTGCTAAGCAGAACCGCAATAGTGGAAGCTCTGCAGCAAATCCAGGAGGTATGATTTAACTTTGGTTTTGGTTTTTTAAAGTAAGTGTACTCATGGTTTTTCACATTCAGTGAAGTCATTGATTCTGTTGCGACTTAAAGGGCTTTTTAAGTCCTTTTAGATGGAAAATGTATTTGTGTTAGTTTTACAGGCTCTGAAGTTTTAAACCTGCTTATGCATGTACCTTTATCATTTTTAGCAGGCAGAGCTGCTTACACGTCTGAAGAAGATGCTGCTATAATAAAGTTTGTCAGTAAGCATGAGTCAGAGATTGGGGGAAACCGTATCTGGCAGATGATGGAGAGGCGGAAAGTGACCAATCACAGCTGGCAGTCAATGAAATACCGCTACAGAGCGCGACTGATGAAGAAACAATCAGAGGTTGTGGAGGAAGAAACAACAGATAAAGAGACGGAGGTAACAGAGGAAGAGATCAAGGTAATTAACCAGCAAGGTGTTTTTTTTTAACTCTCTGTGACATACAGATGTTTGCATTAATTTAGATTTACAGGAGCACAGTCACATGAGCATTCACACGATAAATCTGACATGAGTCACTGGGAAAATGTGTACGTACAAACACAACAAAACATACAAGTGGAAAAAACCCCACCTTGTTCAGTAACAACACAAAAGTTCTGTACATGATGTTAGAATATGCTCAATTTATGTGTTGTCCAAAGAGTGAACAGACTTGAACAGTTAACCATGACACAACAAAATCCCTTTAATTCAACACCTCTGTCCACAAGCACTCTTTATATTATGTAACTTTTACCATATAAGTAGAGGAAAAACACTCAAATAGGGTGGGCTGTGGGCTGTCATGAAGTACATGAATTTGAACCCACTTAAGAGGTGCCTCTGTAAGCCCTGTTGTTAGTGTAGTATGTACAGTTCGAGATGACAAAATCAAGGGTTGAACACTTATTTACAAACTCTACCTTCATAAAGAGGACAAAAATGAAACCAAAAAGGACAAGACTCTTAGTTGACACGAGTACATACCCATAAATAGTTCTTTTTTTAGTGTAAGGTTGTCGAGATCTCATCCAAAACAACATGAGTGTTTGATGTTGTGTACAAGTAGAGCTGAGAGGTACAAGTGTGTGATTCATCAGCTCAATATGATTTGCAGCAGGTCTCTTCTGGTCATAGTTTCCAAGTGCACTCCTGTAAGAGGGAAACCATAAATGGTTGAGATAAAAAGCATTTGTTTCATGAGTGAAATTATGTTCTTGATGATGTCCACATTTATTTATGACCTTGATGAACTGGCCTCAGAAATGTGGGCTGAGATAGAGGCAGAGGGGTCAGCTCTCACTGAGATAGTCCTGAGTTTAGAGGGTCCCCTATGAACAAAACTGGGGGGTGACTCATTTGTCCTCTCAAAGCCGGTCCATGGTGGCATTGTGCCAGTGTTGATCAATTATTATAGTCTTTTCCTGATTGGATTGAATAGTTGATTCTTCCAGGTTTTGATCCTTGTATTACAACACTGCCTTGTTCAAAATCTCAAGAACCAGTTCTGTGCTATTATTCTTGAAGTGAGGGTTCAGTACTACCATGTCAGATTTCCTTTGTTTAGATTTTTATCGCCAAGAAATCTAAATTATCCCGTATTGTAGCAACAATTTTTTTTTACTAGAATGTCATGATTTACAAACCATCATTGAAGGAGTAATCAGAGTCATTCTTAGCTGAAAGAGAGCGTTTGCCCTATTGTAGCTCAAAACTGTCACTCTGGATGAATGTGTCAAGTAAAAAAATGCAAATAAAGAAAAAATGAAATGATATCGTTTTTTAAAATTTGGCTGACAAACCCTGTAATGGCAGATACAAATCTTAAGTCGTTAAAACCCAGTTGATGTCACAGATGGTAGAAGAAAGGACATTATTCAGTCCTACCACTAGGTGGCGCCAACTTTACAGAAGAAATTGTTTCCTGTTTTTGAAGTCAAGGGATTGTGTACTTTCATTCTAAGTTCAACTTTGGATTCCTGGTTCTCACATGTTTTATGGATGTTACAGATGTCGTTGTTTCTCATCTCTTTGCCTTCAGGTGGAAGAAAATCAGGAGACACATGTTGGGAAACCCTCCGGTGAAGAAGATTCAGCAGAAACAGTCGTGATTCAGGTACCAAACAAATGAAATAGACACTCTTCTTAAAATCAATTATTTAAAGACCTTCTGTTCGTGTGATCAAATTATTCATAACAGCAGAACTGAACAAAATTCATTTATCATCTCAACAGATAGATTCTCAGTCCGTACCACAAGAAGAAGTACAACAAGTGAGTAAAGAGGAAGAAGAACAACCAGCAGAGAGACCAAACCCAGAGACGGTAGAAGTTCAGACATCCAACAGCCCCCAAGAAGAACTTATTTTGGACTCTCAGGATGATTTCCATCTATTTTTGCCTGATAGCACAGAACCAGGAACACAACAACAAACAGTTGACTCCACACAAAAAGAAAGTGTGCCAGAGGACTCCCTTGCAGCTCATTCTGTCTCTCAGGATGCCTCCTTTCATAAGAAGTCCAGAAAGAAACAGAGAGATACCCCTGAGTCAGAGCAACCAGAGCCACCACGTCGACGCACACGCAGGCAGCTTCAGCTCGAGGAGTTATTCGAGTCTAAACCTTACGGCAAAAAACTCAGATCGTCGTCTTCTTCTGCATCACCATCATCATCTCCCCAACCCCTGAGGAGAGTCAAAACAGCATTTAGGTCAGCTCATCTGAAAGACACGACAGCGGAGCAGCCACCCTCGAAAAGAGCCAGAGGGAAGGATGCGCCTGCAGAGCCAGAGAGTGAAGCTGTCATGCAGGAGAGTGAGACTTTAGAGCAAGAGAGTGAGCCTGCAGAGCAAAAGAGTGAAGCTGTGGTGCAGGAGAGTGAGCCTGCAGAGCAAAAGAGTGAAGCTGTGGTGCAGGAGAGTGAGCCTGCAGAGCAAAAGAGTGAAGCTGTGGTGCAGGAGAGTGAACCTGTGGTGCAGGAGAGTGAGACCACAGTGCCAGAGAGTGACCCTGCAGAGCAAGAGAGTGAGGCTGTGGTGCAGGAGAGTGAGACTATGGTGCAAGAGAGTGAACCTGCAGAGCAAGAGGGTCAGCAGGAGGAGAGCGGATCAGCTCGTGTCCAAGAAACAGCAAAACCAGGTTTATCACAGAGCTTTGATTGTAACATATAGACAGCATCAACAAGTCTTCAAAAGTCTCTAAACTCCAGATTTTCCTGTTTGTGTTGCAGAGGCTGAATCTGTTTCAGTGCCACAGAAAGGAGAGAAGAAAAAAGGGAAAGAGAAGTTATGGATCCTAAAGATGGCTGGAATGGAGTTTGATTGTGTCAGTAAAAGCCCATCGTTATAAACTACATCTATATTATTCTGTACAATATCTATATCCAGATTATACACTTTCTGGGTGTTTCTGGAGAGTTGACTGTTGGACTTACCCAGAGTTCATTGCAAACTTGGTGGTGGGCAGGATGTATTGTATGTTTGTGTATTAAGCAGTATGAGTAACACTTAGTATGAACACACCTCTTATAATGCACCATAAGCACATATATAAAACCTTATAAATGCACATATAAAGCTTCACAATGACCCTTATGAGTGATAATGAACATTCATATCATAAAATTCATTTCCTGTCTTTCAGTCTCTTGAGGATGAAACTCCAGATCTACAAAACCAAACTGTGGCAACAACAGTTCAGCCTGCGCCCCCAGACCCCTCTTCAGATGCTGCTTGCCCACAGTCTGATCCTGAAAGTGTACCCAGCCCCCAGGTGGTTGTGCCAGAAACTCAGGCCCAGGCTTCCACGAGCAACTGCCCACCAGAGACTGTCTGCAAGCAGCCTGAAGAGGTTGCTGCACCAGCAGCTCCTAGGGCGGTCAGTGCGACCAACAATCTCCACTTGTTCATCTTCTGTGACTCTCAGGAGGAAGATTCACAGTCTGCTGTCGGCGAGGACGCTGAAGTTCCACCTAAACCGAAGGAAACAGGGAACAAAGACGCTCCTTATTCACTGACTCAAGCTCAGCTGGAGGAGGACAAACAGAGAATCACAGAGCTGATGAAACAGACAAACCAGGTGAGAGGACAGGGAGATCTAGACTTCATGTTGTTATTTGAGGTCCACAATATCCTGAGGGGCTGCTGTTCACAATGTCAAGATTTTCATTCTTATTTATCCAGTTTATTTAGAGGAACACAGTCAGCCAAAACAGACAAATGTAGTTCTGCTAGGAACACACTAGCAGACTATTGGATAGAAGACTTACAATGCCTGTAATAATAGTGAAATAAATGTGATTTTAGCATTAACAGTACAGTAAATGATCCAGTCCAATCTGCCTTATTTATATAGAACATTTTAAAAACATTCATGTTTACCAAAGTGCTGCAGTGAAATCAAAAGAACAAACACTGCAGAAGAAAAAAATATCAAGAGGAAATGAATAAAGGAGGTAAAAAACATTTAAATTGAAATAAAATAAATGAAATAAAAACACAAAAACAAACAAACAAAAAAAAATAGAAGTGATAAAAGGACCATAAAAGACATGATATGTGGGGGTCTAACACAAACTACACCTAAGCTTTTTTTTGATCAAGGTTATTCCAAGTTACCTGGAAATCATGCTCTGCCTGTTGAACATATTTGGACAGGCTCCCCTCTGTTATTCACTGTTTCTTTGTTAATGGTTGTATCTGTGCACCTGCTCCAGAGTCTGTATAAAATCATTTCTAATCTCTCTGATCTTTTTTTCCCCAAACCAGGATCTATTTAATGTGACCAAAGCCCTCTTAAGGACAAGCGGGGACTTTCCTGCCGCTCTGGAGCTGCTTTTGAATCCAGGCAGCATTTCAGGACCCTTCTGGGATAGCCATGATGATAATCTTCTGCTCTCAGCTGATCCAGAGGTCCGACAGCAGCTGCAGGAAAAATACGGTGAGGAGGCGCTTTTGAAAAGAGTCGTATTTCTTGAGGTAGAGGGATGAAATGAAAGACGGATTAGTTAAATAAAGAAGAGAAAATAGGGTGAAGGTATTTGTCAGCCAGATCTCAGGCCGAGCCTTCACACGGTTATATTTTTAAACCCCTTTAACTCAGATTGCCTAGAAAAACTGAAATCATGAAAAATGAACTTTTCCGGATGATTTTGCCTCAAAATAATTTTAGGACATAACATTGATCATATTTTTACTGTTTTATGTTACTTTGGGATTGTCTCTATCATTTTGCAAATATGAATTCCTTTAACTTGTATTTTAAATGACTTTTTTTCAATTGCTGCATTAAAGAGGTGTTTAATTTATATATCTTTTAAGAATTCTGTTTCACATCAGTTTTTATAAGTTGTAGTATTAGAATAGTTTAAAAAAAAAAGCAATTGGTCCAAGAAAAGGTCCAAAGTTTGCAAATTGAGGATAACTTTGAGAAAATATCCCTATAACCAGAATATGAGGATCAAGTTTGTACAGTTTCACACACTGATAAGGTTTCAACTTCCAACTGAAATGAAGGTCAGATATAGATTTTTGAGTAGCTGATACTGATACTAATACTTATATCAAAACATGTCCAGGTCCATGGAGGGAAACACAGATGTTAAAACTACCAAAATATCAAAATGAAACTGTTTTGAAATATCCTAAAGATTACCAATTTGAGGCATGAAAAACACACAGGACAGGTTAGATTTTGTCTGTTTGTTAAAACTTACTCCCAAATGCACTAGAGTCCCCAGAAACCTCTCCATAGTCCTTGAAAACTTCCCCAAATTTTCAGTCTGATTTTAACCTAACTTTTTCCAGGTACCTATGGTGTCCAATGTGCACCTGCAGACCCACCCTTCTAAATTTACCCTTAACATAGTCTAGGACTGTAATCAACTTAAGAAATTATTGGTCCAGGCAGGGTGGATGCTCTCCAATCTTCTTGCCAAAATGGTAAAAAAAGGGGGTTGTTCTGAGACAGGCCGTTACCTGTGAAACCGGGGTGCTCTAAAAACACCCCCATGAGCACTTGGTAGATTCCTCTAAAAGAAAAACTAAAGAAAAAATTCTTTACATAAGCACATTTGGAAGTCAGATTTATAGCAATGTGAGGCCAGTGAAATAGTGTTGCTGTTCACACTAAGAGTCATATTAACTAGAAATACCATTGGTAAATAAACACACAAAAAGTGGAGATTATTTTCTGTGGATATAATTGAAATAAAGACGCCACTCACTTGTAATTTTTTTTTTATCTAATCCACCATTTTATTTAATTTCCCCCTGTATCAATTGAGTACATTCATTTTTTACAGTCTTCCCCAGACCCACATGAATATATTGTATCAACAGTTTAAACAAAAAAATAATAATACATATCAGAGAGAAAAGCATTTAAATTAAAGCAGACCAAAGAACCTCTTCGAATGAAACAAGATGCGTCCTGTAAAACAGGTCAGTAGATTTTTACTCAAATATGGCCTGAAGTATTGCTGCACACTTTGTTTCCTGTCATGTTGAAGAAACTGAAGGATCGATAACATGTAACAGCAAACAGGCGAGCCCATGAAGATGTAAAACTGTCGACACAACAGCTAAAACGACCACATAACCCCACTGCTACACCGAGAAAAATCAACCGTATAAAACCCTTTTTTTAGTAGGAAACACTTGACATCCACCACGACCTCATTAACACACAAGGTCACACGCTGTAGCTTCGTTTGAGAGAACCCGTTTAATGGAGCAAAAGCATACCAAGGTCTCCGGTAAGTAACAGCACACCTTTAATCCCTGGATTTTAACGGCTACATTTTTACATGTAAGATCTTTAAAGAAGGCCTCCAATTACGCTACATTCACAAAGAGGGTTTTTCCACTGGTTAATCCAGTGGATGTTGTTGGGATCTGACCTGGTTCAGAAGAAAATAAGGGATTAAAATGGGCAAGTTTGTTAAGAAAATGGGATTTCTTTGTAAGAGTCAAGAACAAATCCATGAGATTTTCTGTCATTTTTCCTTCTCGATACTGATTATCAATTGAGTATCAGCTGACACCCAATCTGATCACAGCACTATAGAATAATCCTTGTATTTAACAGCTCCATATTACTTACCCTGTGTGGAAGTGTTATGGTTGCCATGGTTGCCATGGTTATTACACCTGCCTTTAACTTAGAACAAGAATCATAGAAAATATGGTGAAACCTGCACAACACTGTTTTATATTTCTACTGTCTGAGATAGGGGTGTCCCGGTACAACTTTTTGACTTCTGATATTGTAGCCTTTAATATTGACTGATACCGATATTGATCCGATATTGGCACAAAATTGTGCAAGTGTTTCACTCAGCTGTAATGTCTTTTTCTGACCTAAACAAAAATACTACCACAAGGTCAACATCACTCCTACTCCTTGCTACTTTGTTTGTACCTTAGTACACACTGTTGTTGTGATTTTGTGGGTTCAGCTTGCTGGATCTGTTGCTGCTAGATAGAGGTGCAGGAGTGGACCAAAATCGACTGTTTGTATCAGAGTGCTGATATTGGAGATTTTAGATGTAGGCCAATATAATCCGATATTTGTTTATTTGCTGATATCAGACCGATATCCGATGTCAATATTGTATCGAGACACCCCTAGTCTGAGATAATCTGAGACCTGGAATCAGTATTTCTTTGCTGTTCTTTAACAATGAGAGCCAGTGGAAGCCCTAACACAGTATTTTTGAGATGAAACAAAGTGGTTTATAGATGATGGTTTCAGATCAGTGTATTAACAGGCACACCCGCCTTCCTCCCAGCTTTGGTCAGCTGGTTAGTGTGATGGTCAGACAAGCTTGATAAGGAGATACAGTGACATGTGTTGTTAGTCCTGCTGTTTGTGGTTGACACAGCTGTACAATCGCTAAACGAAGCATTAGATGTTGTCGATACAAAGTACAGTTCCGTCAAACTGATGGCTTTTTGTTACTTGTCAGGCTGGTTTTACATTTACACAAACAAACAAACAAACAAAAAAAACATACAAGTTCTCTGAGTGATGTTCTTCATCACTCTTGTCTTATGTCATCGGTGAGTTTTTGTTATGGGTTATTTGATAATGAGCGACCAAATCTTGTGGGTTTCATTTCATAATATTGCAAAGTTGAACAACAGAAAACATGGCGGCAGACACATACTTATTTGGTTAACATAAAATGATTAAAAAACAGTGAAAAATATATTATCTGCTTCAAATACAGTTAATGATTAATTATGACAGACACTTAAGATTAAAAAGATGGCGCGCGCTTGCTTTGCAGCTATTAATTTCAAAATATAATGTCATAAAAAACACCCATAGCTTCTTTTTTTTCTCCACACAAACATGCTGAAATAAGAAAAGGCCTGTATTTTAACATTCTGCTTCTGTAAAACTTCAAGATAGAAGTAGCACTTAATCTTTGATCCAGCAAACCGTACATACTTATAATACAAAGAGGCGATAAAAAGATCACTTCTGTCTCCATGCGTCCGTTAGTTTTTACGCTCCTCCAGTGAGAGCACTGAAAAGAAGCAGTGTGAGACATCTTGATCCGCTGCGGGAACAGTAATATGAACAAAAAAGGCCTCTGGGGTTTACGATCACATGCCCACAGCCCTATATGTACAATCTGATACTTTTAGCCCCATTTCAGAGGAAACAAAGCAGGAAGTGCGTCTGGAACAGAGTCCCCCACAGGGCAGCAGGAGTCAAAACACACAAAGTTTCAACATAAGACGCCTTCATCTGCAGAGATCGAGAGAGTGAAGCTCCTGAAAATGTGTCCTTTGGTTTTTCTGAAGATGTCAGAGGGCAATGTTTGGCTTTTGAACTCAAAACCACCTCCTCTATAGAAATATTTCATTCAATCCTTAAATAAAAGAAGCTTATGCGCACAAACTAAATGTGCAAGTCGAGATTAATTCTCCCAAAACGATGCTGATTAAAATCAGACAGTCATATGACTCGTTTCAGGGAAAGTGTCAGCGATTACAGTCAAAAACAGAGATGTAAGGCCCTCATTAAGGGGACGCTGTTCCAGTTTTTACTGTTGGTGTACACGAAAAACAAAATAGGAACAAAAATCCCATAATCCCGAGATTATTTCACACTCAAAAAAAAACACAAACAGTTCTCAAAATGATAGATAGAAAACACCTGCTTTGCTTGGAAGGCTATTTGTTTTGAGAGAAAATGAGGAAGGGTGAAAGCCAGTCCAAAAATAAGGCCAGCGTAATTGCATAGAACTTCAGTAGTGCACTGATGCATCAAAAGGCTGTGCTCCTTTCCTCCGTCAACTTTGGCAACTCTGAAGAGTTCCCTCAGAAACCACCAGAACTCCAACACCATCTGTCTCCACTTTTCGTTTTGTCTCATTGGCAGGAGACACTTAAAGCCGCGGCACTTTAATTTGGACTGCAAACACAAACAACACAGTGTTCCAGCTGAGGGCCACAGGCGTGTCTCAGTCGAAGTGAAATATTTGGAAGTAAAGCAAAAGACAGGTGGATTATTTTCCAATATCAGTGGAGCACAATATGTACTATTTTTAATTCCTTTAGATAATAAAAGGACATCATTAAGGTAAGAATTTGTACAAAATACATCAGCCAAGATGAAAACATTTGAGATTTTTTTTTCTCTTTTCCTTGAAATGATGTGAAGCTCTGGATGAGGATCCAGCGAGGCAGCAGAGAGGAAGAGAGCACAGCTCAGACCCTATTTGCACCCTTTCTCTTAGTGAAGCGCCCCCTCACCTTTATTTTACAACAGAAATAGTATAAAAGCACCAGTTCTGGGTCTGCAACAGGGGGCAAGACCAACAGAACTTTAACAGGGTCAAACACGACCGGGTTTTAGGTTGCTCCAACGCTCCAGTAAGGTAGAGCTCTATATGTGTAACACTCCTGTGGTAGAACAGGAGGGGAAGAGACAAAGCCAGGCCACACAACCATCAACTAACAGGGCCTTCGACCTCTGCGTCCTTGTCTAAAATCTCGTCCTGGATCTCGTCTGTGTTCCCTGAGTCGCTGCTGGCCACAGAGCTGATAGAGGGAGAGTTCCTGCCACCTTTTATCATCCGTCGACACGTTTCCATCTGCACGTCCAAGCCTCTCTTCATGCTGCACATCTCCATGTACTCGTGCAGGTGTCGGTTCATGTCGCTCTTTGCTGTGGCCAATTCCATCTAGAAGGAGGAAGGAGGAGAGAGTCTAAGTTTAAGACACTGGAGAAGAATTACCAGGAAGGAGATTACAAAGCAATATTAAATTCACCCTAAAAACTGTGCGTTAGAAATGTTGATAAAACCATTTAACAGTTATCGCTATCAGAAAAGTCAATTAAAACTGCACTTTTTGTCAAACTCTGTATGAATACTGCATTTCTATTCATACATTATTTGCTTTATCAGTCATAATACAAAAATACCAATCATGCCAGGAGGGAAGTACAAAAAAACACAAGCATGTCGTGTTATTTGTTCAATGAACAACAACTGATGATGTGTCTAGATTTAGGACAACCTAACTCCTCAAATAAGGACCAGTGTTCAGTTTAATTCTGGGCCTGACCATACGTCCTCTTTTACCCGGACATGTCCTCTTTTTTGGGGGCTGCCCGGGCTTGTCCGGCTTTGTTCGGGCAAGTTTATAAAACCCTTCAAATGTATGCCGTTTCGTTTCGATTTTGTGTCATGTGGACTTACTGAGTTAGAAGCTTGTAAAAGAAACTCGATCATACCTGAAAAACTCTGAAATTAACTTCATGCAACTACGTGACTCCGCCCCTCTGAGATCACAGCTTCATGGAGAACAACTAAAGTTCACAATGATCCCGTCTTTCGATGGATGATCCTGAGTGAACTAAACCCTTTGTCATCTCTGTGCAGTTTGCTCCATGTTGCGTTCACTGGGGCCGAGATTAGCTGTTAGTATCTCCCCTCTCTGCTGTGCAGAGCTGGGCTGTGCACTCTCATTCTGATGGTGCCAGATTCTATTTACATAATGAGCTGATTGGAGAGGGTCTACAGGTCGGCGTATTTTCTTTTTTATAGAAACACTCAACTGAACATGTTGAAGTGAACAATTGGTCACCTATACATTCATACTGTTGTTGTTATCACCAATAGAAATACATGTCAGATATCATACAATAATGGCTCAAACATCAGGTTGTGAGTTCACAAACACAATCCATTTTTCCCAGTATTGCAGTAATTTATCCACCCAGTGATTTAGTGAGAAAGTCATTCTCTCCATATTCTGCACAGTATTCACGATATCTATCCAGTCAGTCACTTCTTGGGGAACTGTCCACATCCACCTAGGAAGGCGTGTTTTCCCTAAACGGAGGCATAACGGCTCATTTGAATGAGCCAGAACTATACTGGTGCACAGTCAGGCTACTTGCTCTGCACTGGCTTGTGGAGTGTCAACACTTATGTGATTCAAGCCCCCACTTTGTAGTACTAAAATACATATTATAATAATTCTCAGACAAAGATCTGGATATGAGGCCTGTCTCTAAAACATGCCACCTCCGTTAAAATAGCTAGTACTTTCAGCGTTTGAAGGCCCAAGTTTGAATTTTAGGATTTATGGGATTTGAAAATTTGTCAACACTAAAATACAAATACAGAAACCTGCTAAGAATCACTACATTTACGTGAAATACCGCTGCTTTTTCTCGATACTTTCATTTGTTTTGAATATGCTTCGAAGTCTTTATTTCACGCACATCACCACACTCAGATAGTCTACCTCAATCTGTCCGATGGTCTCCTGGTACTCCTGCTCTCTGGTCTTAAATAGGGACTCTGTCTCATCAATGAGGCTGCCAAGACTTCCATCCTGGGAGTCCTGAGAGTGCACAGACAGAGGCTTCATTCATCATGCATGAGTCAATGTCTGACACAGCACACATCGCTCTGATCCACACGTGTGACTTTAAAAACGGTCCACTGAGCTCAGAACTTTAAAAGCACTCTGGACTTACTGGATCGGCGGCTTCGGCGCTGCTTTCACACGGCGCGGCGTTCACGCAGGTTGTCGTAGCGAGGGCGTATGGCATGTTGTAGTTGGTGAAGTCTTCCCACAGCAACAGAGTCTCCTCGTTTTCCTCCCACGTCAGACTGTCGCAGTCGTCGTCGATTTCGAACGTCTCGCGCCTGGCAACAAAGGAGTTATCTGAACAATTTCTGTGTAGGACAAGGACAGGGAAACGGAAAGAAGAAGAGAGGGAGGGAGGGAGGAAGAGGAGGGAGAACGAGTATAACAGCCACCAGATTCACCAAAGGTCACAAGCAAGGAGAAAGATGCGCTTTAGACAAACAAGACAGGAGGGACGGAGTTTATGGGAAACAGACGGCAAATGTTCTTAGGAAAGATTAAGATCAAGGTTAGGAGTTGATGGAAAAGCAGTAGAGACATTAAAAACCATTTAAAACGCACCAAAGTAATAACAGTGACTCTAACACAGCAAATTAAGCCCACAGTAAAAATAGCTGCAGATTTTTGCTGAATCAGCACATTGTATTTTAGCTCCACACAGCCACTAGAGGGAGGTAAAGGAACACACAGAGCAGGAGTGTCGAAACAGCTCTGCAGGAAGCTGTGCAGGTTGGAAATAACTGCAGAGAACATTTGGAGTCACTTAAAGCAGAGAGGGTGTTATTTTGGTTTGTGTGCTGTGTGTATATATGTGTGTGTGCGCGTGGGTGCGTTCTGCTTACAGCTGGTTCAGCATGCGTTTCATTTCGTCTGTGATGTTGAGCGATCCAGGGACCTCTTCCTCTGTGGAGCTGGGCTCGGCATCCATCTCTGAACTCTCTTCATCTGACACAGCTTTGCGCTCTTTCCTCTTGCAGCACGCCATTGCACCCTAGGAAACGCAGAAGCGAGAATAAAACACGTGTCGTTGAATCACATTTGCAGTGAGTCACCCTACCGGATTCAAATGATAGTTTTAGAGAGTACTTTACAGGACCTAATTTATGTCTCCATGTAATTACTTTAGAGGACTTAAAAATCATTTTCAGCTATTATCATTGTGCAGGTCTGACTTTATGGTTTTTTATTCACTGTTACTGCTGCCTATCTTACTGTCTCCACACACCAAATCATTCGCGCGACATTGGTACTACTCTGGCGGCGCAAGTGACGCAAAATGGGAGGGAGCTGAAAATGTCTCAAGTTAAGCAGATATTCGTGTGGCGTTAACTAATCAGCATAAAGGTTGCTGAGTGACGTTTGAAAACAGACGGTTGTTTACTGGTAGGGCTGGGACGATATGCTTTCCTCCTGATTCGATTCTTCTATGATGTTTTTTTATGCCAATTCGATTTAAATGCGATTCTATAATATTTTTGATTTTCCTCGATATTCAGTCTGCATTTTTAATACCAGTGAAACAGTTGAATGATTATGATTGTCTACTGACTATTAGTTTTTGAAGATTTGTTCTTAAATTGAAAAAAAATCAATTTTTTAACATAAAAATTTATTTAAAAATTGTAAAACAAAAAACTGTGATACTTATGTGAATCCATTTTTTTCTCCCACCCCTATTAACTGGTTTCTAAAATGGAGGATAAACAGATCGTGTCGGTGTGTGGGTGCCCCAAATTTTATGATACCTTTCTTTCAAATACCGAAATCACAATAAAAAGGAGCTCGTCTGGAGGCAAGTGAGTGAGGAAGTCGGATTACCTGGTAACTCATAAAAAACCTTTGTCTAACACTTGATACCGCAGTTTGAACTGGCAGGGATTACTGTTGAAATTACAGTTGACGTGCGAACGAAGCGAGTAAATACTATTCATTCACACGTCTAGATTCGTGCAAACTAAGCGAGTAGATGATTTTACTCGCGCTTGGAGTGAGTGCCCCATTAACCATAACAGTGCTGCAATACTGCTGCGTTATTGACAACAATTTGCTGTTTATTCCTAAAAACAAAAACAAATGATGATTTGTTTCCAACCTACAAAGCTACTTTTCCTCATAGTGAACTCACAGGGATTTAATAGTAATAGTGAATTCTACTTTCTTTCTCCTCTGCCTGCTTTAAAAACATGCCTGAGGATAATAAACTTAGAGAGTATGAGGAGAATCTCATTTTATAGAGAGAGAGAGAGTGTAAAAATCAGTCTGTAAACATGTAGGCTGTGAGGAGCCAGCAGCTTGATACACAGCAGGATCATTCTTGGTCTAAAGCCAGTGCTGTCGGCGCAATGTGATAACCTTGTGTCCACGTTGCGTTTTGACTTTCCTGCATGTTTGTGTGTACGTTCGAGCGCCTATATGTAAGTCTGCACACTGAGCTGTGTATGTTTATATGGTTGTGCGTGCGCCGGCGAAATCTCAGGCATGCATTTGCGCCCCTTCAGGAGGGTCACTCAGTACGTGATCGGCCGGCGAAAGAAACACTACACACAGTCAGACACAGCAGCTCTGGTTACATCCACAGAGTGCTGACTGGCTCATTCACAGAAGACTTCATATTTTCGCTTGCTAACAGTGAGACAGCAGATGAAACCCACCCTCTCCGGCAGCGATCTGGCCGGGCTGACGTTGAACATCATGGACATGTCCTCTGAGTTGCGTTGCTGGGCCACATCGCACAGTTTGGCCGTGATGTCGATCCGTCTGCAGATGTCCATGTCTACCCGCCGGGCTTTTTCCTGGATCTTTGTGTCCAGGTCAGACATTTGCTGCATGGGAAAGGATATGTGTTAAACTGACATGTGGGATGGAGACTCCTTTCTGTACTGAGCACTTAAATAGACCACAAACATGATTGAGAGTGGAAGGACTGAGGCAGACTTAACTGATAAACTTATGCTCACATTATAAACATTCAGTCCAGTTAGACCATGGGCATCATCAGTAAGTCACTTTTAATCTAATCCCTGGCATACCAATTAAACTTAACTGTATATTTTAACATCAAACATCTTTTACATCAGTTTGTATTATCACAAAAATCTGTTTGATGATACTTATTTAATTTTTATTTATTCTTACACAAAATCCTTTAAAAGGGCAACTTCATTCGTAGCTAAATGAAGCATTTTTGTCTATAATATGGATGTTTCATGTTTTATATTATCTATAATTCACTGTAGCAGCTGCATTTTTAGCTAAGTTGTAGTTTGATGGCCATATTACCTACAGCAACTCAGCTGTTGTCTAGAAATTAACAGTGTTCATTTAAGACGACCTTGTTCATCATTAGACATGAGTTTGTTTAATGTAATATATACTATATACAACACTACTTCTGTGAGGGTTGGGATGCTGTGTTAAAAAGAGAATTTAAAGCCCTTGATTTATTAAAATTGCACAAAAATGCAAAATTTATCGTTAAATTAAGAATAATGTTCATCTTAGATTTGCATGTTTCAAAACAGTTGGAATAAAGGCGACAAAGCACTGAAAAAGTTTTTTTTAATGCTTAAAATCTGGAAAAACTAACAAGTTGGTAACATGACCAAAAATAGGAAGGGCATTCAAGAGAGGCTGTAGGAGAAATCACCACATGGGCTCAAAATCCCCTCAAAAAACCACAGTCTTTGAACTACAGGTTAAGCTGTAACATGTCAGGCTGAAACTCTGATATAAACGAGATCCAGTCACACTTTCTTGTGCTAAAGCTCATTTTAAATGGCTTGAGGAAAAGTAAGGAACTGTCCTGCGGTCTGACAAATCAAAAATTTGACATTCTTTTTGGAAACAATGGGAGCTGTGCTCTCTCCTCTGAACAGAGAAAGAATCACTTTCTATCTTTTTATCAGCACACACATTAAAAGCCTGCATCTGCGGTGGTATGTAGATGCATAAGTGCCCATGGCATGAGTAGCTTACACATCTAGACAGGCACTATCAGCGGTGAATGATATATACAGGCTTTGAAACAACATATGGTGCTATCCCGACAACGGCTTTTTCATGATACAGCAAGAAAATACCAAACAACATATTTGATTTTTGATATATTACAACAGCATGGCTCAGTAGTAGAAGGGTCCAGGTGCTTCACGGGCTTGACTGCGTTCCCAAATTTACAAATTACACATATTTTCATAAACCACAGATTTTTCTAATTTCAACTTTTGATTTGTTGTTTTTGCAATAGTTACGATTAAATATATGAATTTGCAAAGCACCAAAATCTGTGCTGAATTGTACAATTGAAATTAGTGGCTCTATATGATCAAATATCTTTCAGTTAATATTAGTTTCATTTATTGTGTTCTCTATAATTTTCTGTTACTTTGTTACTTTTAAATGTGGTTTTCATGGTTTATTTGTTTAGGTTAGATAATCATTTTAACCCTTAAATCAATAAAGACAGCTTAAACAAGTAATCACAGTTATCAATTAGTGCATTTGTAATCATATTTTATTTGACTAAGATTTAGTCTGGCAGATTTAGGTCATACTAAAGGAAACATGTACACTTATTCCTCCTGCTATAGTTAATGTTTGAGCAAGGTGAGGTTTTTTTTCAATAAGAAATACAGGATGTCTAACCACTACTAATTAAAACACGATATTAAACAATCAACACCACCTACAGGATCCACTACTTCTACTTCACTTACCTGGCTCTGGAGTCAAACATCGGGGGGAAAAAAAGTCAAGCACAGAAAATAATGTAAAAAAAAATGTGCAGATGCCAAAGGTGAGGCTAGGCAGAAAAAGCAACAAAGGGTTCCAAAATAAACAACAACAACAACATGAGGCCAGATTTATCCCTGAGCTAGCACAAGCTGTGACTGAGCCCCCTGCAGTATATTACAGCTGTATATCACACTGAAATAGGCCTGCCAGCGAACAATACGGGTCTGTGCAGAGCAGGAAGTGCCCCTGATCTACAGCAGCTATTCGAGCTATTTTCAATGAAGGATTGTCTTAGAGGATTTCAGGCATTATATTCGTTTTTTTTTACTTCAGAAATAGACGGAAGTAGGGATGAGGAGGGGTTTGTTGTATGTTTTATTATCCGTACAGAGCCGTGTGAATGGGTCTTTTGTAAGACCGGTGCAGCGAAGCAGTAGTTCATGCTTCAAACACTACAGCTGGAAAGCTTACTGGATTGCTTTTGGAACGGGAGTTAACAAAACACTTTTTTCAGCAGAGCTTTATCAGACTTGAGGAAGTGACGGTGACGTCAACCTAAGCCCTGAACAAATACTTACATCACTCATCAGACTTTTAAAGACCACAAGCTCAGCCTTCAGTCGGTCCACCTTCTCGCTCAGCTCAGCCCGGACCTCGGACGACTCCTGGACGCTCTGAGAGAACAGCACAACCACAAAATTACAAACTATACACAAGATCATCCATATTATGTCAAACCAAAGTGAACTTTGCTCAATAAGGTTTGGGAAATTCATTTTCAGAGTTCAACAAAGTTAAATTTGCGAGCATCGCTATGTCCAAATTTACAAAAACATATCCTGTAAACGCCCACTTATTACAAGATTATATAGTTTTTGAATAGTTTGTATAAGAGACAAAGTTACCCTAAGAGCCCAAATTAACTTTTTTTCTTCCCCAGGTAGGGCTGGGTGATAAACCGAAAATTTACTGATACCGAAATTAACGACAATAACGAACGTCATTTTGTCCATATCAATATATTCGGTGTCAAAAAAAATAAATAAAAGTTGTTTTTAGATGTGTGTAGGTAGACTATGGTCTTATGTCCCTATAAGACACTGTCCTATGTCAGAGATGTGACTCCAAGTTAATGTGGGAGGGAGTGAGCAGCTTGTGGAGTAGTTATCGTCCATTTATCGTTATCGAGGTGAACTGCTGGGGTTGATGGTTCAAACCAAATGCTTTAATGCATGTGCTCCTGACTCCTGACTTCCAACTGAGCAACGGACGGCTATTGGATGGCTATTTTACGTAGATGGAATTTAGACGTTGCACTTTAACCCGTTATTTGATAAATATTTATTTCAAAAAGAAACTGTGAGTTGCATAACTGATCTCCAAGTACTTAACCACAATAATTATGATAGCCGTTGGGCAATATACAGTGTAGTATAGATATAACCCAGATTTAGACTTGGTCTAAACTTGGTCTAAATTCAGATGTCTAAAAAACTTTCAATTTTAGACCTGTGGTAGCCTGATTTTAGACCAATTTTCTAGGCTACATTTAGACGTCTATTAAACCTTTTTTAGATCAAAAAATGCTCAGTGGGTCTGATACATGTCCTCCTCATCTCTATTCCCATCTTTTCTTGTCTCTTTTCAGCTGTACTGACAGAAAGTGGCAATAACACCCCTAACAACGTAAAAACAAAACAAGGAAAAATATTTAATTTTTTCTAAGAGCAATCCCGTCCCCTTCTTTTATTATTTTTTCTACAATAAGAGTTTTGCTTCTGGATTAATTTAGCACAAGGTAACAGCCCTTTGGCTTCCTGCCCTCAACAATAAACGGCTGTTTGCATTGAATTTACTATCTCTGAACAGATTTCCAGCCCTTCCACACACAGCAACATTAGCCTGTGAGCTCTAAAAGGTTAAAGCCCCCCCGGGGATGGTCTCCACCTCTTTATCTGGGGGTTTTGCTGACCCAGAATCTAAGACAAACACGCGTGCTCTCAGCAATCGATTGCGCTAAAGCAGAGATAGGGGAGGATGGCGTCGAGATGGGGTACTCGCTGCAGCTGGGACGGTGTGTGTTGTTGTGATACAGCCTCCAGGTGTGACATTTGGAATCGATTCCGCCTTTAAATCTACTTCCTGAGTAGGATCATAATGGTAGCCGGCTGGTGATATTTGATGTTTGTTTCTATATCCAGGCCAACAGACTCCCCCTGATGGGTTTATAATACGGTTTTTCTAATCTGACACACATCCTGCTGGCTGGAGCTGTTTCTATTCGTGCTTTGCTGAATCCATACAACACCACAAGGAATTGGGGCTGTTTATGAATGTTTGTGCTTGTGCTGTATAAGCAGTTTCCAAAATGGAGCCTACATGCACACATTCTTGCCGTCCTTGTCTGCGTTTGTAAAATGACCTTTGGCAAAATTTCAGTTATCCACATATGAGCATATAAGTGAGATGTATTATAGTGCTTCTGTTTCCCAACCTGCTGAAGGGATTCCACAGTGGAGTCCAGCTGCTCTCGTTTGGATACCTCCTCCTCCCATCTGCAACACAGAGCACAGAGGTGGGTAAGTTACTGCTAAAGCTCGTCTCCTGTGGGCCACCACGCAGGTAATGGCACTTCTGTGGAAATAATGCTTCCATCTCCGATTACAAAATGCCCTTGACAGTGTGGCTTCACACCCACGTCCCCCCCTTCTATTTTCAGTTCTTTGTTCCTTCCCTTCTTTGTGCAGCCTTTTATCTTCACAATCCCACTGCCTCAATAAAAAAAAAACCTTCTGAATGGAGTCCCATCTTTCTCCGAGCACAGCAAACATTACTCATGAATTGCCTTTGAGTGACTGCAGGGACATTTGAGCTCCAACACGCCCAAAAGGGTGGGGTATCTCTTTGCTGCATGAATTCCTTCATGTGAACTACTTCATACCTCATGGAGTCCCAGGAGAAGTGGAGAGGAATCTGTTTACCAAATTTCACAGAAATACAAAAATCTTCATTCACTGGAATTTGACAGAGATGAACCTACAAAGAAGGCCCCTCACATGCAGTAATGCCTCTAATTCTTGTGCTTTGCACTTTGTTTATAAAAGTACACTGCTTTAATTATTCATCCTAGTAAAGAAACCAGTTAGGTAGAAAGTCACTCTAAATCAAACTACCCTGTAAGTAAAAAAAAAATCAAAGTAACTGGCCTACAGCCATGCTAACAGCTCTATAAAGCTGCACTCTGCTTTTGCAAATGATAGCACGCTAACATCAAACCAGTAATACCGCTAAATGCAAATTTTACAGAGGTATGATGGTGTTTTTCTCTGTTCGGAGTTGTAGTTCAAAGTGTAAGAATGCTATAGTAGCAGCTCACCCCAGGCTGTCATTAGTCTTTCAAGTATTTAGGCGCCAAAGTATGTGATGAGTTTTGAAAAGATGACGGAAATTTTCGTGAGAAAGTTGAGAGATCAAAAGCGGGTTATCTAAATAAGGTCGTCAATAGTCAGAATGTTTAAGTGTGTACTGTTGGCTCTGTTCATATACTGTCGTTCAATGTAAAGGTTCCGCTAGTGCTAGTGCTGCTTGCATGACTACAGTTACAACTCTTGTGCAGAACTTTTGGTTTGTGTCAGTTTTGGCGCCCTCTGGCAACAAAACAGTCTTTGCTTATCTTGTCTCTTACATGATCGAGAAATGCCTTCTGACGTGTTTTTTTTCTTTTTTTGTGATCAGTTGCTGCTGAAAGTTGATCCACTGACCCTAGGGCTGGGCAATATAGGAAAAAGTTTATCACAATATATTTTTTCATATCAGTCGATATCGATACATATCACGAATGAAATTTAACAGTGCTTATTGGTAGCATGTCTTTTGCAATACAATAAGCTACTGCATCTGTGAGGTCTTAGACGTTTTGTCGTAAGGCGTTGCGCAAGAGAAAGCAGACTGAATGGTCGACTGTTTCGGCTGCACAGGCGCCATGGGCTCCTTTCTCCACTCGGGGTTTGTAAACTTTTGCATTGCATGTGCTCTCGTGTGGCACTGCCTCAGGTGGTGGAAAAGATTTGAGGTATACCCTGACCTTACAAGTACATGTACTCGACATAATTTGCAGAGCACATTACTCTGCTTCATGTCTGACCTCAAAAAACCAAAATACCTCCACACCATCGACGTTTTCGTACCAGTGTTGTCGACGATGTAAGCAACTTACAGCGACTCCCCTTTTCATTGGCTATTCGTAAAGTCTACCAAAACATGGCTGAATGCCGACTATCGAAAAGGAAATTGACCATGTGTCATGTCGATATCAAAGGAAATGAATTTTTCATATATATCATTACGGTTTTATTGCTCAGCCCTAACTGACGTCTACCCCCTCCCACTGTTTCAGGCATTAAAAACTACAACATAAGAACAGTCAATCTTATCCCTGCTGGTCTTGTTTGCTTCCATATGTCGTAAAAAGTAATCAAAATGAATTTCAGTCTATTTCGTAACTGTCAAAAAACTCCTTACAGGAGCTTTAACACGAAGCACAAAGCTCTCTCCTGATTGTGAATCAATCAGTTCAGAGCGTACTGCTAATACACACTTATCTTGTTCTCTGAGACATGAGACAGCAAGTGTGCTGAGTCACAGACACTTCCCAAAAGAGAGTTTGAGGTTCAGAATGAATAAAGAGCTCATTCAGTGGGATGAAGTAACCGCACAGAGTCAGACACTCATGCTGATGAGCTGCTGTGGACCACGTGGATGACAGTGGAGGAGAATTTGAGAGGGGGGTTTCTGCATGTCTGTAAGAGAGGAAGCAACATCTCCATGGTGTCTTACTCTAAATGTTTACAGAAAGCTGACATCTTATAAACCCAGGGATGCTGCTGCACGTACAGCGTTTGCCATGGAGAAACGTAAACACGGCTAGAAGTATCACAACATGCGTCACCGCAGATCCACTTTCTCAGGCTTTCTCTTCCTTGTCTCCATTCAGGTCCCTCTGAATACACACTGTCTAATTAGGGAGAAGTATTCCTTGGCAGGGCGTGCCTGTTCCCTCTGTGATTGAAGCCTTGTTTTCTAAAAAACGCTGGCTGTGCTGCTCTACTGTGTCCACAACACTTAGGCTGTCTGCCGCAGGACTCTGGCTGAGGTCGCAGGAGTTCACAACTGCATCAGAGATCCTCTGCAGACATAAATCTGTGGGTCACAGCATCTGCATGTCATGTGTTATTATCACTTCCTAAAAACCCACAGCACTTCCCTTTCCTTAATAGTGCTGGTGATAACTGGAGAACATGATTAGATTGACCTCTTGATGGAGGGATAACACTGTCCACACAACGTGTCAAGAGTGCTTATATCAAGCATCAGAGATAATGGAGTCATTGACAGGACTTAGCAGCAGCTGCTTACAACATGTTATTTTGGAGCAGTTACCATCTATGAAAGTCAAATTGAAAACCACTGACTCTTCCCAAGCATCCACATTAAAATTCCTTATCTAAACATATATAACACTTAAGTATTCATCTGCTTTCCCAGTCTGGGCCGAGCCTCATATTTTCCTGTACCTGTGATGTGACTGAGTCAGATGAACACACCCGGAGTCTCCTTACAAGGACAAAGACAGCAGGAGGGTTGGAGCCTGTGTCAACTCAGAGACATCTGTTTACAGCCCGAGAAATCTTCAACAATCTCGCCCAAATAAATCACTAACCGTTCGCTGTAACAGATGTGTTAGCCCAGCCAAGGCCAGCGGATATTGCTGCAATAAACTGAGGAGTTTCTTCTTCCTTTTATGGGGTAATCAAAAATAATGGAAACGAAAAACAAAAACTGAGTTATGGACATTTTTGAGATACATTCATTTATGTTTTCCTTTTCCAACCTGTACTTCTTTTTTCCTTACATTTGTCTACTTGCTATCACTAGGGCAACCAAAACTGATAAGTAGAAAACAATAATGAATCATGGGAGTTTTTCCCACAGTCACATCCAGACTGTGGAAACTACGACTACTCCTTTTTCCTGGGGAAAAAAACTTAGTATTATCTCATTGTTTTTGCTTTAGTTCAAAGATTGAACAGGGTGAAGTTTCCTTGTAATTTCTGACGTATACCTCACCTCATGTTACCTCATGTTATCATTTTCTTGAATCAATGTTGCATAAGAAGCTAAAGCCCCACCACTGAGTAACAACTTTAAACTAAATCAGTGGAAGAAAATAACAATTTTCAATGATCATATTCTCTGATTGTGAAAAACTGTGATTCAAGAGGAAACTGCAAGATAAAAACCAAGCGTCTCACATCAAACTGAGATTTTCTCATACAATTTCTCCCTCTTGAACAATAGCATTCCTGCAGCGCCTGCCAGCTAACACTCCCTGCTTTGTGCGGTATGTCTAGGAGTTATGTTTGCACGCGAGCCCTTTTATGATTTCCCATCACTGTGCCTGCGGACATGCAGCGTGCACACAACCAAATCTGGAGCACTTGTGTTCTTGCGTCGACGCTTTTTGATGACAGCGCTCTCGATGACAGTTTCATGGCAGCCGTAATGATTTAATCTTGTAGGTTAGAGTTAGGTTGATTTATATCTCCAGAATTAGAAAACTATATAACAGATCGTATCTTTAAAATGAGGAATTATAAATGATTATTTTAATGATCAAATGTTGTATGGTGTTGTGAACATAGTACTGCTTGGCAACATGCGGTAAATACCAAAGGAGCAGAAGGAAAAATCAGAGGTGTGGTTGTAGATCATCCCTCAGTGCCTCTGTTACTCATAGCAAATAAAAGTTTGAGTCCGACAACACCCTCTTTAAACTATACGACATTCTGGACAGGGTTACATATTACTGATTGGAATTTCTCTTTCACCAAACATCTGAATATAAGCTTTATCACTGATCCCAGGTATTAGAACAGATTACTCTCCTTAGAGACAACAATACCTGCTAATTAAATGAATCACTTCAATTAACAGTTTCTGGTATTAAAACGTGTTTGTGGTTCTTTGTCTTAATTCAAATCAGAGAGAAAGAGAGTCATCATAAAGGTAGCCTCCCTCTGTAAAACACAATATAAATCTACAGCGTCACAAACTAGAAGAGAGAAAATATACAACATTATTTATAAGAATAACATGATAGAGATTTGATTTTTCTTCACCAACAAAAAAAGAAACAGAATAGAACAGAATAAAATGGAAGGGTAAATGAAAAACAAGACAGGCATATAGGACAGGACAAGACTGGACAGGATAGGGCATGTGGGACGGGACAAGACTGGACAAGACTGTACAGGATAGGACAAGACAGGACAACATGGGACACGATCGGGCATGTGGGACAAAGCAAGACAAGTCCGGACAAGAGAGGACGGTATAAGACAGAACAGGACAAGTCAGGACAAGAGACTATTCATCGGCATCAAGTACAGATGAATGGAGAAAATAAATTAAATGCTTAATTTTGTTACACAAATAGGTTTTTACACTCTGGCACTAACGGGGTCTCCTTGGCTTTCGGAGCCAGCCTCAAGTGGGCACTCAAACATTTGCGGGTTCAGCACTTTAGCAGCGGCTTTATTGTGAATTTGTCTGTGTGAACATGTTTGTTAGGTTTGTTTTTCCTGTTTGTGTGTGTGCGTGTGAATCAGTGTTAACTTTGTGCAAAAAAACCAATGAATTTAAGGGTAACTGGGAGCGATATATACGTCTATGTTTGCAATAGAATATCACAATGCTACCTGTATAATAATAATAAATTTTTTTTACAATGTGATTTACATGTGAGAAAACAGACCTCATAGTGCACACAGTGAAGGGCAATAGTAAAAACAACAAATAGTGATAAAAACAACAACAGTCAGAATATAAAATCTGTATTTGTAAATAAAATTGAAGTAATGTTCTTCCGTTTTAGAGGACCATTATTTATTCTAGGCTGTTGGTTTTTATAAGGAAAACTCAATGTTATGCCTGTTAAAGGATCTCAATCTAAACACTAGATTGAGATTTTAATAGGGCCATCAACATTCATTCTCATGAGTGCAGGCCATAGTAAAACAGGAAGTGTTATATGATAACAGATTCAAAGATCAATACATCTGGCTACATGCAGGACAAGCACCCACTCAGCTCTGCCGCTGTATGAAATGAGGCTGCCGACAGCTTTGATAAACCGCTTCTGAGTGTCCAGAGCGCGCCCGATTCCTCCCATGGATCCCATAGGTGTCTATAATGTCTCCTCCATGACAGCATGGGAACCCCACCCTCTGTGAGTGATCATACGGCGCTGGAGCTGAGCCGTGATTTACTTTCAGCACAGCCTCTTGGAATAATCGCAGCTGGAGGAGGAGCAGGATGGAGAGAGGCACAGAAATGTGACATAGTGAGAGATGTGCAGCTTCCCTGAGACAAAAAGAAGGGAAGGATTGACTATAGTGGGTCATCGATTGAGAGCCATGGCGCTCTGTAATCAATGGTACCCCCAGACTCCACAGAGACACATATGTAGCGTGCTAATGAGGCAGCCACGGTAAATGGACGGGATCAAATGGCAGCTGAAAAGCCCACCGTCTGTCTGCTTTGGGGGTCTGTGCGACGAGACGCCGCCTCAAGGTCAACTGTCATTTCATTCCTCCACTCTGAAAGACTCCACCCTCTCTTCCTGACCTCAATCTATAACCATAACACAAAACCACACACACACGCTTGTCCCCCATCACTCCATGTTCTCTATCTTCCCGTCCTGTGTCCATGGAAACAGTGCCACTGGCCTGTATCGGAAGTGAATGCAGATTGGGTCCTTGTTAAACTCAATCATGCAAACTACGAGCAGAGATATCAGGAGTTTCATCTCTTGCTGATGGTTGATTCCTCTGCTCTATGTTCTCCGAGCATGGTCAGGCTTAAATATAGCTCCCCACACCCAGACAGGACACAGACACCAGCAGGCCGAGCAGCAGGGCTGCTGCTGTTGCTAAGTGACCACACATATTTTCCTGAGCTATAATTTTCATTGGCCCTAATATAGGTAACAGGGTAACACCTATTATTTTTCACTTTTGATTAATTTCTCTACATTACTTGAATTTTTTTCTTGGACCACAAATTAATTTTTAAAGTGCCACTCCCATTTTTTTTCTTACTACTCAAATTGTTCTCAGTGGTCTTTAAACTTTGATTATGAAGTTTTTAGCAAAAATTACGTTATCTGTGTCATTTTCTTCTGTAAGGCTCCAGTAGCTCATTAGCAATCCGCCTCTGAGTCTTGGGCGGAGACAGCGCTGCTCTGCACACTCCTCTTCACGCCAGCTTGTAGCCTAACATTGCTGATGTAGTAGAAAAAAACAGGTAACATAGGAACCATTCAGCTCTCGGACACTAATGTCTTTAGGGGCATGATGAAAGCTAATATCATAATCAGCTATCTTACGAGCATTTCAATCCGCTAACGCACATGCTTGTTCCGCGATCGTCCTCTCTATTTCTCTGAGGTCTTTAGGATGTTTTGACATGAGATTGATCTACTTTTGAGTGTATTTTCCATAACTAGCTTGTTTTCCCCCCTTGTCTTGCTTAATGAGATGATTTTTCACTTTAATGTAGCATGACTACATTCAAACTTACTTTACAGGTTTGACAGTAGGAGAAAAACAACAAAAAGACAACAGCTAGCTTTGTGAGGCTACTTTGGTACCTTTAGATTAGAGCTAATGTTACCATGCTAGTTTGAGACTATGATGCTAACAGGTTAATGTCAGCATGCTAACAATCTAACACTGACAATGTTTGTAGATAAAGTTTGGCAAGCTAACAAGTTTTTGTCAGAGTAATGTTGTTCGCATTGAAACATGGCTATTATACCATTAATTAATGTTAATGTGGACAATGCTAACATGTTCACTCAGACCAGCTTTCTTTAAGCCTGTGAAGGACCGACATTTAATCTGAAAATGAACTATAAAGGGCATATTCTGCTAGGTAAAAAGCAACAGTTAAACAATTAAAGGGATATTCGTAAATTTAAGTTGAGTTAGACTGAGTTAGACCCCCCCTCGAGAGATGAATTTTGCCGACTGCTTGCTTCTCTAGTTGTACCAACTTTAGCAACAACTGCACGATAGCAATACACAGCGGCCAATGTCTCCACGCGCAAACCTCAACCAAAACACCACTCTATAGCTACAAATAATGCTCAGAACAGCACCTAACTTCATCAACAGTACATATAGGGTCCTGGCCACCAAACATCTTTTTAGCTTCGGCTGGTTTCTGTAGGAAAGAGATCAAAATGTTATGGTATGTTTAACCATAACTTAAATGTACGCTGGAATATCCCCTTAAAGAATCAGGATAAAATATTGAAAACTGTTTTTTGTAAAAGTGTTTTTTTCCTTCCTTAATTACTGGATTTTTTTCTTCTAATAACACCTGTTGAAATCAAGGGTGTGAATTATTATGTTCTGTAGTCCAGTCCCTTATCTTTATCTTGTGAGCGGTTAAGATAGTTAAGATAATCCTCTATCTTACACCAGGTTTGTCTGGTAATGTCTTGTGAAACTTTTATGAAGTTTTTAGTGTTGGGCTGTTGAAACTATTGCAGTTGCTGAAATCACTGACTCTACAACAGCACAATGACATCTAATGATAGCTTCGAGTTATGTAAATGTTTAGACAAACTGCTCACTGTTTGTACTGAAATTCAGAGAATGCTTGTTTTAACCACATGGTGAATGAAAAAAAAGCAAAAAGGTCAACACCACGCTCATTCCCAAAAACTGACTGTATACTTTAAATGACTTCCAGTGAACTGTGGTAATTTCAGCTGAACTTCAGACCATCTGCTTACAAAATACCACATCAGAGACCAAAAATGTTCGTTAGCTTCTCAGTGGAGTACCGGGGTCTTAATTAACCGGTCATTCCCTCCTGTCTCTTTATCTGTCTGCATAACTTTCCTCTATCTGAAGCCTGAAATCTGCTGGAGACGGCTCTCGCTGAACATTTTTCATTTATGAGATGTTCCTCCAGGGAGGAAATGCAGACGGCTTTAATGAAAAAAATCTGTGATTTCCAAAGGAAAAACATTCCTCAAGGTTACTAAACTTATTAAGGGTCAACTTCAAGCACTTATAAATCTGTAAACTGTCTTTATCACTTAATAGTTAGAGCCCTGGTGAGGAATTTTTAGCTGGTAATAAAACAGCCTCTGATTGATACCAACACCTCTGAATGACCTGAAAGATCAAACAAGGCCATCAAAGAGAGGAATTCATTTTTATACAAGGGATTGACAGATACTAGTTTTCCAAGACCAATACAGAAACCGATCATTAGTAGTTCGTGAGACTGATAACTGATAATTGTAACAAATATGCAATGACAGTCCACATATCTGAGCCACCTCCGCTGCAAGGTATGTGACATGAGGTAAACCACTTTGTCTACAGGGTCTGTCAAAACCGATGCAACAGAAAGTCACTCACATGAGCTTTAATTTCATATTATCTTTAATCATTTACAGTGTACAGACCTTAACTGACCAAAGTGGTCTATTTTTCTATTTTTTAAGAGGCTCAGGACTCACATTTTAACTGATTTTAGGCTTTTTACTGATTGCCTTTCCTTATTTTTCATGTTGCTACTGTTCATTTTATTGGAGATCTTAATGTTGTTAATTGTATTTATTAACTCATTGATGTTTTTTCATTATTACTATATATAAATGCATTTTTCTGTTCTTAGTCTTTTTCTTAATTCCCTTCAATGAGGTTTTTACTTTTTTACCCCTTCTACATGGTAATGAGCTCTTACTTATTTAATTTTATATTATCTTCTCGTCTTAGTCTATCAAGTTTTAGTCTTTCTTTTTACTATTTTTATCTTTTTATCTCCAGTGTTTCCCAAAGGTAGCTCTTTCTTCACGCAGTGTCACGCGGTGTCAAGCCATGTCTCTTTAGCAATATATCTTAAAAGCTCACTCTGTGTGCACTTGTGTGTGTGTGTGTATGTGTGTTTGGTTGAGGGTAGGTGTGTGTCTTTGTGTGTGTGGGTCTATGGGTGTGTGTGTGTGGGTGGGAGGGTTGAGATTTATTGTTGTTTTCAGCCTCTGTGACGCACTTTGATTTACATTCTATATAAAGATAAAGAAATGTATAAAAAAATATATAAAGAAAGTCAAATTTGAAGTTTCTGAAAAAAAAAAAAGTTCCACCCTTTACATTGATATTTCTATAGATATCCAATAAAAATTCAATTAATATATTTATGATTAGGGCAAATTCACACATCCCACAAAAGTTGCAAATATGTCTTTCACTGTGCTCATAGAATTACCAAGAAAAGTAAATAGTATGATTATTATCGCATGATATCTAAATAACCTTAAAACAAACTCTTCCAGTATCAATAAGAATACACTACAAAATACTGTTTATTGAAGCTTATTGAAGTGTAACGTGTGTTTTGGATACAAGAGCGTTAACACTGAGGTTAAGTGGTTTTGAGAAAAGAGATGAGTAATCGAGAGAAACTTTTTTGGTCTTAAATAAACACCTCTTGATTAAAGGTCGAGCAACTGTGGTTGTTTATGTTCACCCAAACAAAAAATAAAGCTTCTGTAATCTGCATTTGAGTGAAGGGATCGACGTGGGTTATTAACAAACTAAAACTTCATCTTTTATATTCATTACTAAATCCACAATGAATGGAAAAACCATTTGGTGACTTCGACTTTCAAACAAGCTGGGGCACAGTTATATCATCTATAGTACAGACTGGCAGTAAAACAACACAGTAACAGGAGTAAGCTTAACTCCATCGACACCATTAAGTTGTTTGGAACAAGGTGAGATTATAACAATCCATTGGCCCACATCAAAGCACCTGTCTGAATAGAGGGTTGGGTACGTCACCACTGAATCCTCCCTTCTTGCTGATGGACTAGCAGATAATCAGCTTCTGCTGTTGTAACATGTCTAATCCTCCATTTAGACCTGGCCCCTCTGCGTTACCACACAGACTTTACCCCACAATATGGGTGTGGGCTTGACTTGTTTGCACCCTGCACATGCATTATCTAATTGCTTCACTCCCAAAGCATGTCCTAGCCCTCATTTCTCTGGCCTGAGGGATGCCGCTGTCAGGCTAGCAGTAAACCTTTCAGGAAAAGAGACAAACAGGAGTGTTCACAAGTAATTACTATCAATTTCTAACTCACAGGCATGACCTTAGAGCTGCCAAAAAAGGGGGGGATAATTACTCCCATAGAGTCTTTTATAAGTCTTGATAATGACAGCTATTTCACAACCTGAGTGATCAGTCTTTGTAGCGACATGCAAAAGATGTAGGTGCTTTTAAACTGACCCAAACCTAATGAGTTGTTGATGTTTATGATGGTTGACAGTTAAATGTCACTGCTGGCAGATCTGGCAAGAAGTCAATAAGAACTCAGTCAACATGAGTCTCCAACTTCCTGAAGACTAAACAGAGAAGAACCTGTGGAGTTTGTGCCAAATTTAACATGAAAAAGGGGATTTTAACATACACGAAAACACAGTTCTAATAAATTTAAGGTGCAGTTTAAAAAAACAAAACAATGCAATGCTACTTTGAAGTTACTTCACAATATCAAGGGCTAATTTTTTTTCATTATATTCATTAAATTCAACATGTAGAATATAACTTTAACTTTCACTGTCACATGCTGAATTACTTTTTATTAGGGGTGGGTATTGGCAAGGACCTCACGATACGTATCACGATACATGTGTCACGATACTGTGGCCCCACAGTAAGATATTATCAAGATACTTGGGCCACCAAACGATATTATTGCGGTTTTTAAAATTTTGCAATACAGTGAGGATTGCAATACAATATAATGCGATTTATACAATTTTTTTCAACTGTTTAGCTAATTTAGCATTTGTCTTTCCTTTATGTTTGTCTCATTTACACTGTATTTTATTTTCATGTAGCATATCTTGCAAACCTTATGTGTCAGGCCCATCTCATTTGTGTCCTGTTTGCATCCCTAATGTCTTTCCCGCTGCTGCTATATTTGTTGCACTAACTTTCTCTTGCTCTATGATGTATAGATTGTGATAAACTTTTTCCCATATCGCCCAGCCCTACTGTGAAAAATTATCTGGAAACAGCCGCTTTAGAAGTATCTTAATGAAATGTAGACAATGTCGTGTATCGAAAAAAAAATCTTGTCTGAAAGTCGTGAAACAATAACAGCTACACCAGAACAAACAAAGAGTTAATCCACAGACGCTCACTGCATAATGATAACTGATGGGTTCCAAGATACCAAGACTGCATTCAAAATCATTAGCTTTGTTTACATTAATAACCTGGTGCAATGTCTGATATCTTTCAATACTAATGTCAATGTGTCACCGAAACAATCCTACTGAGCTTGTTTTCCACCTTCACTTATTTCAATTCTCTTCTTATTCTATTAGGGACAATTTCTTTGCACGCATTTCTTAACACACTCAACATTTCCCTTCATCCATCATTCATATTTGACATCTGTTTTCCTATTCTGATTCTGCAGTCTTGGGGCTTTTCAGTTCCAGAGTTTTCTCTCTTTTTTTTTAACATGAATATATTTGTCAGCTATAGCTTGTTAGCACAGCTTGCAGCAAGAGGGTGTGACAGAGTGTTGTGACAGAAAATCAGTTCTCCCTGCAGCCTTGCAAAGAGCAAACAGACCCCACCCCAAGCTGCACTGATAAATGGTTTCTTTTCCCACTGAATTCATCCACTTCAATCCACATAACAGCCTTACACCCTGGGCTGTTGACTTAATGCACGGTACAAGTACAAGCACAAAAACTGTTAAACATAAGCTGTAAAAAAGAAAAACGTAGAGAGGGAGACTTCTTCTCGATCATAAAGAAAGGCGTTGAACTGGATGCTCTGATTGACAAATGACAAGTTTCCAGGAGAGTCCTTGCAAGTGCTTATATAGAACAAACAACTTTGTGCATGCCTGGCCTTGTTAGGGTGGAGCAACACATGACAGTGGAGAAGAAAAGAAGATAAAGACGTTCATGTCTGGCACAAAAAGTGTCCAGGGTGTGTTCAGTCAAATTATGTGAGACATAACAGAGCTATGAGACATTACAGCCACAGAAACGTCTTTTATACCCCTGGGTAGACACACCTGTTGGAAGAACCCCAGGGGTCAACATGAAGCTCCAAAAGCTGTATTCAGAGGAAATGTGTTTCATTAAACACGTGCGAAAAACAATCTGAGACTCCTAACCCAGGGGCTACATGCATCCACAGATGATTACGACACATCCCCTGCATTTTTAGATTTAACTGTTTCCATTTTGACTTTTGCAAAATGAACTGTAATTAAGGAGTGGTTTATCCAATCAACCTTGCAATGTGACTTTAATTCACCTGTTGAAGCAGAAAGCTAATCTGCAGAGTTGTTGGTAGGGGGGGAAAACCTTGTACCCTCTTGTTTCAATTTAATCACTTAATTGATGAAGTTAGACTTTCAATTTGTTGATGAGCAGTTTGGATGCTGTGTTTGAAGAGGCCATACTTTGAACGATGCAGCAACTCAGCTGTGTATGCTTACTTACCTTTTGTATAAGTTCACACGTAGCTTAACGTGTATGAGCTGTAAGCAAAAGATTGTGATTTTTTATGATACCTGGTAAGTGCCAAAAAGCTGAGAAAGTGTTCAGGACATAAAAGAGGCAGAGAAGTTGGATAGTTTTTAAATACTGAGTAATAGAAAGTATAATCGAGACACAGAAAATGGGTCCTAACTCCATGACATTAAATTCAACTTGGCCTTAAGACGCAAAATCGACAGTGTTACAGATTGGAGGCAATGACTCTAACTTATTTATCAAAAAACAAACAGACAAACAAACAATTGAATGTTTTTTTTTAATTTTTGCTATGAAACCTTGATAATTGAGGTTTTAAGTTAAAAAGCCGCTTGTTTGTGGGGGGAGACCTGACGAGTCGAGCGCAGTGGAGTTTCGCAGCTCAAGGAAGAACATTTATGATTATTACTTTCTGGAAATACAATCAGATCGAGATGCTAAGGCAGAAGAACTACCATGTCTGCAGTCCAAAATTATTATTATGATGATTATCGCTCATGGAAAACATCCGCTGCACTCAGTGATCGACTCGTCAGGGCTCCCACACAAACAAGCGGTTGCTGGAGGAGAGTGGGTGAGTTGTGTTTGGTCTCTTCGCTAAAGAAATTAGGCAAAACTAAAAAGATGTTTGTTGGCTAGTGCTATGGCTGGGACCCTATTTACTGTTGATGAAGTTAGGTGCTGTTCTGAGCATCATTTGTGGCTATAGAGTGGCTTTTTGGTTGAGGTTTGCGTGTGGAGACGTAGACCGCTGTGTATTGCTATCCTGCGGTCGTTACTCAAGTTTGCATAACTGGACAAGCAAGCAGTCGGCAACATTCATCTCTGGAGGGGGTGTCTAACTCGGTGTTACGGTGTGTTTGAACCTAACTTAAATTTCCGCCAGAATATCCCTTGAATGCACTTCTTATTAATAAGTAGGTCACTGATGACGGCTTTTGGCATTGTGAAATTAAAAATGAAAACTCAGTCATTGAAAGTTTCACCCCTTCTTTGTCTCTGATAGTTGGCACCTGTGGTCTCCGCTCTGCATGCAGCAGCACAGACTCGGGTTTAACAGTCTGTCAAGAATCTCACACGCCATCGTCCAATCTGGCACATGTGCAACCTTATAAACTGCTCCAAGATATGTTTGCGTCTGTTTGTTTTGTTAGGTTCCAAGCCAACCAGCATTATTTTCTTTGGAATAACAAGCTTTTGTACCGCAGCAGTTATTAAGTCGGATGCTGTTTCAGCACATCCAGGCCTTAGGAAAAAGGTGTGATAGCTTCTCAAACATAGCAGGTCTGAACAGAAGGCAAACAAACATGTTAAATCATTGGATGTAAACAAGGATTAGGTCTGATCATTGAGGAATTAGTCGAGATATATACCTGACCTCACTTACTCCTCTGCTGTGCTTGAGGACACAGCAGATTTCACTTAACAATCCACCTATAAACCTCCTGTGCAGTATCGGACTCTCCCTCTGCAGTCACAGGGCTCAAGACACAGAGGTGCAGGTGCATTCCTGCACTTTTAAATATGGCAGCAGGCCACCGCTCTCAGCTGTATCGATACCCATGAATAATCAAACACAGCTGCACAACAGCACAGCAGCTCAGGCACAAATGCAGAAAGGAGACAGAGGGGGACACACGCGCATCATGCAGGTTTTCCTTTAAAGATCACATTGATCACAAGATCACAAAGGTTCTCTCTTATCATCTTGTGTTTATGCCGCAGGAAAAGCATGACTGTTTCTTGACTTGATAATGCCCCCTGAATGTCAGTACATATCTTAGTAGACGAGGTGTTACTCTGTTTTTATAGTCATTAAGAATTTGGATTGATCTGTCTCTTAGTGTCTTCCTTCTTTTTCAAACTAGCCCAATCAGATGAGCACAGAAAAATTATGTCCTCAATTTTCCAACATCCCAGAACCTGGGGTTTTTACATGTGTAATGTTATTGGAAAGGGTGTTTTTTGGGGACACTTAAAGGGAATTTCTGGTGTAAAACTATGTCAGGGTCAAACACACCAAAACACCAAGTTAGACACCCCGTAGCTTCTCTAGTCATACCAACTTTAGTAACGACCACACGATAGCAATACACAACGGTCTCAGGAGCCACGGGCTCAACCAAAAAGCCACTCTATAGCCACAAATAATGCTCAGAGCAGCACCTAACTTCATCAACAGTACATATAGGGTCTCCGCCACAGCGCTAGCCACTAAACATCTTTTTAACTTTGCCTGATTTCTTTAGCAAAGAGACTAAACACAATTCACCCACTCTCCTCCAGTAGCTACTTGTTTGTACGGAACCTCAGGCGAGTCCATAAGTGGAGTGGAGTTTCGCAGCTCAAGGAAGAACATTTATGATCATTTCTTCATGGAAATGCAAACAGACCAAGATGCTAAGGCAGAAGAGCAACCACGTCTGCAGTGCAAAATGATTATGATGATGATTATTACTTTAAGGAAATGATAAAGCAACATTCATCTCTCGACGTGGTGTCTAACTTGGTGTTACACTTTGTTTGTCCCTAACTTAATTTTACGCCGGAATGTCTCTTCAAGACATTGCCATGACTGTTTTATAAACTCAAATAAGGTACATAATTGAAGATTTCTCCAGTAATTTCAGAAAAATTTAAGAAAAACTTGAAAACTTTTTTGCTTGTGTTCCCTCTGATATTAAAATTCCCCTCTGGATCTCTAAGATTTATTTTTCTTTGGGTTGTTCTGACCCCTTGGGAAAGCTAGGAATGAAGACCGTGTACAGAGAACAACCACAGTGCTCATTTTTATGACAACCTGGTACACAGTGTGGCGAACAGCAATGTTTGGGCTCAAAACTTCAGGTCTGTAGCAGAGACAAATAAACTCTTAGCACATTTTTTGTATGATGTTTCAACAAATGTGGTCACAAAAAATGTGACCCATAATCAAAGTTGGAATGCAAGTTCAAAAACTTGTTGTGAGCTTAAGCAGAGCGCACCACGCAGACAGGAAGAGAGGGTAAGAGAGGAACAATATGAGCTCTAATCTGAGGCTCAATGGTCTTAGTGGACCGAGCTCTCGCTCTCTCAGTATCTCAGCAGCAGGGAGTCTCCCTCTCTGAGAGGCCCCAGCTCAGTGCAGCGGCTACGTGCCAGGACGCCGTGCAGCGCTGGCTGGAGGTTAGTGCCTCGGTGCTAGGTGACGGCTTAGAGAAAATCCCTTTCCTGAATAGACTGCCTGGATTATAAACGGGGGCAGGTCAACACCCAAAGACATACAGAGAGAGTGAAGAGTTCATCAGCCGCGCTCCTCATCGAGGAAATATATTTGGACACATAATGCAGCCTGAAGCTTTGGAATCGGAGCAAACCTCACCCTGTAATTAGTCACTTTTTTCATAAGACAACCCGAAATCTTACTTTCTAAAGAGATGATGCTCAGTTCCGCCTTTCCCCTCTCAGTAGCACAGGAAGCGAGATCAAAGCATCCGAAAAGACGTCTTCAGTGGATTCTCACTGCATTGATCCACACATGCAGCTAAATTCAGCTGAATGTGAATTATTCATGCAGAGGGAACATGCCCAGGAGGCCCGGAGACTGCTCAGGTTCACTATACGTCCATGTATCGCCCACATTGTCATCCAGTAGGACACTTGTTTGGCCCCTACACAATAATGGCATGAAGAACCAATTACAGAGAGGCCACAGTGATGACCGGGGGTCTCTGGTTCAAGTCCCAAGTGGGGAAAAACGTTGGGGTAATGCGCTCCTAAGCACCAGAGTATGCTGAAAATGCTGCAGCGAGAGGAGAAATTATGAGTTTTTCATCAATCCCTGTATGAAGATATACTGCAGTAATGGAAAGCTTTTATTGAAGAAACAAATGCTGTAAGTTACAGAAAACACTACTGACATGAAAGAGTTACCCCAGGCAACATACATCATATCTATGGAGGTGGGATTGCAGGGTGATTTAAGACAAGATATAGACAGGATTTGATCCATATCTGAACGTTACGTTACAAAATGATGTAAGCTAGGTAGGGATAAGTTGTGCACATTAAAAAACTGTGTATCAAATAATAATTAGTCAAGAGTATCATATTGTATTATATGTATTATATGTATATGATCATTTTAGATAAAATGCTGGTATTTGGTGCCATCAGTACAATAACTTTATCAGACCGGTCAAGAAGATATTCTGCTTTATGGATGTTTTGTTCCACCTTTATCTTTGAAGCTGCCATGAAGAGTTTCTCACTGGTTACAATAAAACAGACCTAAGTTAATATTGACACCTTTTTACAACCTAAAAAAAGAAAAAAAGAATCGTAATAAGATTGAATATTTCCTTATAGTTATTTCTGATGCCCAAAAAAACTGATGGGGGTTAGGAGACAGAAAAACTTATTAACTTATTTTACCTAGCAGTAGAGGAGATGTCCATTTGTCCACAGGGGGCGCCGAAATCAAAACAAGCCTAAAGTTCCACACAAGAGTTTTAACACACTGATTGTTCAACTTTGACCTTCTCTAATCTTGAAGAAAGTGTTATTGATTAAAAAGTACTTCCTGTGACAGTGATTAATGAAAAAAAGCTATATATAAGCAATCTTTTAGAGACTTTACATTTTGTTGAGATAGCCAAGTGTGAGGAAAACCTTTGTGTTTCACTTGTTTATTTTTATTTACTGGTATTAGATTCAATTTTGTCCAAATACCTTGATGTATTTATTTGCAAACACCCACAAAACTACTTCAGGCATTTCTATCTGTTCTCCTGTTTTCCTCTTTGGTTGGATAAAGGTTTTCAGTGACGTGTTTTTTAGCAGCCATCTCTTGTGACTGAAAATAATAAAAGAAACAGACAAATCATTTTTAATACAAGACTAAATGTCTAAATCTTTGGTAAAAGCTGCTCTTTTTGAAATGACATTACATTGGGAGACAAAAACAAACCACTGCACTGCAGCACACTGCTTTCTGAAAATGAAGTATCAAGCTCAGTCTTTCAACCTGCATAACCATCTGAATATCTCTATTCCACAGACATTTACGTAAACCCCAATATCATGTTCTCACCTGCGGTGTTATTTGACAGTTAAACTAACTCTTTACATATGCAGCATTAACAGCATGTATTAGAAGATTAACACAAGTGCTCTCTTTGACTCCCTATCTGTTTTCCTTGCAGTACTCTGCATAATAGATAAAGCTGTTGTCAGCATCACAGCGGCATCAGTTTAACATGTAAATCTTAAACAAATTCCCACTTTACCACCCTGTTCAGAGCTGCAATGACACACTTTCTTTTCACAGTATATGTTTTGACTGACAAATATGTATGTCACTGTAGCTGATTTCATTGCCATATAAGCACTATCGCACACAGATGGTAATTACTGTTCCAGACTCGCTGACATCTTAGTGAGATAATTATAATTATTTAACATATATTTTAATTGCAGCCCTGGATGTTTTATGCTATTGCTTAATGACCTACTTTTAACTAAGTGGACGTTCATATGAGCCGGCTGTCTGATTTATGAATCCAGACCTTGACCAGCTGTATGTCTATACGTCCTACATTTGTATGTGTACGTGAAGGCTGCAGCTGAACACAGCAGTTTTATAAAGGAGGAATATCAGAAATGAGTGAAGAATGTGGGTTCGATCAGCTTAAGTGGCCTGAGTGACGTCAGTAAATACTGACAAAACATAAAGACTAAAGTGACCAGAAAATCTGATAAATAAATATTTAAATAGTCTTTTGATGAAAATAAACAAAACAAACAAATATATAAATAAACAGAATAGCTTTAGGTGGGAATAGCATACTACCAGTTTTAACTGTGTGGGAAACTGCCCACAGCCTGGTGTCTGAACACTGAAATATTTCTCCCGGGGTCGGGAGATTTATTTTTTTTAATTATCATGTGATTGACTTAATACACAAACTAAGCACGAGAAGCAGGACTTATCCACGCCGGTGTTGTGTCGTAGAATGCACCCCTGCCGGATGCACCCCCTGCTAGTAGCCATGATCCAAATACTCGCGTCTTTGTAAAATATGAGCTCATTTGAACGTATTTCCTCCGCACCCTTCTCACCTTTTCAACCCCTGACCCATTTTCATGCCTGAAGCGCTGTGTTTGAGAAATACTTACGGCCGGGCACTTCATATCGCGGGTCGAGAGTGGCTAGAAGCTGGTCGAAGCCAGGCTTTTCAACGGTAGTTATTGGCAGTATGTCCCTCGCTATGAAGCATGTTACTGCATGGGTGATGTCCTTATGCCGCTCGGCCGCTTTGTCGTATTTTGACAAGAAACGAAGTCCAGTTTGGTCTGCTTCACATGCTTTGTGCCGGTGCTGGCAGCGGTTCCAGAGGATTCCTCCTCCGACGACGACGTGGAGCCGCGGCGCGGCCGACACAGCTCGTACTCCTGCGGGTGCGATCGGTTTAGATGGTAAAACAAGTCGGTTGTGTTACCAGACTTGGTTTTTACTAATTCTCTGCAAATTTTGCAAACGACCGCTGTTCGCTTTTTGTCAGACTTCTAAAAACCAAAACACTGCCATGCTGGAGAACTACTGAGACCTTTTTTCAACACAATGTCCTCCGCTTCTCCTTGCTGTATCATTTTTTCTAATACACGTGCTGTCTGTTGTGGTTTGATAGGGGCTGGGCTTGGTGCCGTAGCGTACCTGGGTCTGCGTTTGTGATTGGTTGGGAGGAAGTAATGACTGTAGTAAAAGCTACATGATAGGCTATGATGAAAAAGAAAGGGAAACTGTGTTTTTCTATCGAACTTTTTATCGACCCGTTTTTTTTCTATCGCACCACACGTCTATCGATCGATATATATTGTTATCGAATTATCGTCCAGCACTAGTTCACACAGTATATGTTTTGACTGACAAATATGTATGTCACTGTAGCTGATTTCATTGCCATATAAGCACTATCGCACACAGATGGTAATTACTGTTCCAGACTCGCTGACATCTTAGTGAGACATTTCACAGTGATACAGGACAGAGGGATAAATACTGTGTGTATGAGGGCACTGGCATTGACCTTACCCAGCATCCTTTGCTCTGTTGTTTGTCAGTGTATGAGGTATGTGACCCTGACACTGTGGAGCTAAGTGGACGTTCATATGAGCCGGCTGTCTGATTTATGAAGCCAGACCTCGACCAGCTATATGTCTATACGTCCTACATTTGTATGTGTACATGAAGGCTGCAGCTGAACACAGCAGTTTTATAAAGGAGGAATATCAGAAATGAGTGAAGAATGTGGGTTCGATCAGCTTAAGGGCTCTTACAGATCCACAAATAAACCCTGTACCCGTGAAAGAACATGATTATAGTCTTTCAAAACAATGCGGTGCACCAGAGAGGAGCTGTGCCAGCAATGTTTTGAGGCAAGATACTTTTCTGCAAAGAGAAATAGTCAATAACTGTAGACTGTTGAGAAAACAAGCAGCACACCAGAACCTCGCCTAACAAGATTTAGTCCTCTGTCTACGACAAACTCGCACTCTCCGCACTTTAAATACAAATCTTTAGAGTATACAAAACCTTAGGATTGCAGTAAGGAATGCATTCATCGCAATAAAAGACAAATAAAGCTTGTAAAAGGTGATCACATGCTTTTTCAAAAACTTTTCTTTGAAGGGAGGTTACTTGGCTTCATGCAATTAAGTTTTTGGTAAATTTGTCATTTTTTTAATTACTGTTCTGGACCTAGCAGGGGGAGATAAAGTTGGGTACAACCAGTGTTTAAAGTCCCACTCCATTCAGTTTTTTTAACAACTTGAAGTGTTCTCAGTGGTCTTTAAACTGTGTTTATAAAGTTTTAACCAAGAACCGTGTTAGCTACGTCAAGCGTTTTTCTTCTGCAGAGCTCCAGTAGATCATTAGCAATTCGCCTCTGAGTCGTGGGCGGAGACAGCGCTGCTCTGCACACTCCTCTTTAGGCTAGCTTGCAGCCTAACATTGCCTGTGTAGTAGAAGTGGCAAGTAATATAGGAGCTATTCAGCTCTCAGACACTAATGTCTTTAGGGACACAATGAAAGCTAATGTCATAATCAGCTTTCTTACGAGCATTGCAATCTGCTAACGCACATGCTTGTTCCGCAATCGTCCTCTCTATTCCTCCTCTATATGCAGAGTCTGGCCTGGGCGGAGCTTAGATTGGTTACATATGAAATCTCACTGTTTCTGAACCTGCCGTTTGGGTCTGCCAGAGATTAACAGCGATTCGAATGAAGAAATACTCAGAAAAGCAATTTTGCATTTAGTTTTCTCATGATTTGTCCTGTAGCATTAGAAAAATGCCATATGAACATGTAAAAAACAAGAAAAACATGATTTACATCGGCGTGGGTCTTTAAAGACTATGCCTCTGTGTATGAAGGACTTGCTCTCTACACTGAACTACACCCCCAAATTTAAAGTTGTAGATACAAATCCTTTTTTTTTTATTATTAAAAAACCAAACATGACATATACAATTGAAAATAACTCAAAAGTTGATTTAGTTAGACGGCAAACTCATGATGACCTACTCTAGTCATTTCATTTAATAGGTCATCATGAGAGAACACTGCAGCTGTTTACAAGGCTGAACCTTTCTTTATAGGACATTTAAAGGGCATAACGGGTTCAACAGGTTACAAACTAAGTCAAATGTTCCTCATTTGTCTATCTAACCGTGGGAGTATACCAGCGGTTTAAACTGTCTGATGTCTGTATTGTACTTGTTAATTGTCCTGGTAAATATATTTTTTTTCAATTACATTCGAACCATGTTTTGTTTATGAGAAGCCTGGGAACTGACTTCACAGAATAGCCACAAAAGTAATTGTGTGATGCAGAATGACTGATCACACCATTTTGCCTCAGGCTCAGAAAATAGGTCCTTGATCAGAGTAAAAGTAAACAAGAACTTCTCAGCATGAATGCAGGAGGCCACATCAAAAATGGAGCATCTGGCCATCTATCTGTGCGTGTGTGTCCCCTCTCGTAAAGCTTTAATAAATCACCCGGGTGGTGTGGGAGCTCTGGGGAGGATTTCAAGGATGTCTTACAAAGCAGTCTTCGTGCAGACGGGTAGAGGGGCTGTGAAAGGGGTGGAGCGAAAAAGACGAAGAAATGGCCGTAAACAAAAAGCACAGAAGAGAAAAGGCACAGGGAGGATTGGGCGAGGGCATTGTACGCTGAAACGTGACTGTAGTAAAGAGGATTTAGACCGGTAGACAGAGAGAAAAAAAAACAACTGGGCAGTGAACTCAGCGGTGATGCAATTACTGAGCTGAGAGCAGACAAGGAAAGTGAGAGGAGAGAGATTGACTACCAGGATTAATGGACAGTAAAAATAGGCCAGAAATGAGTCTTGTTCCTCACTTTTCTGGATGTAAAAGGAATAAAAAAAAAGGACACTTTGACTCTTTGGTACTTTAGAGTGCCATTGTAAAAAAATTGTAAGCATAAAAGTAAAAAAATGTCCTTCCTAAATCTGTGTTATAATACCAGGGCTGCAAAGAGTAACCCTGTGATAGAGTGTGATTACTAAGAATTAAAAAGAATCAAATTAAGATTGATTATTAAGATTAACTCTTACTTTATCTTGATGTTGAGTCTTTGTAAATAAGGTTAACACAAAGTACGGTCACGACCTGCTCTTTCTTAACATCTTGAGATAATATTTGTTATGAATTAGGTCAATATAATGCTGCGTTCGAGTTACCTCGGAAGTCAGATGTCGGAGCTGAAAATGACGTCACACCGGAGTTATCAGTGTTTCAGTTACCAAGTCGGAAAAAAGCAAAATCAGAGGCAGAAACAAGATGGGAACATCTACGTTATTTTCGTGCTTGTCTTGTTTGAATAAAAGCAAGGACAAGGCAAGTGGTAAAATAACTTTCGTAGATGTAGCCATCTGGTTTCCGCCTCCGATTTTGCTTTTTTCCGACTTAGTAACTGAAACGCTGGTAACTCGGGTGTAACTTCCAAGGTAGCTCGAATGTACCATAAATAAATATTGATTAGTTGGTTGATTGATTGAAGTAATATGCTGGGTTAAGCAGATACAGCCTCTTAGCAGCTTTATCTCCATTTTCTAGAACAAAATAAAGCCAGACCTTGCTATGCTAAGAGATTCTGTCATCTCTTCTTGTTTATATTCAGGTGCTAATGCATTATCGCAGTAGCCAGTAACCTGAACTACAGCCTTGGCTAGTGGCTTTGCTAGCTAAAAAGACTTAAGTTAGTCTAATGAACACACCTTTGGGACAAAACACAGAACAACACTTTTTAGGGCGGTGTATACATTAAGTGCAGCAGCTTCGTGTATTTTACTTACTTATTTAAACTCTATTTAAAAGTAGATTAGATAGCTGTGTCAAAGGCATATATAAAGTAAAGTACTCCCATTCTTGCCAATAGAGATCTAAAATTTTTTGGACTCAGCTGCAGCACTTTTTAATCTGGCTGCCCTCCCAGTGTCTGACATCCTGGAGCAGAAATGTTCAAAAAAGGATGTGCTAGTGTTACAGGGAATGACTGGGCAGGATATGAAGATTCCCAGAAATGTGGGAGAGAGAGAGAGAGAGCACACATTCTGTGTCACTGAGTCAGTGAACTCAGGGGGAAGTCGGTGTTCGTCATCGGCGACCTCAGCAAGCAGCCGGCCCGTTAAAATGCCTCTCTGCTTGAATCATAGCAGCAAACAGAAGCCGGCGACTGCTTGGCAAAGTCTCCCCCCCAGCAGCCAGCCAGCCAAGCCGGCCAGGAGTGACGTGGGTCAGCTGGGGACGCATCAATGAGTCCTCAAGGAAACATAATTAATGTGACTAAAGAAGAGGAACAATTGGTGGAGACTGAGCCATGAAAAGGAATTTCCTCATAAGCCCATGTGGGAAACAGAGTCAATCCAATTTTCATCTCTGAGTTGATCAAAAACTGAAAACATCCAGAGCTCTGACACTCCTCATGTGAAATACAACCTCAGGTGAAACTCGATCTCTCAGATACCTCTCTTCTATATGTCAAACGAGCATATGGGGGCATTTGACAGGCACACCCACATGGTGAGAAAAAAAGTCACACTGAGGAGTCAGAAATCACAGGAAGAAATGGCTGATAAGAACAGCACTGTGTAAGAAAACACTTAGGTCTGACCCCAGCCATCTGGCAGATAATGTATAAAACCTGTCAAAATATGTTCTAATCATTTTCTTGGCTATTTGGCAAATTATTTTCCCTCACTCATGTCAGAAATTCCCAAGAGTACTTCATTGAATGCCTTGTTTAATGTCAGCAACCCTCTATGACCTAATGTTGGTCAGTTGAAAGTGATATCAATGGAAGGAGAGATTGGAGAACCTGGAAATCAGGAATCTTGACGCTTTGATTTGACCACTGTTTGATTAGTTACAAAATGTGTTTTTGTCTCTTGATCTCCAGCTTATGTAGCAACACATTAAACCATCTCCTTTAGTTTCATGGTCAGAGTTAACCTCTGTACTTTTGTTTGGTAGGGGGACTGCTGTAATAGGGACAATAATGTGGGCTAGATGACATTAATTGACTATTTACATGAAAAAGAAATCCCACTAGCTGCTTAATTGTAGCTATAAAGTCACATGCTGTAGTCATTTTAGGCTTTGTTCTTATTTAAGAGTAGCTAAGTTTAGCTGGGGGAGGCAAAACAGAAAACGGAGCCCTAAACAACATTTCCTCAAGACCCTTAATTCCTTGCTCAGGCCCTACTAAAGATTACTAGCCTATGTAGTCAGATTCAGTCAGTCCACCTTCACCTCACCTCCTGGTCCATAACAGGTGCTAGGTATAAGCCCAACTCCTCAAAAGTGATGACAAAACATTTATATCTGACCCCCAGCCATCACACGGATAACGCAAGAGACCTGTCAAAATATGTTCTGATCATTTTCTCTCAGTCATGTCAGAACTGTCCAAAATGAATCATCATGAATCATCAGCACCGTGATAAGAAAACACTTATCACTTATAATGTATGACACCTGACAAAGTATGTTCTAATCATTTTCTTGGCTATTTGGCAAATTATTTTCCCTAACTCATGTCAGAAATTCCCAAGAGGACTTCATTAAATGCCTTGTTTAATGTAAGCAACCCTCTGTAACCTAATGGTGGTCAGTTGAATGTGATATCAACCAAAGGAAAGATTGGAGAACCTGGAAACCAAGAATCTTGACGCTTTGATTTGACCACTGTTTGATTAGTTACAAATCTAGGTACACATTGGACCATCTCCTTCCTTTTTTAAACTGCTTCAGTTTCATGGCTAGAGTTAGTTTACTTTTGTTTGGTAGGGGGACTTCTGTAATAGGGAATATAAAGTGGGCATGATTACATCATTTGACTATTTATGTGAAAAAAATCCCACTAGCTGCTTAATTGTAGCTATAAAGTCACACGCTGTAGTCATTTTAGGCTTTGTTCTTATTTAAGTCTAAGTTTAGCTGGGGAGGAAGGGCAAAACGGAAAAGGGAACCCTTAGCAACATTCCTTCAAGACCCTTAATTCCTTGCTCAGCCCCTGCTAAAGGTTACTAGCCTATGTAGTGAGATTCAGTCAGTCCACCTCCACCTGCCGTTTAATCCCAACTCAAAATCTGACGCCCAAGGTATCTCCAATGCGTCATATGTGGACGCCTAAGCTGGTTTGACAGCACGTGCCAAGTGTCTATCTATTTTGCAACTTACTGTCAAGACTTAAGGTGCAGCATTTGAGAAATCCACTGTACCATCATGACTAATTTGGGATCTAAACGTGACACAACAGTCAGATTTAGGAGCAATAGCAACAAACACACAAGTTCCAAACACCAGCCAACACTCACCTTCTTCTGTACTCGTCCCTCTCCCGTTTGACTTTGGCCAGCACGTTATACAAAGCCCTCAACTCTGGGGTGATGGTATCAATCTGGACCCCAACTCCGTCCGGGTGCGTCCACGTCACCCCGGGCCCGTGCAGGGTCTCTAGGCGCTCCCCTTGCCTCCGGACGCTGGTGAAACTCCAGATGGTGCCCGGCAGTCTGGACTCGGGACCGTCCGTCTGCACCGCAACTTCTCGGGTGAAAAAGTGGCGTTGTTGCTGTTTCTGCAGAGCTTTCTGCAACTGGTTCTCCAACAGTTTATTTCTCCTCTCCAGTTCGTGGACTTTGGCGAGGAAGCAGCGGAAGCGCAGGTTGAGGGTCTTCAGCACATGGATGTTGGAACCCAGGTCATTTCGCAGGGCGCTGGTAACCGCACCCGACCCGGTGGGGACGCCGCAAATCGACCCGGGCGGAGTGTCGGAGAAAAACATGGAGCTCATGATACCAAACAAACAAGTTGACCAACTGGGACTCTTTCTGGTTTAGAAGCGAGAACAAAAACTCTTGGTCCTATCTCTGCATATTCCTCTTCAATCCCACTCCCACAGGACGAGTTTCCCCCTTACAATGCAGATGCTGAGAGTGGGTGAAACTGGCTAACCATCACTGTCCCTGCTGGATGCTTTACCCGAGATGCTGACATGGACCCCTTCTTGCAAAAAAATCCCCCCCAAAAAGTCCTTAAAGAGGCACGGAGGGTATTATCTTGAGGTTTGACGCAGACCGCAATAAGCAGCAGCAGCAGCAGTCACCCTTCCTCCCGTGATCCTCATGTCTGTGTTGTTGCCTCTGCTTTGTCAGGAGCTGCTGATGCTGTGCGGGTTCATATAAACCAGAGAAGACGGTCCACCTTCTTTCTTTGTCATTCCCACCCCGTTAGTTTTCCTCTATCCGGTCTCCTCCATGTGGTGCGGAGGGCTGGCAGGATGCAGGAGGACCGCAGAGCCCGGCCTCTCCGTGGTGGTGGTGTGCGCGGATCATGTTGCAAAGTGCTAAACTCGGCACTATCGCCTACATCAGCCCCTCCCACGTCCCTCCCCTTTCCCTTTCACACTGACAGCGACGGCACGGATAACATCATGGCTAAATGGATAAACAGAAACGTAATTAGTAGGATAAAGAGTAAAAAACAATGGAGTTGCATTTAGTTCTATTCAAAAGACAATTCTGAGAAATAATAAGAGGGTGTAGATTGAAGTGAACAAAATCACGAGAGACTTACATCATGACAACCTTAGTATTTTTAAGTTTTCTAATTTAGTGTATGACTGAAAGCTCCTAAATTTAGGCTATATTAATGTAGGCTATATGCAGTCTGTGAGCTGCTCTTTTTACCAACTAATCCACATTGACTTGTGACTTAAAATCATGTTAATGTCAGCACTGTATTCAATCAATCAATCAAACTTTATTTTTGAAGCACTTTTCATACACATAATGTAGCACAAAGGGCTGTCCACTCAAGCAGGATATTAAAAACAATGAAATAAAATAAATACAAATACCAAACCCCACCCACCCTACCAATCTCCATTCAACACATACAGCACTCACACACACACAGATGCATACGCAAAAGACCAGGTGAGGACTCTTCAACTTGCCACAGATGAAATTAGGAAACACAGGATGTAGGACTAAACTGATAAAACCATAATAAAATATAATAGAGGTGATAAAGCATTTAATCAATCAATCAAAGTTTATTTATATAGGACTGTTCATACAAATGAAAGTGCAGCTCAAAGTGCTTTACATCAGGACAAGAAAAACAAGTTATTAAGAAAGACTAAAACAGACAATAAAATATAAACTTGGATCTATTAATAAAATAAGGTAAAAAGTGATACTAAAAAAATATATATAATGGTAAGTAAAATAAGAAGCTTTACATAAAAGCCAGGCTAAATAGATGAGTTTTTAGGTTACATTTAAAGATTTCTACATTTGCAGCTTGTCTCAGACCCTCTTAATGTTACGACTATGTTTACACAACCTACATGCCAGATTAATAAGCATCTCTACTTCATCCACAACTTGATTTTTAAAAGCAAAATTGAAAATTCTGTTATAATTCTATTATATTATAATCCCCAAACATAAGTTATTTTCAAGTTTTTAAAAATCAGCTGTTTCTCTAGAAGCTTCATTGCACTGCTGAGTGAGTCCTGATGTAACTATTGCAATCTCTTACAAAGTTGAGGGTGATGCCCCCATGTAAGCTCCCCCCAGGACAAGAATCCCCTGACTTTAAAGCCAGAGTTTTTTTACATGTATAAAGGTGAATACATGATATTTTTATAAAGTAATTTAAACGCCATTGGAAAATCAAAGGGGATTTACAGACACGTGAAACGCACGTTGTGTGTGTCAGTGATGCAAAGCTCACGCTTCTATCATGCTGTCGCTTTGGTTAAGAGGCCCCCTGGTGGCCACGTGAGACGCTGTCATAAAACTCATAACCAACCTGTACAATAAATTTGACTGCTCTGCTTAACCACATTTTTGTTTAAATAAGGTAAGTGATTAACATTGATAAAAAGTTTTAATCGTGGGAATAATGGAGACAGGGGTAAGTTGAGCCAAAGGGTTAGTTGAGCCACCCACTGTTGCTTGGAAATGGGAAAACAAATTGATCATGTGACCAAATATTTAGGAGATGGGCATCAATTCATGGAGTCTGTAAAGGTTAGAAGCACGTGGGTGAAGGGGTGAGACATTTATTAAAAAAAAAAACATTTTTCACTCTTGAAAGTGAATTTAGTCTGTCATAAGTTTTCTTAGAATTGTGTTCAAACCAAAAAAGATCATTTTAAATTTGTTTTATACATCAATTGTGGTATCTATGAGCTACAACATGAGGATACGGCTCAACTTACTCCACTTCTATGGTCAACTTACCCCATACACGGGGTAAGTTGACCATAGGAGACCACTTTTTATCAGCATGTTATATGATCAAGACAGTTATGTTGTTCATACTGTTCATATTTTTAAAAGTGAACTCAAGACCTACCTTTTTAGTCTGGCTTTTAGTTAAATTTTGTTTTAATCTTTTAATCTGCATTATGTGACTTTACCCTATTTCAGTTGTAGAGTAACAATTTTGTGTTTTAGTGAAAGTTTGATTGATTGATTGATGTTTACATTCATTCTGTTGGTTTACAGGAATGCACAACACCTTGAAATATATGCAGATACACAAGTTAGAGACAAAACTATGATTGCCTTGATGTAGTGATCCGAAATATGAAAAATGGCTCATCTTACCCCAGTCTCCCCTACTGGTTTCTCATTGTCAGCCAAAACAATGTCAAGTCTTGTCATTGTATTTGCTTAAAAACGCAGCCAAAGATAACGTGACAGGTGAGACCTTTACTTGAGTGTAAACTTACTTTTACAGGAGGAGTACCTTTCTATCTCACTGATGTCCATCCACAGATAATGAATAACACCGATAAATAATTACTACGTAGGCTACTGTCTTTTTAACCTCTTCTTTATTTTTTGTGGTCAGGCACCGCACGGCCACCCTCAGCCAACAGAAACATTTGGGGTCCTTCTACTTCACGTGTGCGCCCTGCTGCTCTGCCATCGTGAGAGGAAACCATGCCGAAGTCAAAGAGAGACAAGAAAAGTGAGTAAATAAGTGTTAAAAATGCATGTTTACGAATATATCGGGAGAGTAAATGTATTATGTGGTCACTTGTTTGATAGTTGAAGAAAGTAGGTAACGTAAGTAACGTAAACTCGATAGGAAACAAGCTAACGTTAGCTTTACTCTCTGGGAGAAACAGTGAATCTACATCAGTGTAAGAGAGATCAGTGTAAACTTCTGACTAACTTATTGGACTTGTCATGTATTCTTTCCTTAGTTTCTTTAACGAAAACCGCCAAGAAAGGTTTGGAGTTGAAACAGAAATTGATCGAGGAGGTGAGTATCGTCTGCTCGTCTGTCAGTCAAAGTCTCACACTGACAAGGATTCACTTTCTAATGAATCTGTGTTTGTCTGTTTCAGTTACGGAAATGTGTGGACACATACAGACACTTGTTCATATTCTCAGTGGAAAATATGAGGAATAACAAACTGAAAGACATCAGGACAGCCTGGAAACACAGCAGGTAATGTCATCAGCCAGGAAACGTCTGAATGGATATAAAGGGACATTTCAGAGTTTTTACTGTTTAGCTCTAGAAGACAGGTTACTGTCAGCAAGACATCTGTACCTCTGATAATGCCACCAGTGTGATCTTAGTGACTACAAATGTATGTAAGACATCTTAGCATAGTCAGTTTGCAAGAGAGTTTTAGAGACTCAAGAATTAAATCTGCCACGAATGAGAACTTAGGAAACTACAGGATTTAGTGTTTTGAAGGCTGGTCCATAGTTGGGACACAAAGAAGCAGAACATCTGCCTCAAGTAGGGCTGGAAGTAATTACATTTTCCCCCATCAACATATTCACTTTCATTCAAATTTAGTCCCTGACGTTTTGTGAATATGGCCTATCATGATTTCTTGTAGTTTGAGATGAGATTTTAAGGACTGCTTTTGCTTAAGGGATATTCTGGCATAAAATTAGGTTAGGGTCAAACACACTGTAACACCGAGTTAGACACCCCGCAGAGAGATGAATGTTGATGACCGCTTGCTTCTTTAGTTATACCAACTTGAGTAACGCCCGTAGTAACAGCAGTAGCAATACAGAGAGCCACGCGTTCAACCAAAAAGCCACCCCATCCATCCACCAATTTTCTACCACTTATTCCCGTTAGAGGTCATGGGGGCGCTGGAGCCTGTCCCAGCATCTTCAGTGAAGGCAGGAGACACCCTGGACAAGTTGCCAGTTCATCGCAGGGCTGACATATAGAGACAAACAACCATCCACGCTCACGTTCACACCTATGGGCAATTTGAAAGTGGCCACTTAGGCATGTTTTTAGGATGTGGGAGGAAACCGGAGTAAACCAGCGCAGACACAGGGAGAACATGCAAACTCCACACAGAAACGCCCTGAGCCAGATTCAAACCCAGGACCTTCTTTCTGTGAGGCGACAGTGCTAACCACTACACCACTGTGCCGCTCCAAAACGCCACTCTTTAGCCACAAATAATGCTCAGAACAGCACCTAACTTCATCAACAGTACACATAGGGTCCCAGCCATAGTACTAGCCACCAAACATCTTTTTAGCTTTGCCTAATTTCTTTAGCAAAGAGACTAAACACAACTCACCTACTCTCTTAGGTGAGCGTTTTGGTTGAGCGCATGGCTCTCTGTATTGCTAAAGCGTGGTCGTTACTAAAGTTGGTATAACTAGAGAAGCAAGCGGTCAGCAACATTCATCTCTCGAGGGGGTGTCTAACTCTGTGTTACGGTGTGTTTGACCCTAACTTATTTTAAGCCGGAATATCCTTTTAAAAGTTCATAGCCCAAGCATCGTTTTGGTGAATGAGGATCAAAGGTTATGTCCTTTACATACAAGAAGCAAGAATCAGGAGATGTTTGATGTTTTTGCCTCAAAATCGCTGCAAGAATTATTTGGTGAAGTCAGCAGTATCTTTTAGTTGAAGTTTTAATTGCACTAACAACTGTACTTCTCCTTTCTGTGCAGGTTCTTCTTTGGCAAAAATAAGGTCATGATGGTTGCCTTGGGTAAAGGGGAAACAGACGAGTACAAAGATAACTTGCACAAGGTAGTTGAGACCTTACATTTGGTGCTAGAAAATAAATGATAAATGTTGATCTTTTACAGAGTTTTGACATGCTTTTAATGTTCAATAGGTTTGCAAGTATCTAAGAGGAGAGGTAGGAGTGCTATTCACAAACAAAACAAAGGATGAGGTACAAGAGTAAGTAAGGTCTCCTTTTAATTAATCATTTTAGCAGTGATTCATCCAGTTGTTTTGAATATCGCTTGATTGGTGGTTTTGTTTACAGATATTTCAGCCATTTCAAAGAGATGGATTATGCAAGGTCGGGAAACCAGGCACATATGGACATTACTCTGGATGAGGGACCCCTGGATCAGTTCACTCACTCAATGGAGCCACAGTTGAGGCAGTTAGGGCTTCCTACTGCACTCAAAAAAGGTGTGATCATATTTTTAATTTGCCAATACTCTAATTCACAGAGGAAACAAACAATGCAATGTTAAGTTACTCCCTATCTCCCTGCTGCTTTTAGAAACTTCTTATTGTCAGATCACAAATATATAACAGTGTTCAAGCCACATGTCATCTTGGGCGTTTAAAGTTACATTTCAGATCATCTGTTTTTAAAGGTGTGGTGACACTGCTGAAGGATTATGAAGTCTGTAAGGAGGGAGACGTACTAACTCCTGAGCAGGCTCGTATTCTGGTGAGTCCTTAATGCCCACAGGAATTATGAACTAAGTTGTGTGGTGTTAAAACTGACTGTTAAAGTGGCTCTTCCTCATTTTACCCACAGAAACTCTTCAGCATTGAGATGGCAGAATTCAAGGTGCAGATCAAATGTATGTGGAACTCAGAGACGGGCGAGTTTGAGAACTTTGGAGAGGAGGGGTCTACAGAGGCTATTGAGGAAGCAGACGACGATGCTGATGATGATGATGTGGAGTGAAATGTCTCTGAAGCCAGAAGCCTGTGGACATGTTTTAGTGTTTCATTTTGCCAACATTCAACAGCAGATGGACATTAAGTCAGGTACCATTCATCCTGGCTGCTACTGAAACCTTTATTCTCCTGTCTTAGCCCATTTTTCATCCAAAAACATGAACTTCTGTCCTTTATGTTGAATTTTATTTCTGGATTGAGTATTTGTTGAGTTAAAATTGATGACAGGAGTCAAAAGGTTTTATATCATTTGTGTAATGATGCAAAGACCAGCATGTAACGTTAAAGTACAGCATGAAAGTATCTTGTCCTTATGACCCACACCCCTACCTCCCCATAAAAAAACAAATATTTTAAACTACCCCATGTGACGCATATATTTGTAAGAAAACAACCACGAAAAGGATCTCAGACTCAAGAAAAAGAAATTTCTTGGAAAAACTTTATTTTTTACACCTGTACATTAACGCTGAAGTGCTTTTTTGCATTATAATTCAATTATCTCCGATTGGTCTCTTGATTTAGAAAAAGAATTACAAAGTTTTGTAGTATGATCTCCTGAGTAAATTGGTATAAGATGGACATATACGAGAGATCTCAGCGGAAGTAATTTGGGCACTCGTGGGCAACGAGATTCCAGGCTTCATCGAAGGCGGCCACCACCCTCTCATCCAGAGGACCCTCCTCTGCAGCAGCCAAGTTTTGCTGAAGTTGCTCCATACTTGACATACCAATAATGACTCCATCCCCAAGATCCCCCTGGAACACAAATTAGAGTTCAAAATCACAAATAAAACTTGCATCTTTATTTGTAATGGTTTAAAGTGAAAGATCTATTATAAACCTTCTAACCTGCCAACATCACAGTGTTGTAGTGCTGCGGTTACATACATATATAACCATGCTAAAAGCCAATACCTTTATAGATTGTAATGTGATATTTGTTTCTCAGTATAATGTGTAAATGAATGAATCGATGCTTGAGTGCTAGCAAATATGTTTAAAGGTGTTCAGAAAAGTTCAACGTCATTCTCAGTTAATGCCTCAAGTTCAGGATCACTACAGCTTTTGCAGATATTTCATAGAATAGTATAACACTAGCCCAAACTAATTTCATCCATTCCTTATGTATACACAAAATATATTATTTGGTAACATTTTACTCAAATCTTTGATGATTTTACAACATTATGTAATATCACCGCAGCCCTCCATGCACAGTCAGTCGTACCTTAAGTTTAGAGTGGTGGTACATCCATCGCATTGCGGCAGATGTCATAGTGGGTTTCTCTGATCCGTAGGCTGTCTCCAAGGCTTTAATAACCAAATTTATCGCCTGGAAATGACTCATCTTCCAGTACCTGGTTGTGAAAGACAGACATGTTTTTTAATCAGTGTTGACAGATGCATACACAGATTCTTATGCATATATTTTCACATTACATGAGGTATTTAGAACAACAAATGCCCCGTTTCTAACCTGTCCTGGTAAGCTTTTGCCCAGCTGTTACCGAAGAATCGCCCTGCAGGCTGGGAACCATCTTTGTCTTCATAATGATACTTTCCAGTCAGAAGGCCACCTGTAGAGGAGCAATTTTGGACATAATTAAGTTGAAACTACCCAGTGAAATACTATTTCTGTCCTTATTACTGTTGTTGTCTCAACTTTAAGTATATAATTGAAAAAATAACCTGACAAAACCAATAAGTTAAATAAAAAAAGAAAATACACTGTATAATGGTATATGTAAACCATTTTATGGGAATATGTTAAACTATTATTGTGACACAGAGCTTAAAATCTCAGGCTTAGAAGTGGTGTATTTCCTATCTTTTAAAAGGGAACAATTCAAACAGTGCACCAAAAAAGGAAACTAAACAATACCTGCCAGGGGATTGTATGCATAGAACTTCATTCCATAGTATCTTAGACATGGCAGCAGCTCTGTCTCTACCTGTCTTGTAGTGGCATTGTACATGCCCTGTGAAAAGTTTTAGAAAGTTACAGATTACTGAAATGACAAAACAGCTCACAGATTGGTCAATGTTTAACAAGCAAAGAAAATAATCCAAAAAGGTGTAAACAGAGAAAACGTAAGTGTTCCTGCACAAAAGCTAACTCACCACGGCCCATCAAAAAAGCTACTGTGAGCTATTATGAGCTCACTCATAACACAAGCTTAACAGGCAAGCTATGAAAATAAAACAAAAATTTGAACTTATTGGTAAAAATACCTGATATACAGAGGGAGCAATCCAGTTGTTGTGTCTACAGATGCACGCGATTTCAGCCACTTCCCATGATGCATAGTTTGAGAGACCAAACTCCTTGAATTTTCCCTGTGGGTGATAATTTTAACATTAAACCACACTTCTTTGAACATGTATCTCAACATTACAGATCTGATGGGTTTCTGTTCCCTTCACCTCTTTGTGGAGTTCATTACAGGCCCTAAGAGTGTCTTCAATAGGGTTTTGGTGATCCGGAGCATGGAGGTAGAAGAGGTCCACAGAGTCAGTCTTCAGCCTCTGAAGGGACGTTTCCAGCTGAGAGCGCACACTTTCTGGCTTCAGCGTCTTCCCATCCCAGGGGTTAGCCTTGGTAGCCAGACTTACTTTCAAACAGAAAAACAGTTCAACACAGTTATTTTTTAAATTTCTAAATGGGTGCATTTTGTTACTCATGGCCTTAATATTATCTGTATTTTCAAACAAGAAAAACTTCATTTACAAACAAGTGTACAGAGAGAGGAAACTATAATGTGAAGCTGTAAGGTAATATGTTAAAATCATACAACTTGAGAAGAAAGCGTAGCACCTTTGAGGGGTTAGACACCATGTTGAGAGATGAATGTTGCAAACCGCTTGCTTCTCTAGTTATACCAACTTTAGTAACGACAGCAGGATAGCGATACAGAAATTAATATAATGAATATTACTTCAAGGAAATGATAAAGTAACGATAAATGATAAAGTATATCATTACTTTATCATTTCCTTGAAGTAATAATCATATTAATCATTTTGCATTGCAGACACGGTAGTTCTTCTGCCTTAGCGTCTCAGTTTGATTGCATTTCCATGAAGAAATGATCATAAATGTTCTTCCTTGAGCTGCGTCACCCCGAAGCAGTTGATGGATTCGCCTTGAGGTCTCCGTACAAACAAGCGGCTGCTGGAAGAGAGTGGGTGAGTAGTGTTTTATCTCTCAGCTAAAGAAATTAGGCAAAGTTAAAAAGATGTTTGGTGGCTAGTACTATGGCTGGGACCCTATATGTACTGTTGATGAAATTAGGTGCTGTTCTGAACATTATATGTGGCTATAGAGTGGCGTTTTGGTTGAACGCGTGGCTCTCTGTATTGCTATCGTGCAGGTTTTATTCAAGTTGGTATAACTAGAGAAGCAAGCAGTCGGCAACATTCATCTCTTGAGGGGGTGTCTAACTCGGTGTTACGGTGTGTTTGACCATAACTTAATTTTGCGCCAGAATATCCCTTTAAGTCAATGTTGGCTTGCAGTTTAATTAAGACTGTGAAACTCCAATCTGTATCTGTTAAGAGTTTACTTTGTAACAAAACTATACTTACACTGTTGTGTTAATTTAGGTAATATAACATTCTTGATTGGGACCATTTAAAAACTTACTTAAGTTCCCAAACAAGGAGCTTTATCCATTACAAAAGTCCCTAACATGAACCCGTTAGGTAACGTTACAGTGGCAGTGGGCTGTTCACGTTACCCATAATTCCAAGCCTCTGCAAGTTGCAGCTTCTTCCACCTTGTCACGAGTAACAGCTGAGTTCACTTTAGAAACTTTGTTAGCTTTAGCTCACGAAATAGTACAATATTTGTCGTCTCAGAGAAAGCGTGTCCTTCTCAAATACCTGTTTTGGGAAGATTCATGCCCCCAATGACTGTCTCTGACTTCCCATCCGCGTACATGAAGGCTGTGTCCACTTTGTCGTGCCCCTTCCCCAGGAAAGCCTTCACCATCTCCAGACTCTGCTCGGCGTCTGCTCGCCCACCGAACGCCATGGTTCCCAGTAAGGAAACCGGCCTCTTAGCTGGAGACGACGACATGTTTCGACGGAGCGCAAACCTCGGCAAATGTACGAGCACGTCTTTAATAGTGTGTGTGCACAGCTTTCCTCTTATTACCCACTGCATGCTAAAGTACAGCAGCGAGCATGCGAAGGGCAAAGGTCGTGTTGTAAGTGGTAGTTAGGGAGCGTCGTAAAGTTACTTAACCTATTCAAAACGAAGCATGTGTCATATTATTATAATAGAGCAGCTGCGTGGTCTCTAAGTTAGACTTCAGCTGAGGTGGTGCAAAGGTCGTACTCTGTGACCACTTCCGGTTGTTTTTGGGATAATATGTTAATAATTGTTGAAGTTTTTCGTTGTACCTTCTGTAGTGCATTTGTCATTATGAGTATAGTGAGTAGTTCAGGCTTTTAACCACAGGGTGTCAGCAAATAACCATTCATGGTACAAAAGATGTTTCTTCATGAAGTAGCAATACTCAGTCCAGATGGAGTTGAGTTTTAGTCTGTGATAATTGATTGATCAAATGATGACCATGGTTTAGGGAACAGTTGACCAACTATAGGGCATGGGGCTCTAGGACCATTATGATATAGAAATACAAGATATAATATTGATTAAAAGGATATTCTTGTGTAAAATTGACACCTTGCAGAGAGATGAATGTTGCCGATCGCTTGCTTCTCTAGTTATACCAACTTTAGTAACGATAGCGATACAGAGAGCCACGTGCTCAACCAAAAAGCCACTCTATAGCCACAAATAATGCTCAGAACAGCACCTAACTTCATCAACAGTACATATAGGGTCCTAGCCATAGTACTAGCCACTAGACATCTTTTTAGCTTCGCCTGGTTTCTTTAGCAAAGAGACCAAACACAACTCACCCACTCTCTTCCAGCAGCCGCTTAATTTTACGCTGTAATATCCCTTTAATAGTCAAAGCCTTGTGACTCAGGGCCCCTGTTTGAGACAGAGTCCAAATCTTACATGGGCTTACAATGAAGGAGTAATTTATTGATAGAAACATCTCGAATTTATGTCAACTTTAACATTGCCGACCACCAAAGAGCAGATCATGTGTTTTGGTTTTGTGACTGGAAGCCTGTTTTGCTGCAGCTAGTTATGTCTAACACTTTTGCAAACATTTACACTAGTATGTTCAGCAGCTCTCCCTAGTTGTGGTGAATCACAGTCTTTTAAAAATATGTATTCAGCAACCTTTTTATCATTTCAATGTTGTGGTTGAGTGAGCCACCTCTCTCCTTAACATGCCACTTGGAGATGTAATGAAAAAACACCTACTTAAGTTTTTGATATCTTCTTGCTACTCAGAAAATATCAACTCTAGGAATTATGTATTTTGTAATCACCTCATTATAAGTGTTATCTGACTTTAACCCCAACCACAGAGTATCACAACATCATCTGACAAGGCAACATATTTAGGTTAAACACAAATCTCTTTGTAAAGATTTCAGCAGTTTACAGTAAACACAAGGTTGGCTTACCTGTGCTCTAATGAAAATGATAAGCTCTTAGTGAAGAAACTCATCCCCATTATACTCTCATCCCAATGTGTAAACTCTACTTGTGAATTACGTAATCCACCACGTAACACCTAAAAGCGCTAACAACCTAAAAACAAAGATAACTGGACATAAATGGACATAGACAGCCAGGGATACCAACTGGTTGGTAATCATGAGACTCTGTTACTCCGATCAGTTTGAAGACCTGGTATTATTCTGAAATTTGACTTAATATTTGTTTATAAGACTGTATAAGATTTGCATAATATGTAACTTGAAGTTTCCATATTGGCCTTCTGTGGTAAGTTGCTAATACACAACGAATGGGGGACTCAGAAATACGCCCATGGGCTTCCACAGGGGTTATTTGGTCATGGTTTTACGGGGGCAACAAGCAGCATCAACAAATTACTACGGCTAGACTACAGTGAGACTATTTTGTTACAACTGTTGAGGTCCTTTTCTCTTGTGTCCACACTTTGGTGACTTCCACCTTCAATGAATTCCTGCCATGTCCCACAGCTCCTGATCTAATGAGAACAGCATGCCGTATGGCAGGACTCTCGGAGGCTGCTCGGACAGCAGTGACCCGGGTCTATCTGGGGTCATGAACACACATGCGGGCAATGAAAGCTTTGTTTAGAGAGCAGCAGTAGTCAGTGCTGGCGGCTGACCTTATGACCGCATCATCAGCTGTTTGCCCTGCAGAGTGACCACTGGCTGCTTTAGACCCCAAATTTAACCCCGAACTTCCTCTGTTGCTCCAGGAATTGTAGCATAAGTTTCCCATATGAGTGGTTTGAGTTCCCTGGTGCAGCTGCACGTCAGGTTTACCTTTAACATACCTGCATGTGCACTCCTTTCCCTGTCTGGCTGGCTTTATTTTCATCCATATGCGTTTCGGGAACAAAAAAGTTGCCATGTTGGTGGAGGAATTTTGCTTATTAACAAGCTTGTTACTACAGTGGCCAAGAGCCGCCACTGCTGCAAATAGAAAAAGAAACGTTTCATATTAAAAAAAAGAGCCACAATGGAAGTCAATGTGGCGATGCAAAAAAAAAACCAAAAAAACGAGTTCGGTAGCTTTAAGGTTAGGTTGCTTTACTCATAAAAAAGTATGCAGACCCCTCGCTTTTTTTTAGTTATTATTAGTCCCTGGCAGCTCACTTCTGTTGTGTTTTTTTTTTTTGTGCATCCTATTTTTTTCACAGTAACTTTTTTTTCCCCCGTGTTTTTTAATTTTTTTTTCAAATCTGCACCGTTTCTTTTTTTAATCGGAGCAGGCTTTGGTTTCTTTCTTCTTTTTTTTTTTCATCAGTAACTTCCATTGTGGCTTTTTTTTTTCCTTTTGCATTCTTTTTTATTTGCAGCAGTGGCGGTTCTCGGCCACCGTACATTACAACTCTGCATAGTTAAAACCAAGTCGTTTATTATCAAATTACCATCATCTCTGTGCCTAGTTTGTAAAACACCGGTGAACCATCATTATTCGTTCCCGGCAGCTCACCTCTGTTGTGACTTTTTTTCTTTTTTTCTCTTTTGCAACGCTACTTTTTTTTGCGTTGTTAACTTTCTTTGTGGCTTTTTTTTTTTTTTCTTTTTTTTTATCTGCACCGTCTCTTTTTTGTTATTTGCAGCGGGCCTTGGTTTCTCCTTTTTCCATTGTGGCTTCTTCTCCTTTTTTTTTTTTTGTGCATTCTTTTTTTTTTTTTTATTTGCAGCAGTGTCAGTTCTCGGCCACCGTACATTACAACTCCGCATAGTTGAAAACAAGTTGTTTATCATCACATTACCGTGCCACTAAACTAGATGTTATGAAGTCTGAGGAAACCTGCCTGTTACAAATGTCACTGTAAGTGCACTTTGCAGACAGCAGGGTGTCTTACATGTTTATTTGAGGAGCTCTTGAGACTCTGAATAGCAAAGGCATCCTCTCCATCCTCCCCTCCCCGTCTCTGCTTCTCTCCACCATCATTACCAAATGAATGGAAGGAGTTCAGAAAGGCGCTCAGCCTCCTCCACGAGTCTTTACCCGTCAGTCCAACATCTGCAGTGACGAGGAGGAAGCGGAGGTGAGCTGCAGTTTACAGACGGAGTCACACACCGGCTGTGAGAGAGAGAGAGAGAGCGAGAGGAAAACACGCCACATGTGATGGCTGGGACCTTTCTGGAAAGCGCTGACCATATCCACGCGGAAGATCCTTTGCGCGCTTTTTGAGTTTTTCCCCTGTTGACCGCGAGGATTTCTTAGATTAGATTGTTAAATGCGCCTTATTTGTCAAATGAATGAGTCTGTGGGTGAATCGTGATTTTTGAAACACTTATTCAAGAAGAAGAAGAAACATGGACTTTGTTATTTTTTCTTTTCTCTTAATATTTATTAAAGAGACGTTTGGAGTGCGTTATGGCACCCCCAACAACCTCCAACCTTATATGTGAGTAACCTTCTCTTGTGGACTCTGTTAACTTATTTCTCCCTTTTACTCTTCATCTTCCCCTAGAAGTTTTGTGCATGTGTGAAAGTTGAGTATAACTTTGTTGGGAATACTCAAACAGTGGCAGAAACCTGAGGCTTGAACAGTTTTTTTATGTAAAGAGACATCACACATCAGATGGTTGACAGATCTTTTTTCTTTTGACTCTTGAGGGTTCATTTTTCTGTTTTTCTCCCTGCAAGGTATCACTGTAATGCAGGTAATTATGTGGATTGTCTGCACTGCATACCGAAGTCTGTCAGACACTATTTTGTTTTAAGCCCCTAAAAGTGAAAAGCCAGACAATTCCAACAGCTATTTTAAACCCTGAAATAATAAATGAAGTGAGAGAAGATTCTCTGCTGTTACCTGCCGCTGACAATACGCTCATTCATAGGGATAATGTGTACAGCTGGAGGTGATGGTGATTACTATTGTTTATGAGATGAGCAGCTGGAGGTTGTCTTTAAGATTCCTGCTGATCTCCACATGCCGAGCCTCCTGGTGTCTCTGCCTGTCTGACAGTCCTTGGAGAGTTACCAAAGTGAGTAAATGTCTTGTAGATCAGCAGCACATGGTGTGAAGACATCAGAGGCAGGTCTGCCTGTGAACCCAGACAGACTTTGTGTAAGAGGGACAGAACATCACAGCTGAAGGCTTAACTCATTTTACCTGAGGGAGAGGGAGCAGGGAGGTGAACTGTCTTCTGTCTCTGCTGACAATCAGTCTTCTTGTACGTACAAGTTTAAGCGTGTATCTGCCACTGTATGTCCAGCTTTGAGGCATAAACAGTTTTGGGGGAATTGTTTGGAAAATTTTGGCGTGTTTTTGCTCTTTTCGTTTATTTCGAAAATGTCGCAATAGGAAGTGGCAACCCACCATCATGTGCTTTTGTTTCCCAGAAAACGTGGCCCACATCTAAAGCATTTTCATCTTGTCTGGTTGTGATTGTTTTTGTTCGCTTTGCTTTTTTACTTTGGCAGTGGGAGATAAAAATAGAATTTGAAAAATCCATGCCACGTTTTTGTCCATTCCACTTTCCAAAAGGAGGGATTTCACATGTATTCTGAGTCTAAACTGACCTTCAGGTATCATCAGAGAGGTGATATTTAAGGAATTCCCCTTGAGTCCTTAAAAAATCCCAACACAGGTGATGCCCTCAGAAATATGACGTCATAAAACACATACAAGGAAGCTCCATGCAGGCTTTGCCCATCTATCTTTGCAGGAACATCACTAAAACAACTCGTAAATTCCCTCCGTGCCATCTGTACATCTGTAAAAATAGCAGATCATTTTGACACCCTAAGTATTTTCTGCCGCTGGTTTTGTTGCAGGCCTAATGTGTGCTTGGAGAGGGAGGTGACGCTGGTAGCCCAGAGGCAGCCGTGTGTGCAGGCCTTCACACGCATGGTAAAAGTGTGGAAGCAGGGCTGCGTGGGACAGTCATGGTGCATGGGATACGAGAGGAGGTGAGTAATGCATCTATCTGTAATCCAAATGTCTGACTCCGTTCTTACACAAACACTCACACGTTCACCTGTAGGGGATGTCGTGCTTCAACCCTTGGCTGGAGCACAGCATTAATTAATGGTTGTGTGTTTACTTTTTTGAGTCATGCAAGTTGAAGAATTCATCCAAGAAGGCACAATCTTTTATTTAAGTCTGCACAGTATCAAACAAAATGAGTTTAACTCCCTGATCTCACCTTCCTTATCTCCAGCGCTTGTTCTGTAATCACAGCTTTGAACCTCTCATAGGCAACCCTTTTAAGTGCAAGGTGTAGCCCCTCTTCTGTTTAACACCCAGGCATCACTGCATTCCTTTGAAGGAGTCCCAGAGATAGCGTTTTTTTTTTAAGCCCTTTTTTCCTCTGTGTTGCTCATGCTAAGTCTTCCTGCGATTTTTTTACCATGTTGCAAAGTCAGGAGCCCGCTTTGAAGGCAGCCAAGGCCGCAATTACTTGCTGTAAACAAAACATGTTACCACAGTGTCTGCGGAGCAATGAGAGGGGTCCCAAAGTACAGGGATAGACGACGCTCTCTGAAGTCTGCGAGTCTGATACTTTAAAACAGCAGCTTTAAAAGTCTGGGAAAATGTTTGCTGAACATTAAAGCGGATGACGGGGAGTCAATGGGTCAGATTACGTGTTTGTTTTCTAAATCCACTGGTAATTAGCCATATTAAAAATCTAAGATTACGTCAAATATCACTGGATTATTTTCTTGAATTTTGCTTTTTTTTTTTCTTTCTTAAACAGTACAGTTGTAAGTTTTTGACAGCGTTATTTATATCTACAGGACGGCTTACTACACAGCGTACAGACAAGTGTACAGACAGGATTATCAGACTGTTTACAAGTGTTGCCGTGGATGGTCTCAACTCAACGGAGAAGCGGGATGTCTTTATCGTAAGTACCCAAATGTTTCTTCTTTCTGTCTTTCATTCTTTCAAAGTTTGACATTACCTTGACTGCGAGGAGGTACGTTTAATTACAGGCAGTATGTCTTTTCATGACTCAGCAGCAGGGGGGAAGTTTGCCTGAAACGTCACCCTGCCCGCCCTCGGTACAAACCTATGATTGAAAGGTTTTCAGTAAGAGTCAAAAAGGGTCAAGAGGGGCTTTGCCCATCCAGACCCATCAGCAGATGTTATCAGTCAGTGCCATGTCCACAGTTGCAAAATCCCACAGGGTTCAAATGAGGCGAGCGGGAAAAGAAATCTCAAGTGTTGACAGAGTTGAAGTGTTGACATTTCCACCAAGGTGAGGCTCGCAAGACTACACTTAAAAAATAAGTACAATTCTGGCTTAGTTTACGACAGAAAGCCCTGACTTGACTTTTTTGTACTTTGAAGTGTAAGTTCAAGCCTTAAACGTTCACATTCCCAGCCACGCTCTGGTCCCATGTCTAAATCTTGGCTCTCATCCACACAGTCATGCCACTCCTCTCTTTCAGAGGTGTGACATGGCAGTGCAGGTCAGGGGATTACATTACGGATATTCAAGTAGACAAGCCGTTTAAGTGTTTACCCCAACCACTCACAGTCAAGGCCCCCAAAACAATACCCATCAGCTCATGTTGGGGGAGACCACCTGCTGGCGCGCACAAAAAGAAGAGTAACAACATATGAAACTGCTCTCTGTGATTCCAGTCCTTGGGTCCATGTATGGACAAGTAGTTCTGTTGGTCACAGTGGGGCTGCCAGCAGCTCATCTCCTTGTGGATAAGCTTAGCTTCACACCGCTGAGACCAAGAAGAGTCCTTTGATGGGATTTTTCCAGCCAGTGATCCAGATCGCATAGCCTGCATACCTTAGAGAGACCCTTGGCAAAGCCTTCCTGTAAACAGTTTGTCCCCTGTCCGGTAGACAGTTCCCACTTCCTTGCTCCCAGACCCAAACTTTGAGCCCAGTACAGGCCCAGTACTCTCTGATGGGGACAGAGTGTGGTAGAAGATCTCCTGGATGTGCCTGTCATCAGTGTCTTATTATGGCATCCCGGCTCCTTTCAAAGAGCCCTTTGTTTCCAGGAAAAGGTTACAGTATTAAATGATACAAGGAAGCATTACACTGTCATTTTTAAAACAAACCAGACTCATTTCAGAGCACTTATAAAGAAATATCTGAGAGAGACATTCCTCAGGGCTGCCCGGTGTCTCCCCTCACTTGGGTTTTGTTTCTCGTTTTCGCGTGACAATGGCTGCTCTCTTCGACGCGAGGCGAGAGCTTTTTATCTCTGTAACCGAAGACGTGGCAGCGCTTTGAGATGGGACAAACTAATCACCCTTTTCTCTGAGCCATTGAACCAGGATAAAAGGAAGCTCACACCACAATCCTCCCTCTCTCACCCCTGCGCACTTTGCTGCGCACTATCTCTACTGTACCTCAGTCAGCACAATGCAATCTGCGGCGCAGTTTTCAACGGCAACTCTGACATCCAAAAGAGAAAATCTGCTTTGCGAAATGTACAGCTTTAGCAAATCTTCTGAAAATCCCCCAAAAGACGGGAAGATTGTGAAGATTGTGGAGATGGGAATGCTTTGTGTGGAGATGGTGATTTAGTGCCTGGCTCATCTGAGGCTTCTTTCTCTCTCTCTCTTTCTCTCTCTCTTGTGTATTGCCCCTCATTCTCTGTGTGTGTTCCCTAATAAAATGTCAGTGTTGGGTAATTAGGCTAATGATTTGTGGTCATTGTGAGCTAGTGAGGCAGAATTGAGGCTCTAATCATGTTGTAGACACGGCAAACAAAGTCGTCAGGAAGAGTCTTGGAGTTTGCCTTTCATTCAGTTCACCTGTGTTTCTCTTTCTCCTCTGTGTTCATCCATTACACAGATGTTGACGTCTTCTCGCAGTCTCGCAGTGAATGACTTTTGTTGTTGTTCTCTCCTGCATTCTTTGCCCTGCATAATGAGTCACACATTTGGTGAAAGTGTATACCACAGCCCAGTAAACATCTGGTTATTTTCACATTTTATTCCACCATTTTGACCACCACCTTTCTGTTTTTCCAAATCTCTCTGTTGAAGGTTTCTATCATGTAATTACTGTAATTATGAGAGTTTATGAGTTTTCCATTTGCACAATGGCATCGGTTTAGACTTCTAGAGCAGTTTGCAAATTTTTCTGATTTTTTTAGTTTTTGCTTCCAAGTTTTGATCATTTCCAGAATTATTGCACAAAAAGTGTCTCGTCTCTTTGGACTGAGGCCTTTGCTGTTTTTTTCATCTTGTTGGTAAGTTTTTTGTCCAGAAATGTAAAATGCAGCTGCAACTTGGAGTGATTTTAATTTAAGTCCCGACAACTTTAGTATGGCTTTAAAAACTGCTCAGTAAAGTCTTAAAGGGGATATTTCAGCATAAAATTAAGTTAGGGTCAAACACACTGTAACACCAAGTTAGACACCCCGTCGAGAGATGAATGTTGCCGACTGCTTGCTACTACAGTTAAACCAACTTTAGTAATGACCGCACGATAGCAATAGACAGCGGTCCACAGTACATAAGGGGTCCCGGCCTTAGAACTAGTAACCTAACATCTTCTTTGCCTGATTTCTTTAGCAAAGAGACTAAACACGATTTACCCACTCTCTTCCAGCAGCTGCTTCTTTGTAATTAGGCTTGGGCAAGTCCAAACTGACTGCAGGGTGTCGCAGCTCAAGGAAGAACATTTATGATCATTACTTCATGGAAATGCAATCAGACCGAGACGCTAAGGCAGAAGAACTACCGCATCTGCAGTGCAAAATGATTAATATGATGATTAATACTTCAAGGAAATGATAAAGTAATGATCATAAATGTTCTTCCTTGAGCTGCGTCACCCCCCTGCAGTCAGCTTGGACTCACCCGAGTTCTATGTATAAACAAGCGGCTGCTGGAAGAGAGTAGGTGAGTTGTGTTTAGCCTCTTTGCTAAAGAAATTCGGCAAAGTTAAAAAGATGTTTGGTGGCTAGTGCTGTGGCTTGGACCCTTTATGTTCTGTTGATGAAGTTAGGTGCTGTTCTGAGCATTATTTGTGGCTATAGAGTGGCGTTTTGGTTGAGCGCATGGCTCTCTGTATTGCTATTGTGCGGCTGTTACTAAAGTTGGTATAACTAGAGAAGCAAGCGGTCGGCAACATTCATCTTTGGATGGGGTGTCTAACTTAATTTTACGCCATAATATCCCTTCAAGTAAGAGCTTGTAATCATCAGTCAAAGAAGTGAGGTTTATGATGGTCTGAAACTCAGAATCACAGCATTCGAGAAATATGGATTAGCAGAAAAGATCCACAGTCTTTTGTCTACAAAAAGTCAACTGGATGACATTTGAAAGCTCAATACACTTTTTCGTAAACCCCTGAATGCATCCAAGTTGACTTCTGTGTGTTTTGTAAAGACTCCTCTTGGCTCCATGACTCGAGCTCTTGTTCTCCCGAAGGTTAAGAGCTCTTGACTTTATGGTGGCGACTTCCTCCACTTAAACGCTTGAAGCACCTCTTAATTGATGAGTCTAACGCTTTTACCGCGGCAACTAGCCACAGGCCTGGTCAGAGGTGGACTGCTGAGGTTAGTTAGGGTGGAAACCAGCAGTTGTGTTGATTGACAGCGACAGTATGCTTTGTGACAAGGGCCGAGGAGCAGGGACAATGGCTCCTCCAGTTTGTCATCTTCGTTAGCTGCTCAATAGAAACTTGGCCCCCTTTTGTGGTGGGAGCAGGAAGGCAGGAGAAGGTAGCTACATTTGGAAAGGGCCCAGAAGCCAGAAAAGAAGAGGAAATGGTCTTTTGTCCAGCCATGGGTGGTCTGTGAGTGTGTATGTGTATTCCTGCCATGGAAAACAGTGTCAGCCATGAATGCGTCATGGGTGAGCGAATGAGTGCAATGTAATAATGCGAGCAATGCAAAATAGTGAGTAGCTGAACACAAATAGACACAGACCGAGGTATGTACATGCAAACAGACTGAAATCATCAGACTAAGACATAACATGGAGCATTACATGCCAAATCAGTGATGTAATTTAGTTTGTTTGGTTCATCAAACGCTGCTTTGAGATCCCGTTTGAGTAAATGAGTAACAGCAGTGAGGTTAGCAGGATAATCAAAACAAAATTAAGCTACCGCATTATTTAATCTCTGTGGGACTCGAGTCAAATATGTGAGTAAAAACCTGTTTACTCAAAGCAACATGAGGACTGTTCGGCTAAATGGAAGAACTTGGAATTGTGGCTGATTGTGAAATTACTCCTAATCTAGTTTAAATACGGTAAATGCGGCTTTCAAAATCCCCAGTTTAGACTTCAAATAGACACAGAACTTAAATATTTACACAGAGCTGCTGTCCAGTTTGAATTGCCGGATTAGCAGAATGTTCCTGCGCGGAGAGTTGTTCATCCAACCCACGTCAGTCAAAGTTTGGAGTTGTGCTTGTTTTTCTTTTTCTCTTTTTTTCTTTTTTTTAAATGAGCCCTCTTAAGTATGACTTACCTACTGATGGGCTGTTAAAAATGTCAGGCTCTTCTAGGGATGGGGGATATGGGCTAAAAAAATGATCACATTCTGGTGATAATGATAAAAGTCCAGATAAAAATATAATAATTCGATTCAATATTTTTGACTCATTTTTTCTTGAGAACACCAGTTGTAGTAGTCAAATAAGATACTTAACCACAAGTTTAAGTGTTTGGTTATGGAGAAAACTAAGAACATCAAAAAAGGCTAAAATGTGAAAACATTTTCAACATTTATTGAAAACTCTTATTACTCTTAGTGAACAGCAGCAGATCCACTGTCCGATGTCAGGCAGACCTGCGCTCATCTAAACCCCAATCTTTAAGGAAATCCCTCATGTGGAGCCTCGTTCAGTAACAAGCTGCTCAGAAACATCTTCTTCATTACCTTCGGCCATGTTTGTTTGTTATTCTACTCTGTGTGGGCTATCGCTGCGTTCCAGTTACCTCGGAAGTCAGAAGTCTGAGCTGGGAATAACGTCACACCTGAGTTACGAGCTTAAGTCGGGAGGAAGCAAAATCGGAGGCGGAAACAAGATGGCTACATCTACAAAAGTTCTTTTAGCGCTTGCCTTGTCCGAATATAACAAACAATTTTCGTAGATGTAGCCATCTTGTTTCTGCCTCTGATTTTGCTTTTTTCTGATATGGTAACTGAAACGTTGGTAACTCGGGTGTGACGTCATTCCCAGCTTGGACTTCTGACTTCTAAGGTAACTCGAACGCAGTTTTAGGCTACGAGTCCGTTACTCACGCTTATGTCATCAACTTGCATTTATCGTATTTATCATGAGATGGCAAATATTTATCATGGAGGTTTTTTCTGACGATATATTGTGAACGATAATTTATCGCCCATCCCTAGTCTCTTCCCATGCCTTTATGGTGTCCATGGAAACAACAAAGTCAAGCTGATTGTTCTGCATACAGCACATGTATGCATCCTGTTTGTTGACATGGCTAGTCCTTTTGTATATCACCTTAAAGTGAAGGTAAGAGAAGAAATATATAAAACAGTCTTCAGCATACTGAGCAGATGTCACTGTGGAAGATGTTGTAAAATGTGAACTCTTTGTGATTTGACTAAAATTAGTAAAATGTTTACATATTCAGAGAACTTTTTAGTCTGGGGAATGTAAATAGTTTCATGAAGGTGGTTTCCCACTCGCAGGACTTTGCACACCAAGACAATTTGGCTAAGTGTTATTGTGCCTGACCTGTCAAACTGACCCAGTGTCGGGATGATATGGTGTTTAAAGTCTTTCAAAGAAATCTGTCAGAGAACATCTAACATAGCTTGCCCTGGTTTTCTTTGAAATGACACATTCCTTTACATAGCAAAACATGATTTGTAACCCTAAAGTACAGTGCTCTGCTGTGCGCGTACCAATTATGGCACCAAACAGAGCCTGGAGCACAGGGCTTTTGTGTCTTTGAGTTGCCCTAAATGTGGACTCCCTCTGGGTCGCTCTCTGGGGGTTAAAGAGATCGACTGAGCCAAAACAAACACAGCGCAGCTTCTGAGACGATGTGGTCATCTCCTACAGAAGCTGTAAGGCCGGGGTGACACCTGCTCGAGTTTCTCGGCACAAGTCGCTGACCCCGCTCCCTCTGCCTCCTCTTTTTGTGGTAGCTGCTAATCCTGGCTGTGTGATGGTGTCTTTGTAACAGAGAGCAGGCTTTCACAGTGACAGATGAGAGTGAGTTTTATGCAGCGCTCCATGCCACATTAAAGAATTATTTCAGGGAAGATTAAGCAGCATTCAGGACTCGGTACGGGGGCGGCCCAAAAATGCCCTGGTCAGCTGCCAACAATCCTGTCTGTCTCCCATCTCAGGAGGGGGAATGTACATTTTTCTTGTTGTTGCTTTGCCATATTATCCTGAGAGACATCTGACCTTTTACTTTGTTGCTGGTAATTTAGTTAATGTGAAACATTTTTACAACGATTGTGGAACGTCTCATTAATTTGATTCCTCACAGCTTGTTTTTATATAACCGTCTTGAAGAAATCTGGATCTGTTTGAAACTTGGTATTAAACTTTGCCCTTGAATATTCCCAGCTCTTCTTGTCCTCTGTAGTTGTCACCACATCAAAATCCCCTTACATTAGACCAGCAGCTCTGAAAATGCACATTGAACTAATTCTGTGTGCCATATCTTTTGCAGCCACACAAACGGGAGGAACTGGAAGTCATCATGTACAGATTAGCAGCGCTGAGACAGTCTTCCTCTCAGAGTACGATTGCTGTGGCTCCACAAATTGGATGAGATTAAGTCCCATGAACAGGAACGTGGATGTATTTGAAAATGAGGGGTTGAGTCCGTTTTGTGAGACTGGTATTTGCCATAAGAAAGGGGGCAACCGCGTGTGCACAGTCTAGTGCAAATGTGGATTGTTTGCTGTCAACTCTAAATGGTCCAGTTGTTCAGCAGGTGTCTGAGGACGGAGCCAGACGACAGGCGGATGTTCAGCCTGAGCCCTGTGAAATCCTGTGAGAAGCATGGATGAAATTATTCTGGCTCATCTGTGATTATTGGGGATTACTTCCTCATCGTTTTTTCTCCTTTGTCTGGAAATGTGACGCAATCCCCCTGTCACTGTAATGACACAGTTGAGGCAGACTGTGCTCGTGCTGCTTGCATATATTTTCTGTTTCTTCACCTGACCAGCCAAACTCTAACCTCAGTTTAAAACAGCTGGATCGGGTATTATTGATTTGTCAGATGTGCTTTTTTGATTTATTAGTCTACAGAAGGCCTATTCTAGGGGTGGGAATCACTAGTGGCCCCACGATACAATATTATCACAGTACTTGGGCCACGATATGATATTATCATGATACTTCGGCCACAATACGATATAATCAAGATACTTGGGCCACGATATTATCATAATACTTGGGCCACGATATGATATTATGAGGATAGGTGGGCCACAATATGATATTATCACGATACTTAGGCCACGATATGATATAATCAAGATACTTGAGCCACGATATTATCACGATACTTGGGCACACAATACAATATTATCAGGATACGTGGGCCACGATACGATATTATTGTGATACGATATTATCACGATACTTGGGTCAAGATATGACATTATCACAATACTTGGGCCACGATACGATATTATCACGATACTTGGGCCATGATATAACACTATTGCGGTTTTTAACATTTTGCAAGACAGTGAGTATTGCTATACAATATATTGCAATTTATTAATTTTTTCAACTGGTTAGCTAATTTAGCATTTGACTTTCCTTTATGTTTGTCTTATTTTCGCTGTATTTTATTTCATGTAGCACATCTTGCAAACCTTATTTATATTTGTTGTACTAACTTTCTCCTGCTCTATGATTAAATAATTTGAATTCTGGATAAATGGGATGATACGATATGTCACCAGACAAAATATCACAATACTATGCTGTATTGATTTTTTCTCCCACCCCTAGCCTATTTGATGCCTTTGCCCAGTTACAGCGAGTAAATACAGCAAAACACGTTGCACCCGGTGTGATGATTGGTCATGCTGCCTCTGGTTGGATTAAAGGAAGAGAAAAATGCAGATCTGGCAACCGATGCTCTGTTGAACAAGCTTCAAGACAGTTTCTCCACGATCTAAGAGAATGACTGGCATCTAAATCTCTCGTGATTCACTAGAGTGCGTTTTTTTTTTTCACTCCCAGCGTTCGCATGTTGCCAGTCGGGAAGAGCAATGATAGACATCAATCCTCTGGTCCTGTCATCACTAAGAAACGTTCTTCTCGGGAAGAGTGCAAACAACAGGGCCGGCTCTAACAGCTGTCTGACTCTGAGGGGACGTTAGGCTCCATGCACATCAGATAAGCACACGCACAGGGGAGGCTGCAGCACACATGAACTCTACAAACACACACACACAAGTTTTAAGGCTAAGGACTGTCATGATTGATGTGAGTGTGTGGAATGTGATGGTGGATTCACATGTTCGGAGCTACCTAGTGGCACTTGCTGTTTATGCGTCCTGGATTCTTTGAATTTCAGGAGTTTGACTTACAGGGATTTATAGACCCAAGGCCGCTGGCTCAGGGAGATGGATGAGCCACGCACACCCTGTGGCTCTGTGATTTTATCCCACCGTTCACCTGTGCACATCTGTACGATCACTTGCTAGACAAAGAACAAAGTTCAGTTAATCAATCAAAGTTATTCTCAGGTCTCGGACTTTGAGGAAAGAGGTCTCCTTTTTTTTCATTCAAGCTGTTGCTGCCACTCATTTTAAACACTCTGATTCAGTGAAAACAAGGTTCAAAATGTTTTTTTTTTTTCCCCTCTTGGCCAAAAACCTGCCAAGAGCCAAGCTGTGGATTCCTCTGACATTGGTTAGTGTGAACGGAGGAGAAATCAAGGCTCCTCTTTAGTCAGGAGTTAACATGCCGATGATAAGGCTTTGATAGAAGGAGGTCAGCGTTGGAAACTGCAGATGTTGACATGTCATGACAACAGCCAGGTGTCTGTTCCTCTAATGTGTTTCTTTCTTTCCCTGTGACTCTGTCTGTCCACACGTGCAGCGGTGTGCAGCTATGGTGTGTGCTTCAACGGAGGCCAGTGTCGGGTGGGGTCCACGCAGCTCTGCGACTGTCCTAAAGGGTTCAACGGGCCCAGCTGCCAGTATGGTAAGTGGAAACATCCTGACTGTATAATAGAGGTTGAAGAACAGACACAGTAAAAGAAGAAATCATTAAAAAAAGTCTCCACAGGATTGATTGAAACTGATAGCAGCTTGCAGCTTGATTAAAAATACCTCTTTGGCTCTTTTGCTCAAGTCTACAGTTCCATCTCATTCAGCTTCCCTGCTGAGTTCAGTTTCAGCAAGTTACTGCGAATCTCCCCACATCAGCATTTGGCCTCTTCACCAGCAGACCAAGTATTTTATCAGCAACCCCATTGTTAAATTCTGCACCGCTGAAGTAAAACAGCAGAGGATTCTGTTGTTTTTTCCGATAACACCACACGACAGGAAATTCCTCTTGGTGTCAGTTTTTTTTACAGAATAATCTATCTCCTGCTGAAATTAGGCCGATCTCGACACTGCAGACTGTTTTACATAAGAAAAGTTCAAACTGAGGCGAGCAGTCGTGGTCCCTTTTTTTTTCATGATTGTCTGGCTCCTCACTCTAGTCTGCATCTAGGGCGTTCAGTGTCACCAGGGATATCTCATCATCCCTGCTTGATTTCCTTTGCAGTTTTCTGCAAGGCAAAGCAAGGCACATTTCTGAATAAAGCTCATTTCATCATCAGGGCAACTAAAGGACCTATGATCAAGCTTTTTGTGCAAGTGCATTGTGCTTTAATGCTCTTTGTGCTTCAAGTCTTTGTCTTAGACATGTGTGTGGTACTCCTTAGTTCATTTGACTGACCCTCACTGATTTAAAATCCAACTGATGTTTTTTTTTTAAATACTTAAAGTGTTCTCAGTGGTCTTCAAATTGTGATTATGAAGAAAAATTTTGTTAGATGTGTCATTTTCAAGGGCTTTTCTTCTGCAGACCTCCAGTAGGTCATTAGCGATTCACCTCTGAGTCGTGGATGGAGACAGCGCTGCTCTGCATGCTCCTCTTCATGCTCCTCTTCATGCTCCTCTTCATGCTCCTCTTCACACTAGCTTGCAGCCTAACATTGCCGGTGTAGTAGAAGTGGCAGGTAACATAGGAGCTATTCAAATCTCAGTGACTAATGTCTTTGGGGACATGATGAAAGTTAATATCATAATTAGCTTTCTTACGAGCATTGCAATCCGCTACCGCACATGTTTGTTCTGCAATCGTCCTCTCTGTTTCTCTGAGTTTGACCTGCGTAGCGGGGCTCCAGGGGCGTTTGGGTCTACCAGAGGTTCACAGCATCAGTAAAATGCCATATGAACATGTAGACAACAAGAACCCCCTGTGTTAGAACACTGTGCTAATAGATGTTTATTGGAGGACTATTGATGCTGAAACATTTACAGTTAATTTATTTTTTACAGTCAGTGTGATTCACTTCAGAATTGAGCATAGAAGTTTAACATGATGCCGAACTTTTACTTTTTAATCCAAAAACGTATAAAGAAGAGTTAAACAACTGTGTAAAAATGTAATGTCGGTTTAAGTAAAGTTTACAAATGAAGGCAGAAAAGGCAAATAAAAGGAAAAAATATTTGTGTGGGTGTCCGCACATTCTTTATGCCATCACTGCCTAAGTCAGGGCCTCGGTTAAGCCACCACAGTCACGTTCCTGTCAGAACCTGGCATCTTGGTTCCTCCCTCGAGACACATGCAGAGCTTCAGAGTTAAGTTAGCAAATTTTTATTTGACATCTGCCATGACTTTAAAATGAAGCTCGTCAAGAAACATGTAAAAAACAAAACAAAAAAAAACCCAGCTGTATTGTTCGTGACCATAACTCAGCTAATCACTACCAGAATCATCCTGGAATCTGCTGAGTCGCTCTGAAGTTGTGCCCTCACCTTTTATTTGACACGGTTGTTGTGTCACATCGCAAGCTGCACAATTGTTGTTTTGAAGTCAGGTCTGAACATCCACAGCTTGAAATTTAATAAACTTGCATTTCAAACCACTTACAAAAGTCGCTCGTATTGGTTCGCAAACAACCGTTTTCCATGCGATACTTAGCTGTTCCAGACCTTCTGAAATCATCCTGGATGAATTCTGGATCAGAATCTGATTTTATAGGCTGAACAAGAACAAGTCAGTTTGATCACGGTTCAAAATTGCGGGGCTGTTCTGCAGTTGACTGGCATATTTCTGTGACACATAAGGTATATCATGGCGAACTGGGGTGAAGCAAGGGCTAGGGTCACAGCGGGGGATAATCCCTCTCATCCTTTCCTCCTCACTGTGAAAAACAAATGTAAGAAGTCTGAGGTTTTCCTGACTGGAGTAAATACGCCCCATTATTGCAGTTGGAACGGATTCTTCTGTTATAATGATAACGAGTTTGTTGAACTCCTTTGACCCTCGGCAGTAGATGAAAGATTTGTGAGTAAAGTAGACAGATGTATTTGATTTATGTCCGTTTAGTGACACAAGACAGACAGAGCACAAGAAGAGATGTCAAAGCTGGTCGAACAAATGATCAGTCTGTGAGGAATCTGTCAAAATATTCTTCTGCGTGTGGGATGAAGAAAAAGAGGAAATATCTCTGCGGTCTACTTTTGGATTTTGAGGTCCCTTTTCTGACTCTAAAACTATTATGAAGATATAAGAGAACTTACTTGCCAAACATGTTTAATGAAAGAAAACATGCTTTTCTCTCTTCCATAATACAAACACCAAATGTGATCCTCCTGTTTTATTCACTTTTGGCATCTGAAAACACAGAGCTTTTCCAACTGTTGCCATAATTTAATGTTTTTTATTTATGTATTCATATTAAAATGTCAAATCCTAATACTGAATGATTAAACTAAGATTCTCTGTTGTGTGTTAAAGTAAAGGTCTCAAACACAGCAGGTGTCTCGAGGCAAAGCTAATATCTACATAGGTTCCTATCCTCTTCAACTCTTGGGTTACACAGTTTTATATCAGATAAAACATCAACTTCTCCCTCTCTTTCTCTCTCTCTTTTTGCACATTATGCTTTGTTCTGCTGTTTGAATGATAGCTGTCATCACGGGCACCAAGAGGTCCTTTGCTGGTTAAGAGTTATGCAGCACGCCCCCCACACCCCGATCCTCCCACTATTGGAGGCTATCAGCCCGTAAACTCTTTGGCGGTTTTATTACCCTGTGATTGGCACAGAATGGGCCGAGGGGTGTCGGGATGTCGATGACTCCGCATGAGTGGGGGGTTCAAGATTTAGGATGATGGGAGTTGGACGGGAATGCTCTCACAGCTGTCCCTCTTTTTCGCGGTCCTGCCAAATACAGGTCAGTTCAGAGGGGAGAGAAGAGAGACTTAGCGGCTCAACTGAGAGACAGCAATAACACCACTCCTGATGAATGATTCTGTTAGCTGAATGACAGCTTTGATATATAGATGTATCCATTATAGAAACCACTTTAGGGTGGTCAGGCACCATAACCACTTAGTTACTCTGTCACATCCTTCAGCTCTGAATGAACACGTGTTAAATCTCATATAAGGAGTTTTTGATTGGTTGTTAAATAACCAGTAATGATGTTCAAAAGAAGATTGAATCCAGCAATGATGTGATTAAATATTTCTATGTTGTAATTTTTAATGCCAGTAGCTGCTTTAAGGGGGGTAGGTACACTGAAGAAACAGCCTCAGATACTTTTTCCAAAGCAGTTATTCACTGTGAGTGTTAAGTGTTGCAGGATATTTTTTTTAGCAGTTTACACCACTTTTACAAGGATGAGACACAATTAGCATCAATTGACGGTGTTATAACTTTGTCCACAGGGGGTGCCAAAATCAACGCACATAGAAAGTTCCTCACAGGAGCTTTAAGAACCTGCTGTAACATCATAAGATGTTGTAGAGATGATGTCTTTAATCAGAAAATGTATTAATCTGGTATCTAAGTAAGCGGTAATCATTTGTTATCATGAGTAAAAAGGGTAGAGTGATTTTGGTCGTCTTTTCAGTTAGAGTCCCCAAAAAGAGGACACAGCTAATCAGGGGCAGAGTCACGGAGTTGCACGTAATTCATTTTGAGAGTTTTTTGGGTCGGGTCGAGTGTTTTTTGCGTGCTTCTATCTCAGTAAGTCCACGCGACAGAAACTCAAAACTTCCTTACAAAACTCCAGACATTTGAAGTATTTTATAAATTCCCCCGGACAAGGCCGGACAGCCTCCCGAAAAGAGGACATGTCCGGGTGAAAGAGTTGGTATGCTCACCCTAAGTTAGAGAGGATATTTGTTTAGTCATTAGCTTCCACCAGACCACAGCTAATATTAGCAATCAGCATCTGCCATTATTACCTTGTGTTTGTTGTTTATTACAATAGGAAAGTGTACAGCTTAGACAGTGTTGAAATACTTATATCAGCTTTTGTCGATGGGTACTTGTGCTACTGAAAATAAGGTATTCTCATGCCTTTAATTGCTTTCAGAGTTATATTGTGTGGTAAGGGCCTTAATTTGTGTCCATCTAAGTGGGACTCAAATGCATCTTTTTCTCTTTTTGTTCTACAAAGTTGAGTCTTTTAATGCCACTATCATTACATCATTTTACCCTCTGAACAGCAGTGGTAGCATTTCAATCTTTTTCCTTTGTAACTATGATCTTAGCTGGGAAGTAACTGAGTGCTAACACCAGCTGTTTTATGAAGACAGCTAGTTGAATATCAAATATGTTGTTTTTTTTTCTAAAGTTTGACACTGTTAAAAGCAGTGGTGGTATTGAGCAGCTTTGTTTTACTTGGCAGTGTGTTAACGCAAACTTCAGCTTCCTGTTTTCCAAGTTATCTGTTAAGTATTAAAGCGTCAAAATGAAAAAGGTATTTTTCAAATTTCCTCCTTTACGGTAATAACCTGGAACACAGCGGTACAACTTAATAACACCATTTGAGCTTTCCACCCTCAGCAAGACGTCAGAAGAAATACGGCTGCTGTGCGCGTACGCTCTGTTTAGTCACAGCTGCTGCGGTCTTGGTGCTTCATACAGCTGTCAATCACGGCTCGCTCTCTCTGGTCGTGTTTACATGAAAGCTGAAGCCACATCAGGATGTGGCTGAGGGACATGCGTGGAGATTCACTCATTGTTTAATCACTTTTGAGGGTTCTTGGAAGTGCAGTCATTCCTCTGACATTGCATGTGGTGATATCCCCTTAAGTGCGTTTGATGTGGTTTCTCAGTGTTTGTGTGGAGCAAATGGTGTGTGTTTATGTTGCTCATAGGTGCTAATTAGTGCCTCGCTCTCAATAGTTGTCTGAGGCTGTCATCTGTTTTGATTTTTATTCGCGTTCTGTCTCGTTGTAAATAAGACAGTAATTATAGATCTTTCTGTATTATTGAGTCTGTAGTTGAGTCAGGATTGGTGCTTGGAGACTTTTCTGGTCTCCCAGAGACAATAAATTAGACTTATTGGATTGGGTAATGGTTAATCATTTAAAGTTGGAATGATTTTAGCGATTTAGACTTCTAAGATTGTACTTTCAGCAAGAAGACGTTCATATATTGTTACTTGAAGTCAAGAATTTGGTCCACACAGTGCCCAGCATAAGTTAGTACACCCCCTATTATAAGTAATGTGTTACTCAATATCTAGATGAGCAAAGTTTTGAAAAGCTGAGTTTAACATCACATTTTATTTACCATAAGATGAAAATAAGGGTGATATGGTAACTAAAATTAAGCATTACTACCAAAACTTTGATTGGGGTGTACTCATTTTTTCAATCTGATTTTAAATCTTTTTTGTGTGCAACTTAAAAAATCGTGTTTGGAATCATTGGCCTACATTTGGGGAAGTATTTTGTTGTTTAGTCTGACAAAGAAAATGTTGATTTTGAAAGGAAACTAAAGGTCTTCTGCCCTGAACTCTGAAGGGGTGTCCTCATATAACTTCCTGCCACTTTCTTTTCCCCAGTAAATCAGCCTTATGTGAATAATACTGACAGATATTTGTATTTATTTGTTTCAAACATCATCCACACATTCCTCAAGCTGCAGAAAAGTTCATAATTTAATGGTTCTATTTAAAAAAATCAACATATATCTAAATGATCTACACCTGACCTGTACAGTGAGACTGTTATGTACGGCTAAATAGAAGTTACAGATGTAATATTCTGCCAAATGAAGGAAAAAACAGCATGTTTAGCTCTCATTTCTAAGATTTCTTTCTTCAGTGGATCAATATAATGGACTTTTCCATAGCCGAGCGCCTGCACACATGTAGTTTTAACTCCCTCTCTGCTCTGAAGCCCTTTAAAACTCCCTGTCTCGTCTTTATCCAGAAGGATTTAGTCACTTGTTGCCTGATGCACTCGGTATTCAGCCTGTCGTCGGCAGACAAGTGTGGGATCAACAGCTTCTAAAGCTTTTAGACCTCTGGCAGAGCAGATGTCTTCATTGCAGCTGACATCTGGGCTCAGCTGCAGACAAACAGACAGACAAACAAAAAAGGCAGGCGGGCACTTTTGGTAACATGAAACTGAAGATGCTTGATTCAGGACTCTTCAAATATACATTAAAGCTTCTTTTTCTGCAGGTGAAACAAAAGTGATCCAGGATACATAAAACTGATGGATTGTGTAATAGGAACCATTTGAAGCAGATATAAGCAGTCGGTGATAAGAAATTAAAACGCTTGATAATAGAAAAAAGGAGAAACTTGATCTGCAAAACTCAGTTTATTTGCTCTTTTCCCACAGGTTCAAATCATGATATTTTGGATTTTATTTGTTGACCTAAAGCTTTGAAATTGTTCCTGTCTCCTCTGTGCACAAGGCCTCTGAACCATAAGCTCATATCTTGGCTGGGTTTGGGGTCATTGCAGTGCCAGGAGGACCAGCTTGTTTCAAAAATCATTCAAGACAGACCCCCTTTTTACAGATGGCAGTCACCATTATCATTATACTGTAATGTAAACTTCAAAGCAAGCACCCAGGCAGCCTTTCTCGACCACAGCCCCCTCCACTTTGAAGCTTCAGAAGTTTCAGTCATAGCGGATCAACCCATCTGTTGGGTTTTCTTACATTTATCCGCCAAGATTATCAGTCGGATGAACTCTGATTTAGACAAAGCAAATATGCAGCAAAGGTACAATAACACGTTCACTCAGAGATGTAAGTTTAAACCGGTAACAGAGTCACTTTCTTTGAACCAGTTAATGTTTAAGGTGTCGTCACAGTTTGAGTGAAGCTCATGAAAACTGAAGATATATTGTATATATAATGAGAGGGTTTAGATCTGTAGGGATTATGGTGCAGGATTCCTCCACAGCTGAGTGGCAAAGGTGCTGAAAAATGACACAAGGGGTCAAAACGCCGAGATCCCACTTCAGACAACATCATACTCTTTCCAAACATGTAAATATTGTTAGCAATGACATAATAAGTGTTGAAGGATAAGAGTACTTCTGTAAGTTTTGTCACCTGTTTATACAACTTCATATTTAATTTTAGTAGAAAATATCTCTACCTATTACTTGTATTCAATTGGTCATTTGCTGCATGTATTTTGAAAGATTCACACAAAAATGATGAGGAAAAATCAGAAAGTGAAATGCAATTTTCTCTTTAACTCTGTGGATTCTGACGTTCTCTCTTCTGGAGTGACCCTCTAAATTTGTTCATGTTGCATCCAGGTGTATCTGCAGTTTCAGCAGCTCTGTAACCACTTCTTCCATCCCTTGCATCCGAGTTTCAACTGTGTCAATCCTCTTCTCCGCCTCCTCTAATCAAGTGTTAGTTTTGTTTATTTCTTCACGGATCTCTCTCAGCTGCTGACTCTTGTCCTTCCTAATCTCCCTTAGTTCTTTCAGTTTTAGACCCAGACCTGCTTTTAAAACAGCCCTACAGAAATTCACAAACTAGTTGAAAGATTGATTCTTGATCAACTCAGATATCAAACTTTGGCCTAAACTCTTAATATTAAAGAAAACATCCAGTGAGTTTTGTTTTTCCATTCAAATGTAGTTTGATGGTTGTACTCTGTAGTGTCTGATAAAAGTGTCCACATTGAAACCTGTAAAACTTTATTCTGATTTTCAGAGTTGCTCCCTCTTTCTTTGTTTTTTTCTGTTTCTGTCAAGGAGATGCATTGTCCGGCCTCATGCTCCTCAGCATGGTTGCAAGGTCAGGACAACAACCCTGAAGCTATTGTGAGAGCTCATTGTCTTGTTAAAGGACACTTGTTGAGTTGTGAAGGTCCTTTGATGTATAAAAAGACTTGAACCGGGGTCGTCTGTTTAGGAACTGAAAGAGGGAGACAGAGAAAGATGCCACCAAACTTACAAATTGTTTTCAGCTCTTTACTGCAAAAGCATTATCTAAAGACCTTCACACCTTTGGTCTTAAATGTCTATTACTTAATTTGTTTTTAACATCATATATGCTTTAGTTTATCTTAGTGTATTGATAAATTTGAGTGATGTAGCTTCAGAGATCGGCGTTTCACCCTTTTCTGTACCTCTGTTGCTGCTCTGCGATTATTTTATACTCACTCGTGGTCTACCCCTCAGCTCGTGGCCTGTTGTAACCTGCCTTTCATCGCCCCTCCTCTCACCTCACTCACACGTAGACTTAGCAAATTACCTCAAAGTTCTCAGACTGCTCCACGTTTGTTGACTTTTTATAATGTGTATATCTTTCTGCTCACAAATGGCCCTTTTTTCTGCTTTTGCATGCAAGGTTTATTTCGTCTTTGCATGGTAATTACATAAGCACATTAAGGCCAAATGTGACCAAAACATCTGGGTGGTTTATGTCTCCCAGATGTCAAATCTTAGTTAACACTTTGCTGGCTTGTTAGCCACAAGTGTTGCTGAACTATGCAGAAATGCATCAGTGTGGTGCTTATCTTTTTGTTAATCCTCGTAAAGTCGAGGATCACCTGTAAACAATAGTACAATTAGTCTAGCTTTTAGTCTAGTTATCCTGATTTACGAGACAGTGATGGCTTTTGTGGTCTCCCTCTGCGCCGAGGATTGCAGGGGGAGCAGAGAGGGTAAAGGTCAAGCCTGCGTTTTGACCCCGTGCGTGCCCTTTTAGCACGGCCTCGAACTTTCATGGCTGCACTTGCTGTTAATGAACAACAGGAGGGCGAGCTGGCATCTAACCCTGTTTGGAAATTGTTGTCTGTTCGCTATCATCGCTGCTGCTCATGGAGCGCTCAGAGTGACAGTGACAGGAGGCAGCAGGAGCCACACATATGGTATCAGTCATTGCAAAACTGTTGCAAAACTGTACGCTTAAACCATCACAATCAAACATATGCAAGTTTGCTGCCGGTTAATTAGTGAGGAAGCACTCTGTGATTTTTCCTGGGCTAAAAATATCGTGTATCTCCTCCCTTCATGTTCAGGACCACTCAGGAATGTAATGAGAGAGAGGTGCTTTCAGTGTGTCGGCCTTGAGAGCCTCCCCTTTGTAAAAATAAATCCCTGAACTCTCAGTCCCATTGAACAGTTTTTACTCAGGATTAAGAAAAACATTTGGGAAACCTCCATGCTGAGCGAGGGTGCTTTCATCAAGAAGTGCCCCAGAAATGAAACACATGTGCAGCATATCTTTCATTTTTAACACGTGCATGTTGTGGACCTCGTTAAGAGAGATAGGAAGGTTTTATTCCTCCAGCTTTGATAATTTCCTCAAACTAGCTTATATTAAAAAAATATAGGTTTAAGTACACCGAGAGGTTCATGAAGAGAACGGGTTGAAAGAGATCCATTTTCATCTCTTCTAATCTGAAAGTGTATGTGAAACCTGTAACCCAGCCCTTCCACCAAAGGAATTTAACAAGCTGTAATCTCAGGTTTCCCTGAGCCTCAAACTTTAAGCATCTGGTGAGGCTTTGGTACCAGCTTTCCCTGGTGTTAACATCTTATTAGACAAAAACCATCAAGGACACAAGCAGGACTGGGTGATGAGGAAACTTTGGAATCAAACTAACAACAACAACAACGAAAATTCCATTTAGTTTTGATCCCTTCCTCTTGAAGCTGTTTTTTTTTCTGATCACTTATTTTACTTGAGCCTTGTTCCAATTAATCATTTTTTTTAAATTGTACAATTTAAACAGGATTTTAACCTAATTATTAATCTGGCTGATCAGTGGAAATATTTGGTACTGAGCTCAAGAGGTAGGGCTGGGCGATATGGCCTCAAATCAATATCACGATATATTGAGCATCTCACCTCGATAACGATAAATGGATGATAACTACTCCACAAGCTGCTCACCCCCTCCCATATTAACTTCGTCTACTTCAGCCGCTACAACTTTTGAACCGTCCTCCATCTCCTCATCTGTCTTTCCCTCTTTGTTACGGACTGGATGGGGTGGAGTCACGTCTCTGACGTAGGACAGCGTCTTAAAGGGACATGAGACCATAGCCTACCTACACACATCCAAAACCAACTTTGATTTATTTATTTTTTGACACAGAATATACTGACATGGGCAAAATGACATCGGATATTGTCGGAATTTTGGGTATCGGTAAATTTCGACAGTTAAAAAACAGACAGAATATGCCTGCAGACATTGCAGGCAGTCTGGGTGCTTCTTCTGTATAGAAAAGTTAAGATCTTCTTTGGTGATGAAATGTTTTTTTTCCCATCCCAAAGGAAGGCCGATCAAATCTATCAGTTACTGACAAGTGTTTAATATATATCCTGTTATGATATATAGAATAATGAAGCTTGATATTACCTCAGACAATGTAATGTAATGTTCTGAAATCTACAGCATCGCCTAACATGTTTTTCTATTTCTGTACATTAAGTTATAAAAAATGTTTTAGCTAAGACAAGCATGCATATCAGATTGTAATTTGCATGGAATAATTGCTGTTTTTACTGTTAAATTATCCAAAATATTAAACTTCTAAGAGTGAATACCAAAGTAGGGAAGAGTAAAGTCGAGCCAGTACCTGTATGGCAATAGTTGTTTGTCTAGAGCCGTCCTTAAATTGAATTCCAAGAACGCTTCCTCTAAGCCTGTGGAGAAACTGGAAACCAAAGCCAACCTTGTAAAGAATGGTCATGCTTTGACATCATGTTTTTAAGTTCCTGCAGTGGAAAAAGACTATGAATGTGGTACTCTTACTGACTGACAGGTAAAGTACCCTGATTATTCATACACACCGGTCACACAATCAGATTACAGTCTTGCTGTGTGCAGGTCAAGTTTACCTCCACCTCTGGCAGCTTCATCATAAAAAAGACTCCAAGAGTGTCCCACCGTCAGTTTTCCTGTTTTTTCAATCGACTGTACATAAGAACCACGAACCTCGGGCTGAGTTCAGACTATAACACGTTCCCATAATTCACATCATTATCACTTATATTGGTCTGGTTCCCAGAGCTTAATAAGAGCAGGAAAGACCATAAAGCCTTTTGGCTGTAAAGCTTTGATTTGGCCAGCTGCAGCAGTTTGTCACTCATGATTGGTGTGTCCATCCGCCACTGTGGGGTCAAAAGGTGCCAGGCATCAGGGCAGTAGGTTATATAACTATTGTATAATGGTAACCACATTGGTGTAATCTGCTCAGAATCCAGCCGCTGTGCTTTAAAAGCAGTTTTATAAGTGGAAGAGAAAAAGTTGTAAAAGTAAAACGGCTGATAATGGGATAGTAAACGTCCACAATGATCACAAGCAGTCTAAATCATTGTCAGTGTTTCCCCCTTTGCTCTCTGATGGTTTTCACAGCCACAGCTGAGATGCCTGTGAACAGGTTGAAGTCTGTTTTTTCACTTTCCTCACAGAGAATTACGATGTGTTAGATTTTAATCTCAAAAACAAGAAAAAGAGTGCCAGGTATTTGGGAACGAGAGCTGTTTAGGAGAGAACAAGGTCGGGTGCTGAGTGGTGACATAATTAGGCTGTTCATAACTTTTGATGTTATGACTTTTTTCAAATACACAATCCCTTCAATCGGTGACAAATTGGCGCTTAAATGGACCATTCACCGGGTTACTGACATGTTTTCTATTTTTTAGCCATTTGAAGGTTTAATCCTGCCCTTTGAGAATTGTTAGCGGCCAGCAAAGCGTGACTCCAGTGAAGGAGGTCATGGAGATGTAGGCGCTGCTGGGAGGGCCAGATGCTCTAAGCAAATGTTTTCTCACACATTCTCCACATCATTGTCCTGAACTCCTGTGTGTCTTTGTTTCATTACTGATGGATTAAGAGAGAGAGAGAAGCACGGGATAAGAAAAGCAAAATTAGAAAGACGGTTTTGTAAGAAAAACAGATCTGTGTGTTTCAGGGTTCACCCCTCATATCCCCCTCACTTAAAAAGTCATCAATTGGGACAACATCACTTTTTGTTTTCAGGTTTTTAAAATGGACAAATCAGATTGTGGCAAATAACCTTCACACCAAATCACTTTGAAATGTATGCTGAAGATTTCCTGACCACTTCTTAAACATCTGAGCGTTTTTTTTAAGCTAATATCACGTTTTGTTGTCTTTGACACAGATGCTAAGCCAGAAATTTCCCATACATGACAGCAACTTACTGTGTAGGGCTGGGCGATACACTGAAAATTTACCAATACCAAAATTTATGACAATAACCGCTGTCATTTTGCCCACGTCAATACATTCAGTGTCAAAAAAGACCCTGTCCTACGTCAGAGACGTGACTCCACTCCATCCAGTCTGTAACAAAGAGGGAAAGACAGGTGAGGAGATGGAGGACAGTTCAAAAGTTGTAGCGGCTGAAGTAGACAAAGTTAATGTGGGAGGGGGTGAGCATCTTGTGGAGTAGTTTTCGTCCATTTATTGTTATCAAGGTGAACTGCTCAATATATCATGATGTTGATTTGAGGCCATATCGCCCAGTCCTATGACTTTCATAAGGAAAGAAATGTATAAAAGCGTCTGTGAGGAACTTGTTTTTGTGTCTATTTTGACGACCCCCCATGGACAGAGTAGTCCTCGTCTTATTCACCTGCTGATTTGTGTTCTGGATTTGAATTTTTCTTAGAAAAATCCATATTTGAAAGATAGATAATAAAACACAGAGTTGGACGTTACCTCTTTACATGGGCTAAGATTCAAGCTGTGAGGCTAAATTGTAGAAGAGTTATCCCAGTGTGGTTTAAAAAAAATGCTTTTCAGGGTTCCTACGCAAGTATGGAAATAAATCTGATCAATTTTCAGGCCTAAAAAAGTATGGAAATAAAAAATAAAGTATGGAAAAAATATTGATGTTTCCAGACTATTACCATAGTTCTCAAATACTGTTTTCTAATATAAAAAAGTATTTTCAAAAATAATTCAAAAAATGAGGGTATGGAAAAGTATGGAATTGAAAATTCCAACTGTGTAGGAACCCTTTGCTTTATTCTTTGTTTCTAGGGACTTAATTTGCCTTTTTAATCTTTCCTGATCAGATTCTGGGTCTAAAAAATCTACCTATATCTCATAGTATGTCATTTTAGTTAGTGAAACATGGTTAACACAACTAGGACAACTCTGTAGCAAGGCAACAGTGGAGGAGACTTCTAGAGAGATGGCCAGCGGGGAGTTAAAGAGACAGTGCTTCTGGACAGAAACTGACATGAGGGTTCAAAAAGACACAAGCCTGAGAGATCTAAAGAGATAGATTAGCTGTTAATCATGTAAAGCTTACTAAAAGTGCTTAAGGGTGGCCTGATTAAGAAGCCAACTGTTGAAATGATAATTATCATCCATAACTGTCATCATCCATCCTGTTTTCCCTCTGATCATGACACACCATGAGACATCTTGCCTAAGCCATGAGAAACGGAGCAGCCATGTTTCCTCGGAGGCTGTAAAGGTGTTCCTAATGAGAGGGAGTGCACTGCAGTCAGGGTGGGGTCTGTCCTAGCCCACCTACCTGCCACTTCATCCTGTGCAGCACCCTAATCTCCCATAATTGTGCCTGAGTCTGGGCTCCCACCCTGCCTCATTAGGCTCTTTACAGCATTTCTGATGAAAGGTCTCCACTGGTCACGCTGGGGGCGAGGGCATCAAGTTTGGCTAAATTAGCAGTGACAAGAGTTTGCAAAACACAATTAGTGGAATAATGAGCGTGGACTGATCCCTTCATCAGCCATCAGAGCCCCTGATTTTATCTCTGCTACCTTTATACCCCCCTATCTCCCGCTAATTTTAAACAAATCTGCCTCTGCTGCTTTTGTTCCCTCTTATCTCATCTGCGTTTGTATCCCACTGAGCCAAACATTTCACTCCTAATCTCTGTTTTCTCTCCACCAACAACATTATCCTCTCTGCCGTGTATTATCTCCATATGGAAGTCTTTTAGCCCTTGGGGTACGTCCAACCGAGAGTTGTCTCTCCTGCAGTTCACAGCCAGCGTCTCACTGATGTTTCCCGAGGTGCAAAAAGCAAATGCTCATCTGAGAGAAATGTAATGAGACAGGGTCAGTCGCCTGTCAAGACAACTGTTTTAATCTTATTACAGTAGTTTTATCGTGTCTGATGCCAGCGCAGACTGATTCTCTGGTATTATTGCTGTAATCAGAAGACAGTATATTACAACTGCAGTATAATCAGAAAAACATGTCTCAGACTAAATGATTATTATAGTTAGATTAGACAGAAAAATCTTTGTCTTCCACTTGATTTGGATCCAGAGTTTGGCTGTCGTAACAGAAAGCAGCTGGTCGACAGAACAGAGAAAAGTCTGGTCGAAACAAAAGGTTTGTTTTCAAGTTAGATCAGTTTATTGTAGATGATACAGTCCATTTAACGGTCAGGATCAGCTCCGCACGTTTCCACTGGTGGACAAAAAATAAATTAATGAATTAAGATTCACTTTTTTATGCTGCATAGTGATCTATGGTCACAAATAGGATAAACAATAAAGTTATTTTCATCATTGAGCTCCTGTGAAGACTGTTTAGATGACCACAAAACAAAGTAAAGATAGGTGGCGTCATTTGATCCACGAAAGCAAACATTTCTATATTGTAGTTTTTAATGACTTTAATGGACGCCACATGTCAGGGTCAGATAAAGTGATTAACAGCACAAAACACTGTTTACAAGAAAGGACCCACTGTGAGTGAAATGTTCATTAGTAGAGAAAAGCAGATTTTCACATGAACAAGACAAAATAGATAGATAGATAGATAGATAGATAGATAGATAGATAGATAGATAGATAGATAGATAGATAGATAGACAGATAGATAGGTAGGTAGGTAGGTAGATAGGTACTTTATTGATCTCAGAGGGAAATTCAAAACACATCATAGATAATACAAATACTGTGGTAATACTTCAACTAAATAATAAATGGATAAATCAGCCTTTTTTTTATTTGTAATTTTTTTTTGTATTTTTAAATTTTTTTAATTAATTTTTATTTCATTTTTTAAATTATTTTTTTTCTTTATTTTTTTTCTTTATTTTTTTTTCCTTTTTTTTCCTTTCTCGGCAGAGCTGCTGCTAGGTGCTGCCGCTTGTGCTGCAGTTTTTTTATATTTATTTATTTATTGTCCCTTTTTTTCTTTTATGGCAGAGCTGCTGCTAGGTGCTGCTGCTCATGACATGGCAGGAAGATTGAGTACGATGAGGCACCTCTTCATCTATAGGAAAGTCCCTTGCTCTAGCTTTCAGTTTCACTACAAAGGAGTCAGTGGTGATTCACTCTGTTTCATAGTCATTTAGAAACTACTCACAGGAGCTTTAATCCGTAGGACAGGATAAAATGAAAGGTCAGAAATCACTCAGGTCTTAGGGTGTGTCTAGTTTGTTTACATTATTTACCATTATTCCAGATTTATTCAATTTTTGGCGAGGCTGTTGTGAAATCTCGAAATTATCAGATTTGAGATGTTGCTCTGACTCTTTGGGAATTTGGCTCAATGCTTGCTCAACTACCGTGATAGTTCACAGTGATAAAACACACAACAAACTTATTCCAAGTTCAGAAAAACACACTTCATTGTCGTACAAACGCAGGTTTTAGCCGTGAAAACAGAGCTCTGTGAGTGAATCAGATGTAGCCTGAGGGGTTGTGTATTTTACAGCTGTTCCTTTCAAGTTTGAACATCTGTGAAACCATGTAGTGCACATGAAGCAATAATAAGAACCTGGATGTTTATATCCGCTGTACACCTCGAGCATGACAATCTGTCATGTATCTGCCACCTTTTGGCCCGTAGGTAAACACCTCAGAGCAACTTTCCGTCCACTAAGACCTTGAACATACCACAGCAGAACACCTCACGCATGCCTCAGAGAGGGAAACAGACTGGAAAACCACAACAAGCAATTTCTGGATTTATGCTGGCCTCCATGTGTTGTCTCAGGCACTCCAAACTCCTGGGTCAACGCTGAAAGAGACGCGTCCCGACAGGTAGAGCACAGATAGAGCACACGCAAAGGGTCAGAGGTCGATCCCCTGAGGTCCACCAGGTATTTGTCCCCCCCTGTTCATCTGTGTAGATCATAAAATGTTATTCTGGAGACATGCATAGGTTTAAGCAGCTGGCCTACTTTCTTAACATTTACTGACTGTAAAAATGAGTGACAGGAGTCTGAGACCTTTGACTGATCCTCTGGTTTTGAAGTGGCAAACTTCTCCTGAAGACATACTGCTCTGTCAGGCGCCTTAAATCAAGCCATTACCGTCAAAACAGCGATCTGGAAATAACCTCGGAGTCCTCTCCTCAAGAATGCGAAACCTATATTTTGAGGTCTACGATCCCAAGTGGTGAGTAGCTGAAGTGAAAGTCAAGTGCAGTCAAGAAGAAAGTGAAAGATTACGAGAGCGGGAGCAGCTTGTTCTTTGGAATTAGGATATCCCAGAACACACAAACACACTAATGAGTACCTGCAAACACATATATGCGCGTGCTTTCCCTCGGTGCAGCGAGGTGGATCATCAAAACAAGGATTAGAGGAGTTACAGACTCGGTGAAGCAGAATGTTCACTAAACAAACTTAAACACTGTATTTTAGTGTCTTTGATGTCCCACAAAGCCCCTCGTGGTCCAACATGGAGAATAATAAATCTCAGGGCTCACTGACTCGAGTCGCTTGATTGATATTTTTGTACCCAAGAGTCAGACCTCCTCTCAGCTTAACAGTCTGCTGCTTGTCTGCACCGTCTTGTCAACACACGCCATGGGAACAAAAATAAAACACAAAAGTGATTTAAATAGGCAGATAAGCTGAGACTTTGGATTCTGCTAATCTGCGTTTTCTCATAAGAACCGTCGAATTGAAGGAGAGCTCTCATCGTGATCCGTTTAATGGTCCCACACACCTGCCTGCGAGGGAAAAACATGTCAGGACACATGCTGCAGTAGATCATGGAAGTCGTAATGGTTTTTCAGATCTCCAGACTCCTTTAGCTGCAATTAAAGGGATAGTTCGGGATTTTTAAGAGTGCAGTATGAAGTCCCAAACAATAGGAAGTGTAGTCAAAGTAGTAGATAGCAGCCAGTGGTCCCTTTTTCGAGAAGTCCCTGAGGACCCACAGGAACCTTCATTAAGCAGCAGGTTGATGCAAAGAGTCCAACAAAAGAAGACATTTCAAATCCAAGCTTCACTTTTAGACATTTACCTAAAAAAAGAAACTTTTGTTGTTGAGACAAAGGCTACGTTCATACTGCAGGTTATGATGCACAATTCAGATTTTTTGTTAAATCCGATCTTATTGTGCGGTTGTTCACATCACAACAACGAATGCAGTCTCTAATGTAAACAGAATGTGTCTGTGAAGTGACCCGCATGTGCATAAAGTAAAAATCGCTTTCCGCGCCTGTTTATGTTGTCGAACAATGGTGACGTTTGTCGCATATTGATGACGTATAGGTCGGATGAATGCGACCTGAGCATCCACACTGCAATCACATTGAATACATATCTGATTTATATCCACATACAAAAGAGGCCTGGGTCAGATTTGAAAAAATCAGAATTGCACGTTTTACACTTACATGAAAAAATCAGATATGTGTACATATGGTTAAAAAAATCTGAATTGACCTGCAGTGTGAACATAACCTAAGTTTTTGACTTCAGTGAAAATCATCAAGTTCCCCATACAGACCCACTTCAGAAACCTAATAGTTCAGTTTTCTCACAATTGAACTATAGACAGTGAAGTGTTTCAAAATCTGACCTACAAACATCCAAAATTGGTGAAGAACGTGCAGGACGATATCCAAGAACTTAAATGGCACAAAACCAAATGTCTGCAAATAAAAGTCTCTTCTATTCATTTCAGTTTCAAAACAATTTGAGGCAATTATTTGATTAAGAAAAGAGACTTAAACCAACAAAAATGTGCCATTTTTTTATAGATGTTTCAACTTTATCTGAATAGTTGGATTAAAGAAGCTGTTTAGAGTATTCATACAACTTGTTAAAACTTTTTGGTGAGCTCAGTTTAGGTATTTTGAGGTTAAACTGTATTACTCTTTACTCTAAAGTGAGACGTTTCCACTACAAAGGTTTGTTAAAAAGAGGTACAGATGTCTTTAACGTGACACATCCTCGAAGTCTGTGTGTGGTTAGTCCTTTGTCATTAAAGAGGGAGATTTTAAAGTCCTCTGGTTCCTGGGAAGCCACATCATGTTTGAATGACAGGGCAACCTAACAGCTAAGCGGCCACAATTACAGAGCTTCAGGAGGAAACCCGTACCAAAACTGGCACTGAAACCGTATGAAATAGGGAGAGGCGTGAAAATTATCAAATGTTCTCTGATGTGAGTCGATGCGGTGAACCAAACTGAGAGATGTTTCCTCAGAGCGGGCACTTTGACGAGTTCAGGTGGTCTCTGATATTGAATTCTTACACTGCGGCGGCTGTGTTTTAGTGATGTGATGAATGAAAGAGAGCAGTGTGGGCTTTATAAACACAGCAGCACATCTGGAATATTGTTGATGTAGCGGGAGATTAACAGCAGGGGGCAATGTTGAACCTGAGCTGATTCCTGACAGAGGAGATGTGAAGAAGAAAATAAATCTCAGTTTTGGTCTATTTTGGATTAAAGAATGGTCTAATATCTCACTCAGTAGTGTGTCACATTAATATTGACCCTGAGCAATGGTTGCGTTCACTTTCATTATGAACTTTTACCATGTAATCTTGTAAAAACTGGTGTTTGTATTTAATTAATTAGACACATACAGTACATATGTTGTCATGTAGGCATTAATACTGACTTACAAAGTATCCAGATGTATACCTGGCACAAAAAGAGAGCAAACGTCTCCATCTCTGCTCTTGTTTGCGTGTAGACTACCTGTAAGTGCTACATAGCAAAAAGACAGAAGTCTGGCACAGAAGCATTACAAGGAAACCTTAGAAAGAAAGTACTTACTCAACATCAACACAATGACTCAAACCGCAGAGGCAATGCTGGGATAAAAGACTTTAAATGCTTCTTTGGGATTCTCATGATACCTGAGAATGTGAATGTGTAATCCACAAAGAGCTGTGGATGTCATAAAGTTACTTTAAAAACAACTTTTGTGAGCGAGGGGTTGCATATTTCACCGGTTTATCGGTTTCAGTTGAGCTTTTGAGGCTGAAGTCAAAAGCAGCACGTCCTGAAGGAAAAGCAAGGCCATCATAGTTTCTGTATCACCTTTTTGACAACATTGCGGCTGAATGTGACCTTTAGAAAAACATTTTCAGAGTCGCTCCTACTGCAGGTCAAAGGTGAGGATGAATTTCCTGTGAGAGTGTGAAGTAAACTGTCAGTTCCTCTCGGAGATGTTGTCATGAACCATCCTCGTGCCACATGTGCAAGTCAGCTACAGAGAAACCTCAGTGACTCGAACTCTTCTCCCCAGGTCTCCAGCCAGTCCTTGTCTTTATAGCACCTGGTAAATGAAAGCAGCTGTGAAGACAGCGGGGAATGTGAACAGGAATGAACACTAGCAAAGCGCGTTATTACACCAACAGGCTTTCAGATCAGGACCGTAAAAGGAAACAGGTTAGGTTATCCTCTGACTCCTGATCCTTGATGAATACTGCGATTTTCCAGCTCATGACCTCCTGAGATAACATCGCAAGTCTGGCCTCTTTTTTTCGGCCCCATGTGGTCTACGGAGACTTTAGCTTTGTCCCCCCTCCTGGGAGCAGTGGCTGTCATCCTTATCGCAGGAAGTCACACAATACAGCAGAGGAATGTAAACCTAGAACTGTATTCCAGCTGAAGAAGGGTAAGGAAAACCAAGAGTTTTAGACGAGTCACTTTTTGTTTTAATTCTCTACCTGATTACTTTGGAACAGAGCGTCCACGGCAGAGAAAAACACGTTTTTATCCGTTTGACAGATGTGCTTTTGTTTTATTTCTGCTGTCAAGAAGACATAACAGCTCTGAGTAATTTGGCACCCACTGGTTTGTTGTCCTCATGGAACAATGCTGCACAAAAACTCCACCTTCATATAATTGGAAGAACTTCAGGGTGTCCATCATAAAAACGTCTAAATGAGGTTGTGTGACACTCAAATACAGACATGTTTCTATTCATTTATTTTCGCAGAAACTTTACAATACTTGTTAGATTCATAGCTTCACTATTCTAAACATTCTGGACCAGTTTCAGACACGGTGGTCCACTTAAGTCACATAACACCACAGGAAACCTCTGCAGTAAAATACAGACCGCAAACTGCAGGCTCTTAATTGAGTAAACAGTAAAATCAGTGTTTCTTGAGGTTAAAGAAGCTTAAAGAAGAAATTGCAAAATTAACATGCCAATACATCAGGGTTACTAATACATCATCTTCTTTCTGTACTGATACTGTAAGTAGAAATGTTCATAAAATGATGCTAAAAAAACACAACCATACATCTACCATGTTTTAGCAGGGACCTTCGCACTACCTAAGCTGTTTAATATAACTATACATCCATTACAATAACGCTTTGAATGACCACAACTTGCATGAATTAGCAACAAACGTTAAATGTCCTTTTCTTTTAAGTCAAGTCAACAAACCACGCTGCTGTCAGCTGTGTGCAGGAAAGCATTCAGAGACAGTAGTTTAGTAATATCAGCAGATAATATCTTACAAAGTTACTAACTGATGTTGGCAGACATGAAGATTTCTGCAGGTATAAACATCAGCAGAAAAAATTAAGCTTTACGTGCGTCCAATGACGGCTTACATGGGCTAGCCGAACACATTGCTAAAGGACCTTTAGCAATGTGTTCGGCTAGCCCATGTAAGCCGTCTATAAATAGACCTTTAGTAAAGGTCTATTTCCAAAAAGTCATACATTTGTCAAGAAGAATTGAATGTTGATTGTCTTGTTTTATGTCTGTCTCCAACACGTATTGGACTGTCACAATAAGAGTAAAAAGTAAATCGCATTACAAGAGTCTTAATAGTTATGATAGGGTGACCATATTCTAAATCCCCCAAAAGAGGACACTACTACACGGGGCGGGGTCACGGAGTCGCCTGTAGTAAATTATGAGATTTTTTCTTGGGTCGAGTGTTTTTTACCCGATTCTAACTCAGTAAGCCCACTTGACACAAACTCAAAACTTCCATACAAAACCCCGGACATTTGAAGGACTTTATAAACTCCCCTGGACAAGGCCGGACAGCCCCCCAAAAAGAGGACGAATGGTCACCCAAAGTTATGATAAAATGTGTTAGTTTGTCATTATCGATATCAGTATCGACCACAATGTTGGGGTATCAGATATTGGTGATAATCCAATGTTGTGCATCCATAGAGAGTATTGTCTAGGTTCTTTTATTTACACTGGCCTCAATGTTAACACAAGTAAAATCAAAATACTTCCATTCTTGATTTGGATATAATTTATGCACCACTGTTTCCTCTTTTCTCTATGTCCTTGTGATCTCTTTCTAGCTACCCACCACTTTGTTTAAAGAAATAAAGAGCAAACATACATTCGAGCTCCATGAATTAATCGCTTGTTATCAATATACAAGCAAGTGGCAGGAATGAAAGTAGGAAAAGGAGATCAGAGTGAAAACCTCACAGTATAGCACGCTGGATTGTGCTGCTGGGCCTTTTGGACTCTACAATAACAGACAATGTCACCTCGCTGAATTCGTTGCTGGGGCTTGCGTGTGTTGCAAATGAGAGAAGGCCCGTGGCAACAAAGATGTTTTTCCAGATAATAAGTGAAGACTCATGTTCAATTATTTTTACCATCCTACTCATGAGCGGTACAACTCAAGGAGAGAAAAAAACATGCAAACAGGAGCTGAAACTGAACTTCAGGTCATTTAAGGGCCACTTCTTCCACTGGGGCTCTGGTTAACCAGTCTCACTTCCCTCTATAGGACATGCATGTGTTTCAGATAAAGCTGATATATTAGGCTGAAGTTAATACAGGCCTCTACAGATCCAATAAAAAAAGTTAGGTAAATATTTCCAATAGAAAACGTGTTTGAAGAACCAAATTTCTGCTCTGTGTCACTGAAGGTTCAAGGAAATTTCATTCTGCTAGGACATGAATTTTGGAAGACGTCCACATCATTGTCTCACTCAGGTTGCAGAATAGCTCAAATTAAAGTGAAGAACTTATTTAACTAAGAGTAAAGAGGGGGAATGAAGCATGTGGGTTTTGTCCTCCGTCCAATACTATAAAACCACCGCGGGAAAGAAACTCTTAGCTGCCAATACAGACAGGAGGACAATTACAGCGGACAGTATCTCTTTCAATTCACCGTGACCATGTGAGTACAACTTAAAGTTGACAGCAGAACCATCTTTGAATTGATTTATTCATCATTATGCAGTTAATTGCTAAGTATCAGATGTTGTTATGGTTCTCAGATAGTTGGCCAAAAAAAGTTCATTTTAGCGTTCGCCTCAGGCTGTCGAGTCGTTCTGTGAGGCTAGGTTAAACAGCAGCAGGAAATAGTTTGAAATTAATAAGAGAGCGTACAAATATGAGAGTTTTATTGATGATTTCTTCCTAATAATTGAGGGAAAAGTAACCACTCTCCTCAAATCTGGTGTTATTCTTGAATTAGATGAATTAGAAGAATTAAATCAGCCATAATGGAAATATTCAGTAACTGGAGTCATGAGTGTTTCACATTAGGGCTGTAAAGTGGACTGGTCGATTAATGGTCGATATGTGCTATGTTGACCAAAATTCTGATTGGTCGACTCTGCTTTTTTCCGCCTAAATTTACAGTCTCTGGTCAATTTCATCAAGAGGAACGTACCAAATGCTAATGGGGGTGTTTTCAGAGCACCCCAGTTTCACAAACATAGACTGTATAGAATGGACGCCATCTGCCTCCTCGCTGGGTGAAGCCACCCGAGAACGGACTGCAGGATAGGTCATAAATCCCGCTTCCTCCAGCAATCCCTATGGAGTTGTGGACAAACTTTAGACATTTATCACACAGAATATAATTTTTTTTCCCCCCTGGTTGTGATGTTGACAAGTAGTTATTATAAGACTGGTTTGTGCTCAAGTCCTCTTTTTTCTGTACAGCTCCATTTTTAAAAGTTATCGGAGGGTTCATGTTTTCTATGATTGACACTTGATACAGCCAATGGGCGTATGAAGATTACGTAGCTCACCCGGGGGACACGCTGTTTGAACCGAGCGTAATCACAGCGATTCTTGGCGACTCTTCCGCCAAATGCGTACAACGCTACTGCGCAATGTTGGTTTCAGGAAATGGAGAAAAAATGCAGAAATAACGAGAGCTTTTTGGCTTCAAATCTGTATACTGGGGGAAAGCACAATCAAGTTGTCCATAGTATATACAGTCTATGGTGATCACAGACCACATCTCAGTACTACTTAGTAGCAGCACATGCCCCCCATAAAAAATGTTATTAAGTGACATGCTTATTCGCACTTCCTTCCTACTGTAATAACTGTTGTTCAAGTCAACATGCAACATTTTTTTTTTTTTATTATTATTCATGAAACTCTTAAATCAGGGACGTTTCTTTGGACAGCTTTAGCCGAGGACAGGTCATCCAAATCGGGGACTGTCCCTGGAAATCGGGGACGTCTGGTCACCTTACTGGAGACCGACTGGAGACAGGAAGATTGAAGAGCGTCCACGTTAATGGACGTCCTGTGGTTTGCTGATATCTACTTTTATTTTGAGCGTTTCAACTTGCGGGTTTCATCAACGTTCATTTTGGGTTTCATTGCCTTCTTGTGCTGATAACAGAAGGGTTTACCGTCAGTGTTCTTTGGTCAAAAATTTTAGGGTTTTAGTCAGCCAACAATTTCTTTGGTTGATTACAGCCCTAATTCACTAAGGTTTTGTTTTCAGAAACTCTGCGAAACACTTCATAATAAACAAATGACGTTTCATGAAAGAATGCTCACGTTTTCGTTTGAGTCGACCACTTGCAGAAATGACTCTTGTACCACATTTATCAAACGTCTCAACACCCCCACATGGTAAAGCAGTCCCATGTGATTCTCCCTGCATGTGTTTGACACTGAGCTCCGGCCTTTGACTCAGACCTGAGGCACATATCGGTCTGCAGACACACGACTTTGGTTCAGGCGTCTGATTTCTTTCTGTTAAACGTGCACACACACCCTCACTAGGAGGCTCAGGTCAAGGAGAGGAAACCTTGCCGATGTGACGCTCAGGGTAACATGGCTGATCTTTTAACACCTCTCCTGTTCTTTAAAGAGGCGACAGATCTCGTTTCCCTCCTTCGGTTACGTCTGATCAGACTGCCGGAGGTGCAGTATGGTGAGGGATTGATGGATGTGATGGTGACATAACTTGAAAATGTCTGCGTTACCCCCTGGAGTCAGGACAAAGTGCAGACCCAGTCGTCTCCTCGGAGGTCGTTGAGTTTAACAGTTTCAGAGTCAGGGGTCGGGATGTTTTTGCTTAAAAGTAGTTAAGATCTGCCGGTTTGCGACTAAAGATGATCTCTGTTTTGTTCAGTTTGCAGAAGGGTGATCTATGTTTCTACTTCCAATGTGGTTGTCATTGTAGAGAAAACAAGCAAATGTAATATAGGAAACTAATTCAAACAAGCGTAAAGCCAAGGTTCATTTCCATATTAAAAAATATAAAGTCTGTGCATAGTTTCCCCTCCGATGATATCCCCCCTGCCCTCCAAACACAACTCTGGCAGAAACCCCATCCTTAATACCTTATCAATCCTCCTGCAGACTGTCAGTTTCCACCGCTGCGTTCTGTATCCTCCTGACCCGGAGCGGTTCAACATTCCTGCTCTCTTATTGGGCAGAAAGACTCGGAGAATGATGAGCGTGACTCTGACCCTGGGCAGACCCTAGCTCTCGGTTTTGCACAGGTGTGTGGCCTCAGGGAGCTGAAAGAGGAGGAGGAGGGATGGACGTCCTCTCACACCCTCAATACAACACAAGCCGCGCTCCTGATACAGAAGTGTCCCTCAGGGTGTTTTATCCGTGACCTGGACTTCAGCTCATATTGGACTCGGTCAGAATCACTTGTCGGCTTTAGTCTTCTTGTTTCTCCTTATTTTGCAAGTTAAATGAGCTGTCCTAACAAGCAGACTCTTTCTCACACCAACTTGTTAAACTGAAGTGAAAATAGGTGAGCGAACCAAATTTGATTTTGTGTGACGGTTTATTTTGGCTGGATGAGAATAAAGCAAAGAAATGGAGAAATAGAGTGATCAAGATTTATGTTTGATGGTTCAATGAAATGTTATTTTAATGCTAAAGGTGATATTTTATTGCACATTGCGTGCCCTGTAGGTTTGATGGCGAGGCGGTGCTGTATTTAGCGTGAACATTTCCAGATGTTTCAAAGTGAAACCATTTAATTGCTCGGTTGGCATCGCGACTTTACCGAAGGGAAAATGTTCTATCAAGTGATTTTCTTTGCATCCAGACTCTTCCTAAGTCTGCACCGTAACTTTGCTCTTTTATGGACATGGAGAAATGTTACAAGCTGATTGGTGCCAAGTGGATACTCGCTCGCTCCTCATTTTCTCCATGGCCTTCACTTTTCTGTCCAAGATTCCCCTCACACGGCACGGTTAAGGAAACAGAGCGATGTTGTCAAGTTTAGTGTAATCTCTCCTGACAGACCCCCATGTGAATAAAATTTAGCATGAATGCAGCCAAGGTGGAGCTAAGTCTTAAAACTGAGCGTGAAACCAAACATCCTATGGCACATCGTTTCCAGTTTTAATACCTCCTCATTACGCAGAAGCTCTGCAGCTCTGATTATGATACATGCAGAACTGTCAGCACCTGAGTCTGACCCCTGTCATTACGTGCAGTTTGGGAGCAGAGAGGAAAGATTTTATCAGGTAGAGTTGAGGACAGCTCAGGCAAGATATTTAGCTGATGGAAATAAAATGGAAAAACTCTGACTTCTTATGATGGGTGTCTGTAGAATAGTCAAAAGTTGGTGAGAGGCAATAAAAACATGTCTCTGCTGCTTTCCTCCCTTTGTCCGTCTCTCACTCTATTAATGACTTGATTTATTTTCACTCTGTTTGGGAAATAAAACATTTTTCCTTTTCTTTTTTCCTTGAAGCTGCTGAGGAGATGAGTAAGGATGGCAGAGCATAGTTTCTGCGGTAATTTGTACGAGTTTCCATGCACTTGAGCACTTTCCGCTCTAACTCCATCCTAATTTATTCACGGAAAATGCTCTTAATGAAATTGGACATTGGGCATTTGCCACTCAAGAAAGGTCAATGCTGCTCTCATCGAAACTCTGAGGTGTCAAACAAGTTTTTGCTGTTCAACCTCAACAGCTTGTTGCCCTTTATGAATAGATGCGCCTGATTACCTTAAAGAGTTGAGCGTTAACTTTGACCTTGTCTCTTTCTTTCAGATGTAAATGAGTGTGAGGAGACCAACGGCGGCTGTGAGGCTCTCTGCTGTAACACCATCGGGAGTTTCTACTGCAGGTGTCCGCCTGGACTGAAACTTAATGAGGATGGAAAGACATGTCAAGGTGAGTCCTCCGCTGTGTTGGAAGTTTGGTTGACGAGGGCCTGTGTCCACTAACACTGTGTTTGTGCAGGCAGTGCCAACAACTTCAATGTCAGAGTGCTTTTTACTGTTGTGAGGTAAAGTAAGGCCAGCTATCCGTCAGAGGACTTTGAGAAGATTTGGAAAAGACTCGTGGAAAACTATCAGCTCACACCTGCTCACATCCAAAGACAAGTGTTTGGAGTTTTTAGTCACAGCCTCGTCTCAGAGTGAGATTTTACAAAGACTGTGAATCCTACAGGGTCACTATTCACAAGACTACAACTAGATCCTTTTAGTATTACAGTTCAGTGTTTCCCATTGGTGGGGAATCTATCTGTGGTGGTATGTGATTTGAAGGAGGGGGGTGGCTCATTAATCAATTTTGTGTTCACATATGACAACTCGCTAATACTCAGTACACGTGCCCTGCAGTGCAGCCCATGTGTGCTGCATATACTGATACCTACTGGGTCCAAGGTGGTGCGTAAAAAAACTTGTTGAGGTGTTGTGGCTTTTATTTAGCCGTGGTGGTGCGACATTACATGTAGGAGAAGCCCTGCAGTTGATGTTGAAAAGGCAAGGCTGATCCGCACTAAGCTCCACTATCCGCTATTTTTTTTATCGCCAGTTATTCTTCATACTTTCTTATTCTCCTTGTTTTGACTGTCAGGTTTGATATTATCACAAACCCAAGACTAGGAAAAGACTGATATAAAACAGCACAGATTACCACCTTAAACTTAATGATCTAGATGACAGGAGCGTGCTCAGACTCCGCTGTGACTCCAGTAAAACTCCAAGATCTTCTTAAGACTTTGAGTTTTTAGTCTGGGACTGTGAAAATCATTTGGTGGAAGCCCAGCATTAGTTGTTCCTCAGCACTCCAGCTTCTATGATCTATTTAAAATGATCTATTTACTTCATATTTGTTTTCAGTCATGGTGTTTTACAATGAAATATATGAGATTGAAAGGAATCAAGTTTTAGCATCAGAAAAGTTGAAAATTGTACCTTAAAGGAACAAATGTGTTGAGGTTCTCCTCTGAAGAGATGATTAGCATGAAAAAACCTTCAAAAATAGCCACCACATTCACATCTGATCGGGGGACAGTCTCTTTTCAATCCACCACCCATGTACCTTTTTTTCTTTCCTGCTGTCAAACTAACAGTCTGCTGATAATTACAAGTTCTGCAGAGAAGCTGAAAGAGGACGAGCATCTCTGGTATTGTGTCCCTCTTGTAATTAAGAGCCCACTCATGTTTCACGTTGGCCGACCAGCGTGTGTTTTGTTCCAGGGTATTGTTTCAGAAAGTTTCAAATGTCCCTCATCCCTGTCGCTGTGGAAAACACTTCAGAACATGAATTACCAAATACCAGCTGGCAGAGTTATACAGCCAATGCTTTATTCATTTTTACCTGTGTGAATTTAGTTTTCTTTTTATTGTGACTGACTGAATATGGATCTTAAAACCAGTAAACAACAGGGTATTTCAGGGAACTACATGGCCAGATCTTTTTTGTAATGATTGATTGAAGATTCAATACGTACGCCATGATTTGGTCTCGTCTCAGATAAAAGTGCAGCTACCTGTCCGTGATGAGTCCCATCACCTCTGATTTAAAACTGAGCTTCTCCTCAAATTTTCCCATGAGAGCTCCTTTTTTCCCTCATCATATTTTGATGTTTTTGATTAGGAAACCTCTGCCAGTGGTTGGTGTAATCAGAATAATGATTCCTCTGTGCTGCAGCCAAGCCTGGAGGAGAGAGAGAGAGAGAGAGAGACGAGGAGCGCTCTGTAGTGCGGCTGTCTGCTGGAGGAAGCAGGGGGCGATCTGATCCCAGTTACGGTTATTAGCAGAGCTGATGGGAAGGTTGTCACAGCTGGCTTCCATAGCTCGCTGCCCTCTGCTGCTGCTGTATGTTGCCGGAAAAAAAAAACTGCTACCCACAGCATTAGTGTCATAATTGACTGTAATAGGCAGGAGAATGAGGAGAGGTAAAAGAGCTGGATGGATGTTGCGGCTGCATGTGCGGTGCTGAGTCTGCAGAAAGTGATCAGCTTACCCTCTGCTTTGAGCGCCTGAGGTAGAGCGAGCTGCAGAGTCAGAGCCGACATGACGCTGGGAGACGAGATCCATTCATTTAGCAGTTAAAGAGTAAATGCTGCTTTGGAGCTGGATCATGAACAACCACATTAATGCTTTTGGGGAATCCTGTCCTTGGCAGTGTGCTGTAATTTTTCCTAAATGAAAGACATCTGCTGGCATGAGCGGGAAACAAACAAACGGATCTTTTGTTCAGTGCAAAAACCCTGAAAATGTATTATTTAATCCCTCTGAAGAGTTCCCTGCGTCTAAAACCCACTTTTTTTTCATGCAGTTTTCAAATTCACTTTTCAACGAGGCGTGTTTGATCAAAGTGGAAGTAGCCAACTGTTAACTACTGTCATGCTGAGTGCAGCACAGCGCAGAAAAGCATCAACATTTTAGCCGTCATGCTAAATGAACTTTACTGCCCGGACCAACATGAGCGTGAAGGTGGGAGCGACGGTCTGCCAGCTCTGACACCTGTCTTAATAGAGAGCTCTGCCCAAAATCAACACATATCTGAGGCTCTCATTAACTCTGAGAGCAGGAGATTTCCCGTAATGACTTCATGAGAAGAGGAAAAAGTTCTCTGAGGTTTTTATGCTGGTATTTTATTCATGTAGCTGAAACCCTGGCTCAGGATCTCAGTATCTGGCCCTGCGCCTATCATCTGTCTTCCATGCTTGAGCAGACTGCTCCCTCACCTAGCTGGTGTCTATGTCCTGCACAAATATGCATTCGATATGCCACGTTTGCAAAACTTTGGATATGTTGGTGGGTGGAGTCAAGAATATGGTCAGTATCAGTTTCTGCAGGTCTGTCTGAGCTTGAGAACTTCTCACATGCTTGTGGTCTGAAGTAACGATGGTGCAGGTGTATTTTACTGACACGCTCAAGCTTCTTACTGAGAAATAGAGTAAAAGATGGAAAAACTCACAGTAACCGTATCCCGCGGAGGTCTCTAAGGGTCATTTTGGTTAAAAAATGGTGGTGATCCTGGACCTGAATGAGATCCATGCGCCCTAATCTTGACATGCTCTTGCTGCTGTGTTTTTGCGTGCTGTTTTGGCAGCAGATGAGAGAGCACAGTGTTAACTCCTGAACAGGAGATTTCACTGCAAGCCTCATTCCTTTCTCAGCTGCTGGGATTATAAATTCTGAACGTGACCTCTAGCGTTTGAAAAACTGGCGCAGCTTTTGTGGCACACATGTCCATTTCGATGAAACAATGCAGACAGTACATTCAGAGGTGTGTTAACAATTTTTATTCTCTGCTAGAAAGTGATGTGCACTCGTAAATCTCAGCTTTTATCGAACAACATTTTTTAAGAAGACGGTAAAATAAAGTGGAGTGTTAGCAAAACGATGCAAATCATGGAGGTCAAAGCATCAATCTCGGTGTAACACAGTGATTTTTATCTCTGCTGGTCGCACATAAGAGAGAGTTTAGGTGGGGGTGAAAGAAAAGTGTGGAGAGAGGGGGGAAGAGAGAAAAAAGGGGAGAGAGGAGGATCTTTAATGTGATGGACATTTAAATGGGAGGGTGAAATGAGGGAGAAAAATCAGGAGGCAGAGGCAGCGAGAAGTAGTTACCATGTTACATTAGGAAAGGATTCAGTACCTGGAGGACTGACCTTTAACAGCTTTTGTCCTCAGTGAATATATATATATATTTTTTTATTTTTGATATTTGAGCAGTTTTAAGAAAGTCAAAGTTTTAAATCCTTCTTCTGACCATGGCTTTGTCAACAGGATGCTGGATTTTCTGCTTGTTTTCGATTGAATTAATGGCTCAGCTGACAAGAGCTGCGAACTATCAACACAGTTACTATAGAAGGATTTGCTATAGGCCACACTGTTACCATGGATACCATGGCTACAATTTGGGCTACCTGGCGGCAGGTAAGTGATGCAGATGATGATGATGCGGAGGCAGAAAATTCACGACTGGGTTTATTCTGAAGGATTTTCACTCTAAAAGATTTGTATTTAAAGCTCCTGTGAGAGATTTTTAACTGGTTATAATGCAGACTGTAATAAAACGTATGTCTTTAATAAGCCACACAAAAAAATACAAAACAAGACCATCAGAATTTTTTATGCCTAAAACTGCTACTGTAAGGCAGGCGTCAAACAAAATGATTACTGTATTTTTTGGGCGATAAAGCTCACCGGATTATACAGCGCACTGTGAATTAACGTGTCTATGTTCACACTTAAGGAGCACTGGATTGTAAGGCGCATTAAGCAAAACAACACAGTCCGGTAAATAAAACTTTATATAACAACAAATACTGGCACAGAAAAATACGCTCAATTATTGATTCCTTCCTCTTCCTCAAATCCACCAAATTCTTTATCTTCAGTGTCTGACTTAAACAGCTGAGCGATTTTGGCATCAAGCATGCCAAGATCTGTCTTGTCATTATCCGAGTCAGTCTCATTGCTGTTATCGGTACTTCGCTGTTCAGTGATGATTCCAGCTTTCGTGAAAGCACAGACAACAGTTACCGTATGCTCTGAATATCCATTGAGCGGAGCGGATTTGTTGCTTATGAAAGTCGTACTTAAGCATTTCGACAGATTTTTGAGCATATTGTTCCACATAAGCGCAACAAGTAATCATACATAAGGTGCTCTGGATCATAAGGCACACTGCAAATTTTTGAGGAGACCTAAGGATTTTTAGTGCGCCTTATAGTCTGAAAAATACGGTACCTTTTTTTTGACAATGTTGTTTACAATGAGGGAGACATTCGACTGATTAAAGAAACAGGACTTTTATTTTAAGTATATAAAAATTTCCATTTTGTCCACAGGGGGCGCCAGAATCAACACAGACAAAAAATCCCTCACAGTAGCTTTAGATATTTTACTTTTTTTTTTTAATCAACAAATCTTGTGCCCGAACCTTGTAACTGTATGTCATTACTCATGAAGTAAAGAGAAGCTGGGAGGTTTTTATAGGGTCAGAGTGTTTGTTTGTGTCTCCATCATCAGACTCTCTAATCAGGCTCATAGATAAAGTGTCTACTGTGTGTGTGCTGTCTGGCACAGTGCTGAAAACATCTGTCAGAGGAGGGGAGGAAAACTTTAATCTGCAGAGATTAGCACACATGACATCATAAATCATGAGAGGGGCTTTGTAACGTGAACACAAACACGGCTATACACTTGAATGTTTCGCTCCAGTTCTGGCAGAGCTGCTGCACAGTTGTAGCGTGTTTACATTAATCATTACTGTAACTCTGATAATACTGCTGATCTGCTGTGTTTTCAAATAGATAATCCTTGGAGATAGATATAAGAATGTTAAGAAATCATCTGTCTTCTGAGAGCTATAAACAAACCACCTTTCGGACATGGACCAAAGTAGTTTTCCATGAGGACGACACAGTGCTGTGGGTGGCTGCGGGCAGAGAATTAATGAGCCTCCTGTAAAAGCCAATGTCTGCTGAGGCTTTGGCTCAAGACTGGTGGAGGAGGATCATGTTCTGGAAGTGGAAACCAGGCTGGAAGGGATTCACTTACTGGGCGCTGGAGCAGAAGGAGAAACAGCAGCTCAACAGAGCTGGATCTGTTTCATGAAAAACCAAACCAAAGGGACGGCATATGCAGCATGGATGGAAAAATGGAGAAAAAGGGCTCCTGCCAGCTTTTCTGGACAAAAGTGGAGCTGATATTTGGCAGCAGAGGGAAAAAGAGGAGGAAAGTTTAGAAGCTCACTTCTGCCCCAAAACCATATTTGAATATGTTAGGGTTATGTTATGAGGGGTAGGGGGTTCAGCTGAAGGATATTTCTGTAATTCAGCCCTCCTGGGCAGCTTTTACTGGAACCATTAGGCAAATAGATTTAAGTCCCTATATGCTAATGCACTTCAGTTCTAGACCTGATCCTAAGAAAGAGAAAGACAGTTTTTCATAGATCTATTACTTGATCACCAAGATGTCATCGTTTACAGGACTGTACTGACCTCAGTCATGTTTTTGTTTGATGATGACATGTTCAGGGTCGTGTAAAGACCTGATTTATGAATTATTGTCAGGTCACTTGTACTGCAGGAGCATAGAGACAGTGTTGTTGTGGCGTGTAGTGTGATAATGAAGCTAAAATACAGGATGTCCATCTTTGAGGATGCCCTCATGGCCAAATCCTCTTCCTGTGGTGAAAGATACATTCTCGTTGCCGGCCATAAAAACTACGGCCATAACAAATATTTTCAGAATGACTGTAACCGAATGTGTGAGTGTAAACTCCCGACTTAGCAATTCATTTCAACTCCAGGGAATATTTTTCAATTTTTCATATATTAGTGTGGTTGACCTTGAATGCTCCTGTTGGTCGTATTTCAAGCAGGACCAGCAGAGCGCTGGCAGAAAGGAGTTTGTATAAAATCTCTGTAGGTTCTGGATCATAAAACAGCAAACACACACACACACACACACACACACACACACACACACACACACACACACACACAGCCAGCTGGTGGACATAGTATTCATCTGTTAGAGGGCCAGGTAAAACCTCAGAAACAGGAGGGGATACAAAACCGAACAAACAAGTGAAGATTTGAGCTTATATTCAACAGGTGGTAGAGACACAGTGCCAAACATGCGCTCATGTGGCTCCACCTGCTGAATATGTAGCAAGAGTTTTTGAAAGTTCATGCCAAATGTAAAATATCTGCACTGGCAGCGTTCACTGCTCTTGTTACCAAAAGGCACGAAAAACGGAAGTGATTTGTGGTTTTCATGCAGAACCCCACAGGGTTCATGCCGGATCGATTACAAAATACCAACAATAAGAGGAAACATCACAACAATAACAACATCAAGACATTTTTAAAATTAGCTAAAGCTGACTCAGTTCCCACAACCCTTTTGCTGCATGTTTTCTCTCACTATCTACCCACTCATGTCTCTGGTCTCTTGGTAGGTGTTCGGTTTAATCAAGAAAATATATCAGTCAGGACCACTGTAGTCAAAATTAATTATTTATTACAAGCAAACATTTTGACATTGGCGGTAGGGCTCCGTTCTGAGAGTTCCCTGCCCTTCCATGTGCTTGCATGGAATGCCAAAGCTATAAGAGGGGAGAGCTCCTCCCTTCCCTTACATGCATGTACATGAAAAGCCAAGGCAGAGGAAGCAGCAGCAAATAAATAAAATTAAGATAAATAACTTTATCTTAATAAATAAATAACTAAATAACACAGAACAGAGCAAGCATCAGTGATGATACATGTGACACTGGTGAGATCAGACACAACATAAACAGGAGGAGTTGGGGTGGAGGTGGATTGCAGAGTGGTTGCAGCAGGCAGAGTAGGCAGGAGAAGCAGTTTAAATTGGGCGCCATTTTGACATTTGCCAATAGGATGTGTGGAGGGTGATCAGCTGAGCTGTCAGCTGACTGAGGGCTGGCTTAAGATCAGCTGACTGTAGCCTTTAGCTTGACTTCATATGCTGCCTGATCTACCGCTATGCTTCATTAATAGAAAAATGCAACAGAATTTAAAATCAAAACCAAGAAGGTCAAAATTAATGACAAAAAGTTCATACGAAAATATAAATATGTTGTTGAGACAGTCAAAGTGGAATTATACAGCAGCATCATGAGACTCAGTACATGCATGTTCCTATCTTTAGATGGTGAGTCCTCACCATAGACTGTATTTACTATGGACAACTTGGCTCCGCCTTCTGTCATTACAAATTTGACGCCGAATTGCTCTTGGTATTTCCTGGATTTTCTCCACTTCCTGGAACCATCACTTGCCCAGTAGTATTGTACGAATTCGTCGAAAAAGTCGCCAACAGTCGCTGTGATGACGCTCGGCTCGGGTGAGCTATGCAATCTTCGTACGCCAATAGGCTGTATCAGGTGTCAATCATAGAAAACATGAACCCCCTGATAACTTTTAACAAATGGAGCTGGACAGAAAAAAAGAGGAATTGATCACAAACCAGTCTTACAGTAACTACATGTCAACATCTCAAGCAGGGTAGAAAAAAATATATTCTGCGTATATTGCTGGAAGAGGTGGGATTTATACTGCAGCCTGCCACCAGGGGGTGCTGTTCTCGCGGTGGCTTCACCCAGCGAGGAGGCAGAGGGCGTCCATTCTATATACAGTCTATGGTCCTCACAAAGCTAGCTGGTTCAGTCTGCAAACACTCTGCGCATTTACATAATCTTTCTCAAAAAAACTTTGACTTCCCATAGAGTCTCTTTGACACGTTGGGAGGAAACTTCTCATGGAGGTGAGAGGTAGAGATGATTGTGTTCATGTTCGCTATATGTGTTTGAATAATTCCCCCTCCTTAGGGAACAGATTGTGTATTTATTTGTTTTAAGGACTGAGGGGTTCGCACTGTGAGTAATGTTGGGAAATTATCTATAGGGTTTATTTGTACTGATCTGTTTAAAGCCTTCGTACCCAAAGACAAATTGTGTGGTCTGAGGGGAGAAAGTCAATGAGTTCTTCTGAAACAACACAAAAAAAAAGAGTCTGATTCCCCTAAATGATTGTTTTAGTGATGACATTACTCACCGTGTTTGTAAAAGAGGGTCTTTTTCACAGGAATTCCTCTCGATTCTTTAAATAACCTCCTGTTGAAGAAAAAATCTGCCTGGAGTCAGGAATGTGTGAATGTGTAGAACAACACGTATCCCAGCCAGACATTACACTTGAGGTCTTTTATGAAGTGTTGGTTGTTTTTACAGGCTTTACGCCACAGTTAAGTACAACTTTTTAATGTGTCAGGGTTATTTGATTGAGTCAGCAAGCTTTCCAAGTTATTCCACTCAGCTAATTTTAGTCCCGCTGAAGAGGAAAAGGTAACTTGTCACTGACCTGGAGGTGAGTGGGGTTTGATATTCGCGAGGATTAATGGAGACAGACAGGCTGTTTCAGAAGTCCACACAAATCCCAGCTCCATAAATCGGCTCAGATCTCACAGGGGGTCTGCTGTGGAAAACAATTTATTAGTCTTTGACCCCTTCAATTAGAAATATTCTTGTTTCATTTTTAGATCTGGTCACACGGTAAAGGCAGTCGTGTTTCCCTCCCCACAGCTTTCTCAGACTAAACGCCTCTCTTCTTCTATTTGTTTATAATCTCCACACTCTGCTGAGAGGAATGTGTATGTTTTGCATCCTCTGATTTACGTTTCCATATGTCCGCCGCTCCCGAGGGACTCCGACAAGAAGCGAAGGAATGTAAATTTGCTTTTAAATGTTCAGTAGTTGCTACCACATGGCAGATTTGTTTGTTTGAGCTGCGTTGCACTTGTAGGATACTTTTCCTTCCTATCCATCATCTGCTTTCTTCTCCTGAGCACTTCTTAATCCCAAAACCTGTGGTAAATTCTTTCCTCAGCTTGTAAGCTCATCTTTTTTTTTTCAACATAATGAGAGGATTTGGTGAAATTGCACTTATTCCTCTTCCTGCTTTTGCCTCTTCCACAGATATCGATGAGTGCCAGGTCCATAATGGAGGCTGCCAGCACAGATGTGTGAACACCAGAGGCTCATACTACTGCGAGTGCAACCCGGGCTCTCGCCTGCATGTGGACGGACGCACCTGCCTCGGTAGGAAAATTTACAGCACAGGGTTTTTCGGCGCTTACGCTTCAAGAATACAGCTCTATTAGTAAGACGTGATGAATGCTGCGTCCACGGCAGCCTAATGTTTGTCAGGTGTTCTCAGTGTGTGTGAAAACTTTCAAGCATACATCAGTAAGTTGATAGAGATAAAATGTAATGATATAATGGACCCAAACATGATTTGATGTCTCTCTCCTCCTTTAATCCAGTTAGAAACAGAGTCTGAATGCATCCAAAGTTTCCCCTCTGTGATGTGGTCCGACTGGCTCAAAACTCACCTAAACATTAAAACACTGTTTTGGAAGAGCGACTCTGCTGGAAGGTTCCTAAAGACAGAACTTGGAGGACAATATTTTTGTTTTAATTTCATTGCAGTTGAGTCACGTATACGTTTTGACGTGAGCACTTACTCATGGAAACCACAGTCATAGCTGAGTCCTCTGAGTGTGAGCCCTGTGTACAGAGTGTGTGTTTTAAACTCCCTGCAGTGTATTTCTTAGAGGAGTTTTGTTTGAGTAAATCATGAGTGTGGATGAAATCAAGAGAAAATCAAAAAACAAAAGATTTTGTCAACAAGCTGCCTACTAGGTTAGATCAGTTTATGATCTCAAAGGACAAAGTTAAAGGGATACTCCGGCGTGAATTTAAGTTACGGTCAAATACACTGTAACACCGAGTTAGACACCCCCTCCAGAGATGATTGTTGCCGACTGCTTGCTTCTCTAGTTATGCCAACTTTGGTAACAACAGCACAATAGCAATACACAGCGGTGTACGTCTCCACGCGCAAACCTCAACCAAAACGCCACTCTATAGCCACAAATAATGCTCAGAACAGCACCTAACTTCATCAACAGTACATATAGGGTCCCAGCCATAGTACTAGCCACCAAACATCTTTTTAACTTCGACTGATTTCTTTAGGAAAGAGACTAAGCACAACTCACCTACTCTCCTCCAGCAGCTGCTTGTTTGTAGGGAGAGCCCTGACGAGTCGATCACAGAGTGCAGTGGAAAATTAATGATTATTACTTCATGGAAATGCAATCAGACCGAGATAATAAGGCAGAAAAACTTTGGCATCTGCAGTGCACAAACAAGATACACAAAAACTCTGATTAAAAAACTCAGAGAGTAGGTGAGTTGTGTTTAGTCTCTTTGCTAAAGAAATTAGGCAAAGTTAAAAAGATGTTTGGTGGCTAGGACCCTATATGTACTGTTGATGAAGTTAGGTGCTGTTCTGAGCATTATTTGTGGCTATAGAGTGGCATTTTGGTTGAGGTTTGCGTGTGTATTGCTATCGTGCGGTCGTTACTAAAGTTGGTATAACTAGAGAAGTAAGCTGTCGGCAACATTCATCTCTCGATGGGGTGTCTAACTCGGTGTTACAGTGTGTTTGACCATAACTTAAATTTACGTCGGAATATCCCTTTAAGTTATTCATCATCTTGTTTGTCCTCTTCTTTTTTTACTCCAAACAAACAGAGAGTGTACCACTACATACACACTGCAGATGGTTCCACTTGCTAGGTTACGAAAATAATCAAAACAAAGCTCCGGATGATTATTTTCTTTTAATTATTTAATCAGACTGTTCTGTTACTTCCTGAAGATTAAGACTCATGTGATTTTTTGAAAAGTTGAATTCACAGGCAGCAGAAAATACAACGTGACCCCACTCGCTTCTCCTTCCTTTTTTGATTGTTGCCCGAGTCACCCTCGACTCAGCAAAAAGTTACATGGATCTACTTAAAATGGAAATTTGATTATCTGCATTTTATTACCCATGAACCAACTGGAGCTGAATATTGTGTGAATGGATTGAAAGCTCAGAACAGTCACTAAAAGGAGCTTTTGGAGTACGATTGTTTTCTCTGGAGCTACGAGGAATTTTGGACATCAACAGGAGAAATATATTTTTGGTGAAGTTGCAGTTCATCGTCCAGTGTTTTTAACTCTGAGATACTGAGATTTTCTTGACTGTGGAAAAGACTGAGTCAGAAAAATAATGCAAAACCACAGATTGTCATTATGGAGGTCCTTACAAGTAATACGTGTTACATGATTCTTATGAAAGTAGTGAAGATGAGGGTTTAAGTATCAGTCTAGAGTTTTGACTGCGTACCTCTGTGAAGTTTTGATTCCTTTGTCCTTTCCCTAATTCTTCAACTCAATTCCTCAAAAATTATCTCATCACTCTCGACATTTCCTGTGTTGTCTCTGTCAAATCATCTCCATTAGATTCAGTTTTTTTCTACTAAGAGTCATTAAAGGTAGGACTACAGAGCTGGCAGCAGCTTGTGCACTCAGAAATGTATACAGTGCGCTGACATTTAGAGTGGAAATCATAATGTGTTTCTTGGCTTCATAAAGTCTTTTCATTGTCTTATAGAGCAGAGAGTGTACTGTGGCAGGGACCCGTCTGTCCCTGAGAGGCCGTTGTGTGACAGCTGTTGCGTGAAAAAAAAAAAGTGACTGATTGCACTAATAATCTCGGCGCACATCTGGACTGACTCCCAGGTGAAGCTTATCTGTGCGGCTGCATATCCGCTGTAATGAAACTATGCAGAGGCTCGCTGCGAAAAGCATCCATCAAGTGCAAAAATGTCTCCAAAGCTTTATGAATAACAAAGATTTTACGTATTATGCACAAATATAAACTAGAGAGAAGACACACAGCGCTCAGCTCTGAGAGCAGATGTCCTGATCTTATCCAGCTCATGATCTGCCAGCACAGGTCACATGAATCCCACACACTTAGCGTGTGTCTGAATAATATTTGAGCTGGAGAGCGCTCACGGATTTGACGTGTACTCGTGATTGATGGATCTCCAGCCTTTGACGATGAAAAACTTTGAGAGCGCCAAGCTGTTCGGCCTCTGACCGCAGTTTTCTCTGAGGGGGTCGGGTCCAGGTTGTCCACAGGGGTTTCATCTGTTGATTCAAAGAGGTGAAACACAGACAAAGAAACGATGATTCATCTGGTTCAGCCTTTAATCTCATCAGCAGGAAAAAGCTGTCCACGACAGAGGTCCTGCCATTCAAATACCGCTGTGATTTTTGGCCCTTTTTGGGATGTTTCTCTCATTATTCAGAGCATATCAACTCTCTGAGGTATTCTCTGTGTTTATTGTTAGAATATCACGACCACAGCCGTGACGTTTGTGCGAAATAATCTTATTAATGTCTGACTACAATCAAATGAAAAATCAGAAAATGTCAAACTTTGTTTTTTTTTCTTCAGAGATACCTGACTTTTCTCTTTTTTTGCTGCTGCTCTTTTAACCGTGTAACTTACTTTCTTTCATTTTCTCTCCTCTGCAGCGACCCATTCCTGCGCCATTAGCAACGGAGGATGTGAACACTACTGTGTGCAGCAGTCTGCTGCTCATTTCCACTGTCGATGCAGGCCAAATTATGTGCTAGCAGAAGATGGCAAGCATTGCAAATGTAAGAGCCTAAACTGATCTCTGTTGTAAGATGATAATGAATAAACACCAACCCGCAGAGCAGGGTAGAAAAAGAGTAATAAGATGGATGAATGACCAAAGGAGAGCCAACAAAAACAGATTATTTTGGACGTTTATGAAGGATTTTCATCGTAATATTAAAAGCATTTTCCTGCATCTGCTGCCAGTTGTAATTATCTGACAGGATGTCCCCTCTGGAAACTTTTTAACTGACATTCATGGGATGAGACATTGAACCTGAGTGAATCACCGCTATGAGCTTTATTGTTCTTCAACATAAAATCAGTGTTTTCACGTCCTCGCTTCCTCTAATCTCTGTCTGCAATCTTTGCAACCATTTAAATTAAATGGGACTCTAAGGATGGGGAATTATACATTTATGCATTTTAAATTACCGCCTTTCAGATGCTTTTACTTTGTAATTGTTGGCTGTGAGGACCTTCCTCTAATTTTTGCAGAGCTGCAGGTTCTCATCCCAGATGCCTGACAGGCTTACACAAGTCAAACTCAAACAGAGGGCAGTGAAGAGAGAACACAAACAGAAAACTGTGTGGGTTAAGGCGCGTCGTATATTCTACCTTAAGCTTCATTTTTACATTTTTATTTTATCACTGATGTGCAAGTAATATTGTTTTTCTAATTAGTATTATTTTAACTTTTTTTTCATATAGTATGCCAAGGACTTAAGCCTCTGTACATGTACGAAAGAGGATTAGGGCCAGATGAAGAGAAAAATTTTTTTTGGAGAATTTTGAGATAAAATATAGAAATTTTTAGACTAAAGTGGAAATTTTAAGATTACAAATTTCAAAAAGTTGTGAATAACGTCAGAATTTCGAGATTACAAAATACAAATTCTGAGATTAAAATCGAAATATTGAGATTAAAGTTGAAATTTTTAGGTTCAAAATCAAAATTATGTCAGTATAGTCGAAATTTCCAGATTAAAAATTGAAATTTAAAGCATAAAATCGAAATTTCGAGATTACAAAATGTTGAAATGTTGTGAATAATGTCAAAATTTCAAGATTAGAAAATTGAAATTTTGAGGTTAAAGTCGAAATACTAAGATTAAAGTTGAAACTTTGGAATTCAAAAATCATAATTATGTCAACAAAGACAAATTTTTGTGATCAAATTTGAAATTTCAAGATTAAAAATTGAAATTTTGAGATTACAAAAGGCGTGAACAATGTTGAAATTTTGAGATTAAAAATTTACAATTTTCAGATTAAAGTCAAAATTTCAAGATTAAAGTCAACATGAAGAAAGTCGAAATTTTGACTTTAATCTTGAAATAGAAATTCAAAAAATGTATCTCTTGTCATGATTCTTTTTCACTCTTGCCTTGGCTCTAATCCTCTTTGGTATTACATTGGGTCGCGGTTCTGCCAGATGAGCTGGACTGCCGCTCCTGTAAACTGGCCTTTGACTGGGACATGTCCGACATATGCTGATGTGTGTGTGTGTGTGTGTGTGTGTTTTTTGTGTTGCAGTGCAGAATCCCTGTGCGGATCAGAATGGAGGCTGTATGCACGATTGTCGGGTTGATGGTGGCAAAGCTCACTGTGACTGTAGAAACGGCTTCATCCTGGCCGAAGACGGGAAAACCTGCGCAGGTAAATTTACAATGGTCAATTTGATTTGGCAGTGAGAAGACTATATGGGAAAAATTAAAGGGAAAAAAATGTTTTATCTGTCAATCTGACCATCTCTGTATACACTCATCTTCCAGTCTGGTAGAATTTTGATGTAAAGAGTTTCCTCAGCACTTTAAATATTTCTGTATTTAAACATTGGCCCAAAGAGTCAAATATTAGGATTGCAGCCAGCAAAGAAAAACAAATCCACATTTCCATTTCAAAATGTCAGGATTGTTGTATGGTAATTGAGAACTCCAGACAAGTTATAAATGGTCTCGGCTGTGATTTAAACACATTAAGATTTTTAAGAAGAAAGAATTTAGACGTTAGAGGAAGATTCAAGAATTTCAGGCCAATGTTTCCATTTTAGTTTCCAACTCGGAGGAGAAAGTTTGAAAAGATGCTTGTCAGGGCTGAGATTTGTGGGAAGCTCATACTGTATAAAACAAAGGTGGATGCAAATGAATCTGTGCATACCAGATGTATTTCTCCTTTTTATCATATTTTATTCCTTTTCTACATATTTTTGTGGCAGATATCGATGAGTGCGAGACAGAGGAATCCAACTGTGCTCATGGCTGCCACAACACCCTGGGCTCCTTCGCTTGTGTGTGTAACACGGCGTATGAGCTGGGATCTGATGGAAAACAGTGCTACAGTCAGTACAAACCCTCTTTGTTTTCATACTTTACTTTATGTTAATTACTTAAGTTATTCAAGATATTTCAGTCCTGTGATCAACATGAGTTATCTCTTCTTCATGTAACAGGAATTGAGATGGAGATTGTGAACAGCTGTGAGAACAACAATGGAGGCTGCTCGCACCATTGCCAACATTCAACCAATGGACCTGTTTGTTCCTGTAACCAAGGCTACAGACTTGATGATGACCTGAAAACCTGTGTTGGTAAGGCATGATCGTGCACTGACTCAAAATGAGAACGGGACATGAACCGTAAAAGTTCACATGCATAGAAATGAAGTGGGTTACTCTCCCTTTATATCATCTTATCTGGAAGTTTCAGCCCTGCTGAGGACACATCTGCTCTTTTCTGGACAGTATTCAGTTTGTTTTGTCCATTTTTTCCCATAAGTCTGCACTTTAGTCCTCGGGTCATGAGTCAGCCTTTCCATTAGATACATTTCCTCCACAATGTCAAATCACTCTGTACTGTAAACCCGAACAAGTTCAGAAAACTCCAAGTTTTGTCATGACTGATTACACAAGAACTTTTAAGTTATGCTGATAAATTCTTTGAGTTACACTGTAATTAAAAAATATATGTTCTTATTAAGTTTAATCTATTTTTTTTAATTCCCTTAACTTAACTTCAGGGATTAATAAAGTTCTTCTTAATCTTAATCTTAATATTTATGTCTTCTTTATACTTAAATGATTTGATTGAATGATACTTATAAAAACTAAATTACATGGACTTGGAAAATTAAATGTACACAATGTATTACATCAATAGTATCTACTCAAAATATTACACCCTAATGAACTCAAAATATTTACCATTTGCCAACTTAAAATGTACAAGATGCCCTGTTTTCAGTTCATAATGCTCAAATCTTGGATTTGGGGTTTCACCACTTCCTCATGATGACCTTTTTGAACCGTATCGCTGGTGATAAGGCCCAGGTACACAGTCTGGAGGTCACTTGGGATCTTGTAACCTAAAATTCCCTGAACAATCTGAACAACCTTGTCCCAAAATGTTTGTATTTTTATATAAAGCCAGGAAATGTGTAAGTAATTGTCAATGACATGCCCACACTGTCTGATATTGTAGCTGTTTTCCTATAATAATACTGCAGATTTGGATTTGGGCAAATTGCTGTCGAGGTGTTAATATCTAAAGACAAACTCTGCCTAAACAAGTCAGACACAATGTGTAGGTGCGGATTCAGCTTGGGGTACTGAAGGAGCTCTTATCCACATTTGTAGTATTTTAATAGGAGTTAGCTTTACACAGCCCAAGTGGAGATTCACAGAGGTGAAACAGATTCCTCCACAATACATTCCTGTAAGATATCATCTTTCGATATTATAGCAATCTGTCTTCAACTTTCAACTCCAGCTGTATTCTTGTCTCTTGAGTTACTTGGACAAGAAGGAAGTCTTGGATGAAAGTCCAACTATCGGCCACACTGGAGGTCTTGAATAGCGGTCAGTTGCTCCCTGAGGAAAACTGAGGATGAATCAACAGAATGGATGGCTGATGATTTGACTTTGATCGTTTTTCAAAATGTCGTCCATGTTTCTGTTAAATTGTTTGCTGAATGAAAGTCTGATTTGTGTGATACTGTCACTTCCCTTGGGAATAACTCATTCGATGTAGTTGATCGTTGAATCCTCAAGACTGTAGAGAAACAATAATAAAAAAAACAAGACGATAACAGGATTTTTCCTTCCCTCCTTCAAGTATAAAACATTTTTAACAGCTGATGCTCATAAATGAATTTAAAAAAAACATGAACTTTCTGGACAGAAATGCTGCTCTGGTGAGGAGATTGAAAATCATGATTTGTGGGTCGACTCCTGTATGAATCTTTCTCCTCTTCGTCAGCTATAACTTTTCCCTCAATTAGCTGTTAAATCTGTACAGTTTATATTTTCTCATAAAAGTTAGTCGGAGTGTGTGCAACATACCCCTGCTGTTGGCTCATGATGCTTGTGTTTCTGCTTGTTGTGTTTGGCAGACGTGGACGACTGTGGAGAGCAGAGCTCCTGCTGCGAACAGGACTGCACCAACTACCCGGGAGGTTACGAGTGCTACTGCTCAGCAGGATACAGACTCAACTCAGATGGATGTAGCTGTGACGGTATTTTGAACCCTTAATCATTATGTGGATTTCGCTTCCAGTTTTATGTCACTTTATAAACCTGAATTCAAGCCTGTGTTGGATTTGGCAGAGTTCCAGTTTGACTCTGAAAACTTCAACACAAACATACTCGGTGTTTTTGTTTCACTCTATGATTTAAAGGAGGTTTCTCTCACTTAGATGTCTTTGGTTTTCTTATAGATTCTCCTCTCATTGTGGGAAGAGTGTTTAAGTATTTGTTGTGTCTGTGCTGTTTAGATGTAGACGAGTGTCTGGCCGTTAATGGCGGTTGTGATCACACATGCCAGAACAGCGCAGGATCCTTTCAGTGTTTCTGCCGCCGGGGTTTCCGTCTGGATGAGGACCGGCAATCCTGCATCCGTGAGTACCGGCAATCATGCTAAAAAGAAAGAGAGAGAGAGAGAGTGAGAGAGAGAGTGTGGGTGAGTGGGGATCACACCAGAAACATGCCAATGGAAACCTGGCGCACGCCTTCTGCAAAATACATCCTGTGTTCAGAGTCGTTCATTGAGACTGTAAGCATTCAGAAAGAGTTTGAAATTTAACAGTCAGCTGGAAAAAAGTGGGCAGGTATAGAAATGATCCAAAATAGATTTTCAGGTCTTGAGTTATGTGGATTTTTACAGCAGACCTGACTCAGTGGAGAGAGGATACTTTCGTACTGAAAACTAGTGCTGATAGAAGTTCTTGGCTCTTTACTTTAATAAATGTAGTGATAATGTATGAACCACAGTGAAGTAATATTCTGGTACAAGTAAAAAAAACGGATTTGACAAATCAGCAAAAAAAAAGGAAAAAGTTACCAATTTAAGTAAAAAAATCCTCACTATCTGAAACTCAGTTTGATAGATTAGAGTTAATGTATCAGGTAAACGTGCTTTTAGGTGTCACACTTATTCAATAGTACCAAAAAAACATAATGTCAGAAGAATCAATAGGATATATTTGCAGAGTCTGTAATCGACATTCTCCTCGCTTGTCTCTCTGCAGCACTTGAAGATGCAGTTGAGGCCTTGTCCAGCGGGGGAGCCATCGAGCTACCTCTCATCCGCCCTCAGCTCACCTTGATGCAGGACTACAGCCAGGCTCTGGAGCGCTACGACGACTACGAGGACGACGAGGGAGAGCTGAGGGCCGAGAGCAACCTGGCAGAGAAATTCGGTGGGTTTCCTCCCTCAACCATTAACGGCTCATTATCATCAACAGGAACCTGTATCCCATTACCTGAGTGTGACTCCCAGGAGGTGTAGACTCATTTACTGCGGGCTGAAACAGACTGCATGCTGAGGGTTAATTACTGAGATTCATGTTTGCAGACTGTTGGTACACACTGTATCAGCAGAACTTCTCCGGCAGGAATGCTGAAGCTTACGAGAGCTGGCAGCTCAACAAAGCCCGAACAGGAAATCAGAGGGTCTGGTTCGTGTTATACAAACTTAATAAACACTTTTTACAACAGTTAAACTTGACATTTTGGTTGTTGGGGTTCTTTTTTAACTTGACATAAACAAAAGCTAAAAACAGTTTTGACATTTGTTGACCTGAGAAATGTTGAACAGGGTTTGAACACCGTCCACTTAGATCAGTTTTGAGACGGTTTGCAGACTTTTTCCACTTTCCCTTTGCCTACGTGTTCCTCCCAATTTCCACAAAAGCTTCAACGTTTTCTGTCAGCATTAAAACTTTTACAGCCTCTGACATTCAATGAAAAAAATATGTGTTGTGCCTTCACCAAGCAAACATTGGACGCTTCAGGATGAACTGAAGTTTTCATTTTACCGCCTTGTTGTTCCAGTGTGTTTGGATGACACATTCGGCAATGACTGCAGTTTGACTTGTGATGACTGCTCTAATGGAGGAAGATGTAACACATGGAAAACTGGCTGTGATTGCCCTGATGGATGGACGGGCATCGTCTGCAACCAGAGTGAGCATTAAGATACACAAATACAAACACATATGCACACAGTTACTACAGTACCACAAACAGTTTGGAGGTGAAAACCCTTTCATTTCTAATCCCACAGCATGTACAGAGGGCTATTTTGGGAAAAACTGCTCCTTCCCCTGTAAGTGTAAAAACGGTGCCAGCTGTGATCCGGTCAGTGGGAGCTGTCGCTGTCCACCAGGCGTGAGCGGGGACTTGTGCCAAGATGGTGAGTTCAGTTAAGAACAGAAGTACTTGTTCCTTAATCTTCAGTGAAAACATTTCTGTCCTGTCACAGCGGGATCAAAGTTTCTCAGAGGTAGTTCACTTGAGTTTACCGAGTTTTACTTTTCTCTGTGCAGGCTGTCCTAAAGGCTTCTATGGAAAACAGTGCAATAAGAAGTGTAACTGTGCCAATAACGGGCGCTGCCATCGGACTTACGGAGCCTGTCTGTGTGATCCCGGTCTCTACGGACGCTTCTGCCACCTCCGTAAGTTCAGACATTACTGCGCTCTTAGCCTTGATCGGTCATGTAAGGATTATTCAAACATGATTTGACAGACTCCCTCTCTTTTCTTTAATTTTTACAATATTTAAAGGGTTAATTATCCATTTTATCGTCGGTGAATCGTCCTCCTGTGAAATCACAGCTCCTCAATCTTCTGTTTTCCCTCTTCAGCATGTCCTAAGTGGACTTTCGGTGCCGGCTGCTCTGAAGAGTGTAAGTGTGTCCAGCAGAACACGCTTGAGTGTCACCGTCGTCATGGCACCTGTGTTTGTAAACCGGGTTACCAGGGCAACACCTGCAAGGAAGGTGAGTCCACTGTCATAGTGTACGACCTAACAGAAGACTAAACTGGTATTAAAGGGATATTCCGGTGTAAATTTAAGTTAGGGTCAAACACACCATTTGTGGGGGAGCCCTGACGAGTCGATCACCAAGTGCAGCAGAGTTTCGCAGCTCAAGGAAGAACATCTATGATTATTACTTAATGGAAATGCAATCAGACCGAGACACTAAAGCAGAAAAACTACCGCGTCCGCAGTGCAAAATGATTATTTTGATGATTATTACTTCACGAAAATGATCCGCTGCACTCGGTGATCGACTCGTCAGGGCTCCCCCACAAACAAGCGGCTGCTGGAGGAGAGTGGTTGAGTTGTGTTTAGTCTCTTTGCTAGATAAATCAGGCAAAGTTAAAAAGATGTTTGGTGGCTAATACTATGACTGAGACCCTCTATGTACTGTTGATGAAGTTAGGTGCTGTTCTGAGCATTATTTATGGCTATAGAGTGACTTTTTTGTTGGAATTTGGCGTGATGACGTAGACCGCTGTGTATTGCTATTGTGCGGTCATACTAAAGTTGGTATAATTGGAGAAGCAAGCAGTCGGCAACATTCAACTCTTGTGTCGGTGTCTAACTCGGTGTGACAGTGTTTTTGACCCCGACTTGATTTTATGCTGGAATATCCCTTTAACTGTTTCTTTTTGTTCAGTTTTAATGGTTTCAGAGATTTGAATCCACATTAATCAACAAAACATGTAGAAACAAAAGTGAGAGACAAAGATAGTTAAAGGAAAAAAGACACTGACACATCACAATAGAAAACAATAAAATCAAAGAAATAAAAATAAAAGATAAAATAAATAATACATAATAGTAATGATCATCCACAAAAAATGTGAACAAAGAATTGTCTCCTGTAACTCTGACCTATTGTCTTCAAATATTTCTGTATAATCACATCTGTCACTGATGGTCTTGTTTGCTTTTGCAGCTCAAATAGAGCCATCAGTAATCGTTTCAGTCTGTCTCATAAGAAGTCAAAGTTTCTCAGAGAAACTTCAATAAACTTTTCATGTTGCCAAACTCGGTGTGTAATCAAAATGCATTTCAGCTGCAGCCAGATCAATTTTTTCTCCTATTATTATTATTATTAAAGTTATCACATATTTACAGTATGAGTCAGTGGAGGGGTCACTGCTGACAAAAGATAGACAAACCCTGAGAAACTCACAGAAACACTTCTTAAAGTTAGATTTTCACTGTCTCCTGTTACAGTCGTCTTTACAGTCTGAGTTTTTATCTCCAGAGTGTAACCCCGGTACATATGGAGCCGGCTGTGAGAAGAAGTGCTCCTGTCCACCTGGAGTGTCATGTGATCATGTGACTGGAGAGTGTCAGAGGAAGTGTCCTCCTGGTACTCATGGGGAGAACTGTGATCAGGGTAGGTCTTAGTTTAACCCGTCAGTGGACCTGTCAGTAAAGTTACCTCACTGTCTGCAATTGTGTCGAAATATAAGAGGAATTCAATCAATAAAGTTCTTCTTCTCCTTCTTCTTCTTCTTCTTCTTCTTCTTCTTTTTCTTCGTATTCTTCTTTTATTACTCTTCTTCTTTTTCCTCTTTTTCTTCTTTTTCTTATCTTCTTCCTTTTCCTCTTCTCCTCCTTCTTTTTTCTGTATTCTTCTTCATCTTCCTCTATTTCTCCCTCTCTTTCTTCTTCGTCTTGCTCTTCTTTTTTCTTGTTCTTTTTTTCCCTCTTCTTCTTCCTATTCTCCTTTTTCTTCCTCTTCTTCTTCATCTTCCTGTTCCTCTTCTTTGTATTCTAATTCCTCTTCTTCTTCTTTCTCTCCTTTTCCTTTTTCTTCATCTTCTTGTTCTTGTTCTTGTTCTTCTTCCTCTACTTCATCCTATTCCTTTTCTTATTCTTCCTCCTCTTCATCCTTTTCTTCTGCTTCATCTTCTTCTTCTTCCTCTTCTTCTTTATCTTCATATTCCTCTTCTCCTTCCTTATTTTCCTATTCTTCTTCTTTTTCTTTTTCCTCTCCTTCCTTTTTTCTTTCTCTTCTAACATTTCTTCTTTTTTTTCTTCTGCTTTCTCTTCTTCCTCTTCTTCTTCCTCCTTTTCCATTTCATTATCTTCTTCTACTTCCGCTTTTTCTTCTTCCTTTTCTTCTTCCTTCTCTTCTTACTTTTACTCTTTTCTTCCACTTCCTCTTCCTCCATTTCTTCCTCTTCCTCTCCCTCTTCCTCCTTCTTTCCTCTGCCCTGTCTCAGACTGTCCGGAGGGTCGTTTTGGAGCAGGCTGTGTTCACTCCTGTAACTGCACCAGCGCTCCGTGTGACAAAGTGACGGGTCAGTGCAAGTGTCCAGCGGGGACAACAGGAGAGCACTGTGAGAACTGTGAGTGTCGGTGTTTTATTTTCACAGTAATCTCTCAAATGTCTCATAATTACAGTGATGATGATAATTTTCTTATCCAATCAGTGTGTCCGGACGGTCTCTGGGGTCCCGGCTGCACACAGACCTGCCCTCTTTGTGAGAACGGAGGCATTTGTGATAAACACAACGGGTCGTGTAACTGTGCTCCAGGGTTCATGGGCAGACTCTGCCACAACCGTGAGTATCAGCGCTGTGCGTTCTTAGTTTCCATGGCAACGTGCATAAAATAGTGACCCATCCAAGAAACTCTGCGGTAAAAGGAAATGTTGCAGCGGTGCAGTTTGGACGAGAAGTAAAGCAACATGTCAGATGATGGAGGGGAAGGTTTTCTCAGGGGTCATTAACTAAAATCCTTCAGCTGTTTGAAAGCTGCTCCTCCTTCACTCCGGATGAATCAATTTATTCCATTTTCAACAACCACAGCTCTGAGGGATTCACTCGACGGCTGAATTATAACCAGAACTGTCATGGGAACCGGCTGCGCCTCCATGAGATCTGGTAAAGATGGTTTTGGTAGATTAGTCATCACGTTTGAAATATCCTGTTCCCTTGTGCAGCTTGCCCGAGTGGACGCTTCGGTCAGGGATGCCTAATGAAGTGCGTGTGCGAGAACAACGCTCGCTGTGACCCTGTGAGCGGGCGGTGTACCTGCGCCCCTGGCTGGACCGGACACCACTGCAGGAAAGGTAACAGCGCTGAAAAAAACATACTTTACATCACCTCAGAAAGGAGGATTACATTAATGGGACGTTTCTGCTGCAGCCTGTGACGCCGGACACTGGGGGGCCGACTGTGCGGAAACATGCGACTGTAGGAACGGAGACGGAAGCTGTGACGCGGTGACGGGGCAGTGCAACTGTGAGGCCGGTTACACTGGGACACGCTGCCATCAGAGTATGTCATGTTCTAGTTACAGCATTTTAAGGCCAACCAAAATGTTCATGACTAACATTTTTTTGATGTATTTTTGAATCGTACTTTCTCCACTGATTATGACTTTAAAGGAATTATAAATGCAGCATGATGATGATAACTTGTGGTCACTCTACAAACAGCATTTCAGACTGAGATGAGAGTCTGAGGGCTGACATTGTTAACAAATGACGAGTTAACTTACTGTGGTGCATCATTCTGATGCTGTTACTCATGGTGTGACCACCAGATGATGCCAGAGTAAAAATGTTCAATCTAAGAGAGTGATTTTATCTTATTGTGCTCTCATCAGTTTGTTGTGTGTGTGTCTACATTACTTTAGATTCTGTACTTTTTCTATCCCATAATCATACGGTTGTGCCTTATGTTTCCTCAGAGTGTCCAGCAGGCATGTTTGGTCTCGGCTGTCGTCATCGATGTCAGTGTGATAATAAAGCTCTGTGCGACCATGTGAGCGGAGCCTGTACCTGTCAGGTGGGATGGACCGGAACCTTCTGTGAAAAGCGTAAGAGCAGCTCCTCCATCACCTTCTGAATCTGAATATATGCTGCTAGGGCTGAGCGATATGGGAAAAAGTTTAAAACGATATATTTTTTCATACCAGTCGATATCGATATATATCACGATATAAAAAAATCACTTGTCAATCTTAAATGTTCCTTGTTACTCTTAAATGAAATTTAACAGTGCTTATTGATAGCATGTCTTTTGCAATAAGCTACTGCTTCTGTGAGGTCTGTTTCGGCTGCACAGGCGCCATGGCCTCCTTGCTCCGCTCGGGGGTGGAACCTTTTGCATTGCACGTGCTCTGCTGCATGTCACTGCTTCAGGTGGTGAAAAAGATTTGAGGTATTCCCCGACTTTGCAAGAACATGTACTCGACATAATTTGCAGTGCACATTACTCTGCTTCATGTCCGACCTCAAAAAAACAAAATACCTCCACACCGCCGACGTTTCGTGCCAGTTTTGTCGACAGTTGTTGTCATCATCTGTTGAGCCTTCATCTGCATTTCTTCCAGGGGTAGCACTCATTTTCTTTTTTTCTCACCGACAGCGCTGTCAGCGTCATATGTTAAAGCATTATGATTGCCTGTTGCTGCAGTCTGCTACTATGCAGTTGTTTGCTACTTGGTTCTAATTCAGCACATGATTGGCTCAGTGCAAAGCAGACCGACTCCCCTTTTCATTGGCCATTTGTATAGTTTACCAAAACATGGCAGAATGCCGACTCTTGAAAAGCATACTGACCATGTTTCATATTGATATGCATCCATCCATCTGGGGATGGGCTGGAGCCTATCCCAGCATCTTCGGGCGCCAGTTCGTCGCAGGGCTGACATATAGAGACGAACAACCATCCATGCTCACATTCACACCTATGGGCAATTTGAAAATGACCAATTAACCTAACCCCACTTCTGCATGTTATCGTTGTATCACCCAGCCCTATATGCTGCTAACAGGTATTCTGTTAACTCCTGTGTGTGTTTGTGTGTGTTTCAGCGTGTCCTCAAGGTTTCTACGGGCTGGACTGTCAGGAGAAGTGTTTGTGTCTGAACGGAGGAAGCTGCGATCACGTCAGCGGAGTTTGTTCCTGTCCTGCAGGCTGGATCGGTCCACTCTGCAACCTCAGTGAGTGACAGCTTTAGCGCAGAGATTTTGACTCCTGTTGTGTGACGGACAGGTTTAACTACAGGTTCAGGTGCTTTTGTAACAGGACATATATGTAGCAGCGTCCGAGCACAGAGAGCATCTTTGTAACCCTGACTCAGAGTGGAACAAAACCTCGCTCAGTGTCAGAGTTATTTGGGAAAACCCAGCTCAGTCACACATGAGAAAGCAGCGGCTGGGTGTTCCCCATGCGGCGTCCTGGATCACTTTCCAGACTCAGGAATTTCCACTTTTGATCCGTGGAGTTCATGAAAAGGTAATCATATTGTTTGTCCTCTCATGGCAGCGTGCCCGACCGGTTTCTTTGGGGAAGGATGTAACCAAACCTGTACCTGCCGTAACGATGGCATCTGCCACCCGGCCAGCGGACAGTGTGTGTGCACGCCGGGCTGGACCGGACCCAACTGCACAGAAGGTCAGCGAACACAACACTGACCAAAGCATTTCTATAGCACAGGTAAATCAGGGGTCACGGGATGATTGTGTTTGCATTTCCTTCTCCCAGAATGCCCTGCAGGGTTTTACGGCACCGACTGTCGACAGCGCTGCTTGTGTCAGAACGGAGCCACCTGTAACAGAACGAACGGAAAGTGTACATGCCCCAGAGGATGGACCGGCGCTGCGTGTGAACTCGGTAAGACTCCGAGTCTTCATATGAGTTTCCATAAAACTACCTTCTCACGGATCATTGAGAGAAAACTCACTCCAGCTTCGGTCTGGTGTTTGTACTTTTTGCCGCTATTTATTAAAACATACTTGGAGCGGAGAACAAGAGAGAGGCCAACATCCTCAAAATCTTTTAACTTCGCAGTCGAGTCAAAGGGGGACAAACGTTCGGGGCTTTTTCCTTTATTGTGGTGGAAAATTGTGCAACTCTGGCAAACACCGAAGTTGTAAAGTGACATTTATAACCAGTTAGTTTCGCTTTAAAACAAATCTGGAAAGAACTTATTAATCTGTTGCTGCGTCCTTTGGTCAGGGGTCTTTGCGTGGTTAAAAACACAAAAGTCAGACCCAGCTGGTGTAAAAACGAAATGTTCCTGTGACTATTACAGTGTTTGTGTGTTTCTCACATCCACATGCGCAGCCTTGTGCATGTCTTCCTCCATGTTTCTCAAATTACCGTTCATTCCTCCCCTCTCCATGACCTCTGCGACGCTCTAAGAATAAGTCGTGTTATGAGGGGCAGATTTTCAGGCACCCGTAGAGGTTTTTTTCTCCACACATACTTTGACTGTGAAAGCAGAAATTTCTGGCAATATGTAAATACTAAAAAATGATCACAACTCACTGTTACATAGACTCTTACTACTGCTGCTTGGCTCCTCTTAATAACCCTCAGAACAACTTTATTCTCTAAATAGACTCATAAACAAAATGGACAAGCAGCAGATGTTCAAAAAGGAAAAAGAGGAGAAAACTCGGAGGGAAATCAGAGTGTGATCTCTTTATGTTAGGAAACTCATCACTCAGCGTGGATTTGGTGTTCTTATATACATATATGTGTAGGGCTGGGCGATAAACCCAAAATTTACAGATACGGAAATTTATGACAATAATCAACGTCATTTTGCTCATATCAATATATTTGGTGTCAAAAAAATAAATAAAAAAGTTTGTTTCGGATGTGTTACTCCCTCATGTTCTCACTTTAACCAACTGAAGGCCAGTTTGAGTCCGTCTGGTGATCACAGCTATTATTTTCATTTTTTTGCCTGCTGGATGTTTCAGTTTAAAACTGACTCTCTTTTGTCTGACGGGTAGTTTAATTACAAGTTAATTTAATTTTCCTCCCTGTTTGAGTCTTCACACATTTGGCTGCATCACGCTGAACACTGATACCAGACAGGGGATCTTATTGTTTTGTCTATGATTCACAGACGCAAAGGAAAAGTAATGAATAGGGCTGGGCGATAAACTGAAAGTTTACCAGTCCAAAATTTACAACAATAACCCACATCTATTTGCTATCAAAAAAAAAAGATAAATAAAAGTTGGTTTTGGATGTGTGTAGGTAGGCTATGGTCTCATGTTCCTTTAAAACGCTGTCCTACATCAGAGACGTGACTCCACCCCATCCAGTCCGTAACAAGGAGGGACAGGCAGGTGAGGAGGTGGAGGACGGTTCAAAAGTTGTAGCGGCTGAAGTAGACGAAGTTAATGTAGGAGGGGGTGAGCAGCTTGTGGAGTAGTTATCGTCCATTTATCGTTATCAGAGTGAACTGCTCAATATATCATGATATTGATTTGAGGACGTATCGCCCAGCCCTACACATATGCACCGTGTCAGCATAGTTTTCATATTTTCATCCACACTGATGTTGCGCCCTAACCTAAAGATTAGATTAGATAAATGAGGTGGCATCAGTTTAGTCTGAGGAAATGAAGGGTCACGACCTCAAGTCCTGATACAGATCTTAGAGTAGAAACTGGACAAAGAGATGCTAGTTCACTTCCTGGCCATTGCAGAGTTGCCCTTGAGCAAGACACTAGAGCCCCGTGGCTGATCATTCATGTACCTCATCCTGCTCTTAGTTCCTGTCCATAAGATCTTGTTTGGAAAAGATAAAACACTGTATCATGTATTCACATGTGTCTTTGCTGAGTTGAATTTCTTTATGTTCTTGATGAAGACTCAGCTTTACAAACCAAGCTTTACATCTGAATTTGATCTAGCCTTGAAAAATTATACAGAATTCTTTAATATGAACCCAAATGCAGAAGAAAAAACCTTTCTTTCCTCCTGCAGTGAACATCTCAAACAGTGTCGTTCAGTCTGAGTTCAGTCTGCTGCCTGAGCTCATCAGTTTTACCCACAGTCTAGCTCAGATCGTTTCTGCACCACAGACGAGTCGAACCCTGTAAAAGTCTCTGTCGACCCGCCGTTGACTCTCTCCCCCCCTGAGCTCCACATCACACACTATCCTCCCTCTGCGACAGTTACAGCCTCTCACTGTCGCCGTGCCAGGACCCTCTGCGAGTTCAGGAAACCTCTAATCCTGTCGCTGAAGCGCCTTTACCCACGAAACCCTGCGGCTCCTACCTCTGAATTCTGACTCTGTACTTTATAAAACCATAAATTACAGGGGGAGGACACCCAAACATGCTGGATGACATTTTCATACATAGTCCACATCATGTTGTCAGTTTTCTCTTTCTCTTGTGTTGTCTCATGTGTTTTTTTCGTGTGTAATTTAGAGTGTGTAGCGGGACGGTTCGGGGAGGACTGCCAGCAGCTGTGTGAGTGTGAGAACGGCGGTCAGTGTGACAGACAGAGCGGGCGGTGCAGCTGTAGCTCTGGCTGGATCGGACAGCGTTGTGAGAAAGGTGAGCCAGTGAGCAAAACTAATAAACCTTCAAAAAAAAAGCAGTAACCTCCTGGGAGTGTGTGGGGTTTTTTTTGGTTTTTAATAACTTCCACTTTGCACCCTTCCCACTCAGCATGTGAACCCGGCCTGTTTGGTGTGGGCTGTGAGGAAAGATGTCAGTGTGTGCACGGAGCTTCATGTGACCACGTCACAGGAGAGTGTGACTGTCCACCCGGCTGGAGAGGAAAACTCTGTGATAAAGGTACAAACCTGCAAACAAAGAGAGTGTGGCGCTGCTGCATCCTCTGCTAGATAGTTATGTGTCTTCTGCATCGATGAACCGAACACCTTTGTGTCTGCATTTGTTATCTGTGCTCCTGCTGAGAGCAAGAGGTGTGAGTGGAGAGGATGGACGAATGTGCAGCAGTTAGATTTCTCAGTTTGTTCAGTCCAGCTGTTTCACTCAGTCTGAATATCAACATTTATGAGTTTGCAGACTTGACTGTGGTTCCACAACCAAATATTTTTTTATTAGATCTACAGATATTAGAATTTAAGAAAAAGTAACTCCTTATAGTTAACAACAGCACACTGTTTATTTAATCTACTTAGCACTCTAATCATGTTTGTCGTGGTTGTGTCTCTCGTACAAAACTGCGTATGATAGGGTTAACGGGGATCCTAAGGAAGGAAGGAGGGAAGACAGAAAGAAAGAAAGAAAGGAAAGAAAAAAGAAAGTTTAATGAAGAAAAGAAAAAAGAGAGAAAGAAAGGAAGAAAAGGAAAAAAGAAAGGAAGAAAGACAAAAGAGAGAAAGAATGGAAGAATGAAAGAAAGAAGAAAGAAAGGGAAAAAAGAAAAAAGGAAAGAAGACAGAAAGAGTTTAATAAAGAAAAGAAAAGAAAGAAAGAAAGAGTTTAATAAAGAAAAGTAAGAGAGAAAGAAAGAAAGAAAGAAAGAAAAGAAAAAAGGAAAAAGAAAGAACTAAAGGAAAGAAAGAAAGTAAGAAAGAAATAAGGAAAAAGAAAGAAATAAAGGAAAGAAAGACAGTAAGACAGAGATAAGGAACAAAAGAAAGAGAAAAAAGAGAAAGAAAAGGAAAGAAAGACAGAAAGGAACAGCAGACAAAGAAAAGACAAAAATAAAGAGAGAAAAAGAAGGAAGGAAAGTAAAAAGAAAGAAAGAAAGAAAAGGAAAGAAATAAGAAAAGAAGGAAAGAAAGAAAGAGGTTTAAAAAGATTAAAGATTTAACCTTGAAATAGAAGAGAAAAAAATCCCTCTCATGTCATTATTTTTTTCTCTTCTTGTGGCCCTCATCCTCAGTCGTAGATTTTGTCTTTTCTGGCATTTGTAGTTTTGTTTAAAAAAAAAAAAAAAAGAAAATAGAAAAGCAGAAACGCCTAACCAGTCTCCCTTACAGAATGTGTTTCCTCTCAGCGTGTTTACCAGGTACGTTTGGAAAAGGTTGCTTGCAGCGCTGCAGCTGTGCTCAGGGAACGTCCTGCCACCACGTCTCTGGAGACTGCGGCTGTCCTCCAGGATTCACCGGAAATGGTTGCGAACAGAGTGAGTGAACTTCAGCTCTCACTATTTTTCAGTCAGCGGAGGAAATAAAGAAACACACTCTTTAAAAAAAAACACATTTTTAAAGACTCAAGGAGCAAAGAGAAACTCATGTGACAGCTCTCTCTCTCTCTCTCTCTCTCTCTCTCTTTCCCTTCTTCAGCTTGTCTTCCAGGAACATTCGGACGAAACTGTAACCAGGTCTGTCAGTGCTCACAGACCAACCAGCTCTGCCACCCGGTGTCTGGATCATGTTACTGCGCTCCAGGTTTCCAGGGCCCCAAATGTGACCAAAGTATGAAAGCAGCAGATTTAAACCTCTGAAACAAATCCCCAATAACTCTTATTTTTAAAAGAGTTTAATCTCTGCTGTTTATCTGAAGTTTGCAGGGAGGGTCATTACGGTCCAAACTGTGAGAGAGAGTGTCAGTGTGAAAACGGAGGACAGTGCGTTCCTTCAACCGGAGCCTGTGAGTGTCCTGCAGGATTCATCGGAGCACGCTGCAACATCAGTGAGTCGATATAAGTTTTTATTTTTACAGATTTAAAATGAGTAACTACAACAGAGTGTTAGGGCCACATTTAGAAAAATAAAATGAGACTTTGAGATTAAAGTCATAAATTTATGAGAATAAAGTTGTAATAAAATCGTTATGCTACTTGTTATAATGTGGTGCTTGTTTGAGAAACCAATATTGAAGTACATTTTCACGAAACGCTCCATGGCTCTCATTTCAACAACTATCATCTTAAACTACAGCTTAGAATATTAAGAATTTATTACAACTTTATTCTTGTAATTAAACAACTTTAATGTCAAAGTCTTTTCTTTTTTATTTGTTCTTAATGTGGCCCTAATACTCCGTTGTAAATATCTGTAAAGGATGGTAAGTTACTCGTTGGTGTCTGTGTTGTGGCAGCGTGTCCAGCCGGACGCTACGGGGTCGACTGCACTCAGGTGGCGCTGTGTGGCGACGGAGCTCTGAACGATCCGGTCACAGGCCGCTGTGTGTGTTTACCTGGACGCAGAGGAGAGGATTGTGGGAAGGGTGAGTTTGTGGCTCATTGTGTAACCTACTGTATTGGATTATTAAGTAACACATTATGTTGTGTTGTACTTCAACTAATCCCATAGTATCTATTTTTATACCGTCTTATCATTATGTGACATATTCTATTACGCAAACCTCTGGACTTTAGAAAACCTTCAAATCTTTATCTCTGCTTCATCAGTGACCTCCTGACCTCTGAGAATAACTTCAGATCTCTGCAAAGGATCACTTTTAGTCCCTCTAAAGTCCAGACTCCTGTGTGCAGCTCTCCATTAGTGTCATCCACTCTCTGTTTTTACTATGATGGATTATGAAGGTCTGGATACTTCAATGTCAGTAAAGCGGCATTTCATACAAAGCAGGAGTGAAGGGCGGCAATTTGCTTTTATCCCGCGGTGACAAAAACATTAAGTTTGACGTTTTGCAGGAGTGTTTTTTAAAAAATGTTTTTGTCCTGTTAGTTGAATAATTGAAGTCTGTGTTTTTCTCCTCAGGCTGTCCTCCAGGCTGGTTTGGTGCAGACTGTGTCCAGCGCTGTAACTGCAGTAATGGAGGAGTGTGTGACTCTGTGAGTGGGAACTGTACCTGCGGTCTGGGCTGGACTGGTGAACACTGTGAAAAAGGTGACACTACACTGTGATTTATACTGTCAATGAATGTTTTTGGTGTTTTGCTTTGCTACAGGTTGATTCAACATGTACAGATTTAGACGTTTGACTGCCTGTACTTTCGTCCCTCAGAATGTCCCGCAGGTAAATTCGGTGCTAACTGCCAGCTGACATGTAGCTGTCAAAACAACGGGACATGTGACGGAGTGACAGGGACGTGTCAGTGTGGAGCGGGATACTACGGACATTTGTGTGAACACGGTGAGGAATAAACGCTCAGAAATATCCTGATAGTTCTTCAAAGTCAGCATAAATAGGGGAGACTGGGGCTTGTTGTCACTTGGGTAAGTTGTCACGTTGCAATAATCTTTGCCACCAGAGGGCGCAACTAAAAAGTGGAGAACTAGTTTTGTTCCTTTACATGGTCAGAGGTCGTATCCTGTCATTTTGTTTATATATGATGTATTGATTCCAAGACATATATAAGAGTGAAAAAAGTGTGACAACAAGCCCTGGTCTCCCCTACTTGTTTGTTAATCCATTGAGAGGATTTTAGAGGTGAATGTCAGCTTTAAACCTCATTGTTCGTCTCCCTCGTCCTCAGCGTGTCCCTCTGGTCTCCACGGCCCACTGTGTCAACTCCAGTGTGACTGTATGAACGGGGCGTCCTGTCACCCTGTAACCGGCGCCTGCATCTGTCCCCCAGGACACCACGGAGCTCGCTGCCACAGAGGTCAGTCGCACCGACCATAATCACCTCATAATTACAGAAGGATCAGGGTGTTTTATTGATTATTGATTTAGTCCTCTTGTAAAAATGCTCTTCCTCTCTCAGTGTGCGAACAGGGGACGTACGGCCTCGGCTGTGCGAGGGTCTGCGACTGCGAGGATGACGCTCCGTGTGATCCTGTGACTGGAAGATGTCTCTGCTCCTCAGGGAAGACTGGATCCAGATGTGACATCGGTAAGTTTATGTTGATTTATAACCTCTGACAACGTCCACACGATTATCTTTCTTTTAAGTCAAGAAAATTCAAACAGGAGGTCAGATTGTGAAAACTGTGGGACAAAGTGAAACTAAAAGTGTTTTCAGTTTTTAGTTTCCTCAAGCATCTGGCTAATGCAGCACGTCGTTCTGAAGGAGAGCGTTGACAGGAATCATTTATTGTCTCGCTAAAGTCGATGACCTGAGACTAACCATCTTAAATGAGCAGTTCGACTTTGTCCTTTCGCTGATATAGGAACATATTAAGTTAACCCTTATGTCAAGCTGATGAATATGTTACAGCAGAAAGCCACTCAGCTTATAAAAAGATTTTAAAAACTTGGAAGAAGTAAAAAAAAAAAATCAAGTTGTAAACAAAGAAAACAGGGCAGAATTCCCAAATGTCAAAGCACTTATTTAAAGTCAGTGTTGTTACTAATATTTGACAAATCCAAGAGTGTGATAGTGTGTAAAAAATCTCAAGTCTCTGATCCATTTTTATTTTGAAAATAATTTATTTTGTGTGATTTTTTTTCCTCAAATCAGTGACGTCACCTTTAAATCAGCATTGAAAGGGTTAAAATCGATATCTTTAAAAAAAAAAAATTGTATCAGGACTGAGCTTGATAAAGGGATCTAAAAAAAAAAAAGTTAAAAAAAAAAAAAAATCTAATATTTTTCCAGCAGCTAAAGTTCGTGGCTAAAAACGTCCACAAACAGGACAAAAGCTGTAATTTTTGAGCAGTACATAAGAAATCAAAGTATACTCGTCTCTGGATTTTCCCTTTTGTGTTGATTTTGTGTTTTGTTTCAGCCTGCAGATTGAATCATTACGGACCTGACTGCGCACAAACCTGCGAGTGTAAAAACGGGGCGCAGTGTGACCCACGAAACGGCCGCTGCACCTGCCTGCACAGCTGGATCGGACTCTACTGTCAAGAAGGTGCGGTAATGACCCGCTGACATGACTGACACGTGTGTATCTCTGCTGTCTTTACCTCCTCTCATTATTACATCCGCTCGGCGGCGGGCAGGTGACGAGCCGCGCTGAGGCTGGAGTCAGAGCAGGAGTGACATTTCCGCTGACTCTGAGAAATAAGAGACCAGAACTAGTCAAAGTGCTGACAGTGTTTGCTTCCTGTCTGTGTGTGCAGACTCTGCATTTCCTCAGTGTTCTGATCCAATATGAATGTTTGCTGAGCTGGACTCACACCTCTTTGTGTGTGTGTGTGTTTTCTCAGGTGGACCCCCTCGCCTCACCTACAGCAGCAGCAGAGGCGAATCACAACACGACAACTCGTTGTAGCACCTGAGAGACCTTGAACACGGACAGATCAGCGGCCTTTTTTTTTTTAAAGAGACTCCTGAGCGAGAGCGAGTTGTAGCAGCTGAGAGACCGTCATGAAAAAAATAAAAGACTCTGGTGAGAGCTGCAGTTTCATGTTTGGACCCGAGCAGGATCAGACTTTTGATTTTTGAGCATGCCAAAGTGTCCTTCCAACCGTTGAAGCTGGTCCCATCAGCTCGATCTCGCCGGTGCATCAGGATCCTCTTACCATCAAAGTGGAACGCCAAAACCTCGTCTGAACCTGCAGAGTGCAGTGTGAGGAGATTGTTGTTGCATTTACTGCACTTTTCATAAGTTGTGTTGAACATTTAGTTCTTAAAATACCTTGAACAGGTGCTGACTGTATATAAAATAATCTTCATTTTGATTCTGTTTTTGTGCTGAAAAGAAAACCTTGGACTCTGAGGACACTCTCATTGAAACAGCATTTTCACACCGACCAGTAAAATGAAGTAGTTTCACATCTGTGCAAGATGAAGTACTATCCTCAGTTTAATGGTGCTATGGGACGTCACTGTAAAATACGACATGATATATATAATCGTTTTATGTCTTTAATTGTATATCTCTTCACTAAAGCACAAACTGTTGTTTATATTTATCTTAAAGGCAGGAATTTTACACTTAAATATGAGTCACTAAATATGAGAGCTCACGTTCATTTCTTCATACAGAGAAAAAGCACAATGTAAAGCATGTTTCTTGCCTGTGTTTATGTACTTTACCATAGTCCAGTCTAGCAGCCCTGAGAATGTGGACGTAAGAAAACTCTCAACTTATGTCTAACTCTGTTCCAATGCAGGAGGACAAAAGAAATCAGTGGTTGCTTTTTATTTTTGCTAATCGATCAGCTAATTTGTTGATAATCTCACCTCAGATTTCTTCAATGTAAGTCTGTCACACAAAGATAGTTGATCAATCAATTAATTTTATAAAGCACCAAATCACAACAGTCCTTATCTCAAAAGGAGCAGATCTGGACCACGCTCATTGTTTGATGTATTACAAAGACCCAGCTTAAGATGGGATGGATTTGATCCATCTGATCCATCATGAGTGATAATGGCAGAAAAAAAAAATCCCTTTAGCAGGCAGAAACCTTGAGCAGGACCAGACTGATGTTAGACAGCCATGCAGAGAGAGAGGGATAGTCATTAAAGGTAACCTTTAAATCTCAGTACACCACTTAGACACTTAAACAGTTTTCTTCTCCTGTTTGGGGTCAGATTCTGGGTTCTTCTGGTGCACTTGCCATGTTTTTGTTTTACCCTCACCACTGAGCATTTTTTGGTCTTATAGATGTCTAAATGTAGCCTAGACGACTGGTCTAAAATCAGGCTAACACAGGTCTAAAAATGAAAGTTTTTTAGACATATAAATTTAGATCATGTTTAGACTAGCCGGCTAGCAGAGGTCTAACTGTATATCGCTCAATGGCTATCATAATTATTTTGGATACGTATTCGGAGATCAGTTTTGCAACTCACAGTTGCTTTTTGAAATAAATAATTATCAAATAATGGGTTAAAATGCAATGTCTAAACTCCATCTAAATATATACAGAATCTAGACAGTTGAAATTAGGTCTATAAAAGTGACTAGATGTCTAATAGCCGTCTATTGTTCAGGGGGATCTAATCCAACATGAGTGACAGTGGCATGAAAAAAAATCCCTTTAACGGGCAGAAATCTTGAGCAGGACCAAACTCATGTTAGACAGATACCCACTGCTACTGAACTGGAAAAAACACAGAGATAGTCATTAAAGGTAACCTTTAAATCTTAGTATACCACTTAGACAGTTTTATTCTCCTGTTTGGGGTCAGATTCTGGGTTCTTCTGGTGCGCTCGCCATGTTTTTGTTATAACCTCTCCTCAGAAAATATTCAAACAGCCAATCAGCACAGTTGTATCCATGAGAACCATGCTTTAAAGACAGCTGGGACACACTGAAAACGGCTAAAAATGCTTTTATATGGGACTTTTGAATGCGAGTTGATTTTGTGTATAAGTTGCTTTTTATTAATATTTCACAGCTGTGTATGTTTATTTTTTTTTCTACTCAGTCAAAACTTTACAGCGTTACCAAATCTGCGAAAAAACAAACACAAAAAGGTTTCAGACCTTGATGCCAATAAAGACAGACACGTGGATTTTTGTTTACCATTCTTATTTATCATCATTTTTCATTGAAGATTGAAGCTGTACATCCTGTCTAAATTCAGATTCAAGCACAGTGCAGATAGCAACGCCTGCAAAAGAATTAAAATAAAAAAAAAAGAAAAGAGAAAAAAAGGCAGAGGTGATCACAACCAGAAATCTATATACAAAGGTCAAACTATGTACAGGAGATACCAGGCTCTCATTCTGTCCACCATGTCACTCACTATGCATACACAACACAAAGAAATTGCTTCTTTTCGTCAGTCTTAAAATCAATACAATACTGATAAGAAAAATGCAGCATGATGAAAAAAATAAACAGTTTATTTTTTTATTCTTTCTACTGCATTAAAGGCTAAAACATAAAAATATATTCTCTTTATGTATGTCCTAGAACCTTCTGTAAAATAAGCTCTATCCGTCTGTGGCTCTGGTTTCACCCCTGAACTCGGACAGGATGAAACTAGGACCACTTAAAGCATGAATTTCTCCTACACAGGTGAGAGCACCGAGTTTCCACACGTCAGCCTTTAAACACTCTTTGAAAAGTTATTTCTACAATGTGCAAAAACCGTTAAATGCCAAAGGGTCAGCACGGAGCGAAATAACTTTGATGATCAAATTATGAAAAGCACAGCGATACCATTTGTTGGACAAGTTTGACATTTTGGGACTTCTGGCTTTTTCTTTTTTTTTGACGGGAGTTATGAAAGAAAATTGGTTGCACTCGCATTTTTTGTAAGCAAAAACTTAGCCTAGCATTAAGACGGTCAGAGTTGACTCCGACAAGTAACGGCCTCGATGAAGAGCCAGTATGAACCAATCAAGTGTCAGAGTCCTTCTTTAGATATTACTAATCCTGGCGTACACACACTGCTGCCCTCTGTTGGTGCAAATGTGAAGTTTGCCCATACTGACTGGTATCCTATTCTCTCTCTCATGTGTTTCTCTAGCTTTAAACGCCCAATACAAGACATTTCTTTGATGCAACTGTATTTGCAAAGATGTACAGCCCAAATTTACAGCAAAGGATTGATTATTTATGGCGTTATAACCTGATATATGAGTGCGCAAACTTAGCGCTAACTATCCTTGCTAGCGTCAAGAAAGGGTTACAATATCCTCACTTGAAGAATCTGTCAGATACTTTCAATCAGAGAACGTAACTTCTAGAGTCTCTACTGTAAGCCTTCAAACTAACACGTTATTTACCTTTTTGGTTATAGTGTAAATATAAGGCTCAAGAAGCCACTTACTGCCTGGTACAGCTTCAGTTTTTGCATACAAATAGTCCAGTGTCAATGTTTTAATTGATTTCTTCATTAAAAAAGAAAAAAGCTAACAGATGTTCCCAAAATGTTGAACCTCCCATATAAGTCTCGACTTCCTCCCGTCTCCCTGCAGATGAAAATATTAAGACACAGAAACTCCACAGATGAAATTAATTCAGTTTCCTGTTCTTATCTTTTCTGTTTCTCTTCTTTGAAAACATTAGTTAGCGCCGGCTTTTTTTTTCCTTCACTCAGACACAGCAAATCAAAACGTATACAGGGAACAGTTTATACAACAGCCTAAAGCAAGGGACACACACACACACACACACATACATACACACACACACATAGACACAAACTGATAAGATCAGCAGCAGCAGCCTCTTGAAATCACTGTGCTGTTGTTTCAGATCACCTCGACTGTAAAGCTCATCCAAACAATCCCCTCTGATTATCCCCTCCTCCAGATCTCATTCACATACCCTCACTCGCACTAATATGACAGTTCTATTCATGTCGTATTTTCTCTTTTTTTTTGCTATGATTTGAAAAGTTTTCAGCTGTTAGTTAAGATTCCTTATCTACACGTGTTAGTCAGCGGAGTAGCATCACCTTGTTTGTCCCGTAGGTTTACGGTAGGCTGGGTGAAGAAGGGTCCATGCTTTTGAGGATGTATCGCATGCTATCCACTTGTGCTTTAATCACAGTAAGAGAGCACCCATAGGTGAGAGAATGATATAGGGTGGCGTCCATTTTTTTTTTCTTCTTTTTTTTGCGATAATACTTCTTGTCACGTCTCAGGTCTTATGTGGCCTGAAACGAACCTTACCGATCCTAAAGCAGGAAGCTGAACTATGCATTCTGTATATGAAGGACGTATTTGTTTACTAGTATAACAGCATTGTCAAGTAAAGATATATATGGAGTCAAATCCATACCATAGATAGATAACAAGCTGGACAGCACATGCGTCAAGATGAGTTTTCTATAATCTTGCAGGAAGTGAGAGTGAAACACTCAGAGTGTGTGTTTTTGAAGAGAGATGAAGAAGAAGAAGAAGAAGAAGAAGAAGATCTTTGGCTCAAGCCACACTACAATGTCACTGGACCTCTCCAGTGCCCACGCGTGAACGAAAGACAGACGAGTAAATACGACGACCTCCTAACCGCGTGCATGCCAACGCACGACGACTAAAAAAAAACCACCTGCTCTGTTCCCTGAGCTGCTGCCACCCACTGATTCGAGCGGAAACGCCGCCTCTTCATCCCACCAGTCAGTGTCCCCGTGTTTACAGGGGGACACGAGACCAGACGGGCCGAAAATAAAAGAGGTCGAGGGAAGGGGAGGGGGCAGCTGTCTACGCCAAAGCCTGCAGCACAGTCTGATGAACTGTAAATAAGGCGAACATGGGGAGGGAGAGGTGACCATGACACGTGGAGCCAGCAGAGATGTGACTCTACTTCATGTCTCGGCCTGAAAACTGGGAACAGAGGCCAGAAAAGAGAGACGAAAAACAAACAA